ATGGATATAAAGCTCTCGAATTATCAAATACCGAATTATGAATATAATTCGTATAAGTACTGCAGTTAGTCATTGGTTCGTTGTGTTAATATAACTGAGAATTGCTCTCTTGTAATTATGTTTTAACATATATTCGGTTATATACTGATCATATAGAATAGATTATCGGTATACAAAAATAGGAATGGAAATTTTTCTCTATACAATGTAAATTTTGAGAAATACTTCCGAATAAAACGAATGATAACGAACGAACGAGCAGTATATTCTGGTGTTACAATTATTTAATGAAGAGCTAATGATATAGCAATTATGTCTTTTTTCTTTTTTCTTTATGTTCCATCACAAAAGTCATATTTTTTCAGTCATATTTCAGTTACAAAAGTCATGTTTTTTTAGTAATGTAACCGGTTCGCTGATCTCGTAAAATTCCGTGAGACGGTTCTATAGAACCGGTGCGAACCGGCTGAATCCTGCCACTGAATATACCCCCTGCTCATAGGTTTCAGCCTCTTTAAACAACTTGATGTAAAGTAGGCGAACAAAATCAGTTACCTCCAATTGGTACATATACTTATTGAGCGCCATATTCTGTACTTGGCAGAGACAATGGGTGTCGCACTGTTTTTTTAATCAAATTTTGCCAGCGCTTGTTTTTACGTGGCTCACTACCACCTGTTGGTTTGGCGCATTTTCACAAAATTAACATAAGTTGCAATATTTTGAGGCTGTGCTGCATACTATTTAAAATATTAAACATTTTGGCATATAACCGAGATATTGAGAATTAAAAATTGATTTATTTTTTCTCGAAATGTCACGTATATCATGACTTTTCCTCTATAAGAGCGCTTTGTGCTTTCACATTTTGAAGAAAAGGTTCCAAGGTGGGACAAAAACTTGTGTGTCCCGTCTACTTAGCTGAAACGGGCAGAGCTGCCTGCAACGGCGAATTGGTTCGTCACACTTGATATTTATTAAACTACCCAATAGTTCTATCCTGCGTTAGATAAATATGCCTTTTACATTCTCTTCAGAAACTTACTCTTGAGAATTATATGTTTGGTCTTGATGCTTTCAAAACGATATTTTTTTTATCTAGTTTATATCTTAACAGAAATTACAGATAAAACAATTTCACAAACTGCGATAAAACTCTCTCATCAATGTATAATACTGCCCGATACCCCGTAGTGTGTGTACCAGGTTAGGGTTAGGCCATAATTTTATCCCGATTCTCCTTATTTTAGTTCTATTACGAGTTCGGGACTGTCTATGTTAGCCAAGTGAATATACCTCCTGCCCGTAGGTTTCAGTCCCTTTACACTTGATGAAAGAAGGCGAACAAAATTAGTTACCTCCATATTGGTACACACACTTCCGGAGTGCTTCCAACTAACCATGGCATTACTGCATTGTATATCGAGCAGCCAAATCACAAGTACACAGTGGATACGTAGGATATGCAAATTCTTTCCGGCTTTTGATTATCTAATTACAATTTTTAAACAAAGTACTCCCACAACTGTTATGTTACGTACAACGTCGTTCGTGTGTATGAACATACTGTTAGTTTTTCGATCATCAAATTACAAAAGAATTTAACACCTATATGTGAAATTTACCGTCAGCTTGTACTTTCTTTACTTTTCAGAAATAAATAAAGGTTGTAGGACTCAATATATATATATATCGATATATTTCCATCAATACTGAACCATAATCCATGCAATACAATACTGCTGATATCTCTGGAATGAGGTATTCCAGCCGACAACACGAACTTCCTCAAAAATCTGACACTCAGCAAACACATTAGGTTATCAAAATTCAATTAGTTCCTATTGTCTTGTTAATTATACCACACCACATATCTCTTTATTATATATACACATAGAGAGGGGTTACACATTTGCGATGATCAACGAAGTAATTTCAAAATGAACATTCTCGTTTGTATCTTTGTAAACCATGCTCAAGTTTGTCAGTGGCTGTGTTTAATCTAAATATATATTTAATATATATAAGTATTATCAGACAATTTACATGAAACCAGAGAATGATGCTCAAATATTTGGGCACGAACTTCAAAACGAAATTGTACGGATATGTAATCTGCGGCACTAGACTACCGGGATTGCAGTCTTCACGAATACGCGGGGCCACCACAATTCACGCGAACGCGGAACTACTACAAGGTGCGCAATTTTAATTTTGACGTCATCTCACAGTAATTTTGAAAAAATGAAATCACTAGCCTTCTAGCGAAAAATACAATCTCCAACCACTTAAAATTTCAAAACAATTGGTTAATGAGAAAGGCGATTTTTTCACAACAACAACAAGATGATCAACAACGGATGACAAAAGGATCCATATGTACGTTTCGTATCCCATAAGATATTGATTCTGAGTGATGCTATTAGTCCATGACTTGTGTCGTTGGTTTTCATATCAACTGGGAAAGATACAATAAGCCTTGTTCTGTGTTATATAGCAGTATTGAGTATTGAACAAAACATTTTTACAAAAATTGTCAACTACACAATATCCATCGCTTTGGACACAAAATGAACCTATGAATCGTTTTGTCATTGTGTTGTTGTTCTTGTTGGTGTTTTTCCGTCTTGTTGTTACCACCGTATCAAAAAATCGCTTTCCTCATTATATACTGGATCAATTGCTTTGACATTTTCAGTGGTTATAGATTGTATTTTTCGCAAGAAGGATGGTATTTTACTTGTTTCAAAACTTTCTGTGGGCTCTTGATTCGTTGTGCACTTCGAAATTTTGTGTTATCACCTCTTGAAGATAAATACAAATTATTTGTAGCGGTACTTCGGCCTCTCTCGTGTTACTCTTCCGCTAGGCTAAAGTCGTAAGTATATCGACGGTTCCTGTTGTATTCTTAAATCCCTTTATATTTGCAAGAAATATACACGTTGTATTGACTTCCTTTATTGACCAACTCAAACCACCGACTTGCCAGCTCCAAAACTCCGGCCAAGGACAAAACGTGTTTAAGTAGTCATACGATTTATGACGTAATAAATACACCACAGTACCGGTAGTGTAAAAGGTAAGGTAGAGTGTAGACTACTGATTCACTTTGGTCTTCGTGTCCTTATATTTGAGCATCGCCTTTTTGTACATTATTATTCATTTGGGAGCAACTGAACCAGTGGAAGTCTAAAATAAGTGGAATTAATTGGAATTTTTTCTAGGCGACTTTCGAAATATCTTTAGTCAGACGAACAATTGTATTTTGCTTGCTGGTCGCTATTATTTATATAAATGTAAAATAGGTGAAAGAAAGACGGTGCCTAAATGCTTCTCAAAGATTAGTAGCATTGTTAAAGGGAATGGATGTTATAATATAGATTTAATGATATGTGAAGTCTGTCAAACTGAACTAATGTCCGCCCGGCCTTTGCTCAGACTGTACCCGAAATCAGAGAAAATGAATCTTTTACCATTTTTTTTTATATCAAATCAATGGACGACAATCTAGAGACGTATGAAAATAAAGAATATTTTTTTGGCTGTGGCAGACATACAAATGAAGGTCGCAGGGGATCAACATTATAACCACAATTCAGAACCCAAAATAAAAACTGCGTCTCAAAATAGACGCATTTAACATAGACAAATACCCGGTTCAAATGTGGATCGCGCTCAATTATACAGTTTATCCAATATCATATTTGGTAAGGCAAAATAACATGGCAGTATAATTTTACAATTTCGTCTCGGGTCGCAGCTTATTTGTAAATGTAACACATGTACTTCTTTCATACTGATACGATACATTTCCAAAACACAATTCGAGTCAAAGGATAGTATTTTTGTTCGTAAAAAGTTCTTTTTGTAAGGGTATTGGATACTGTTTATGACGGAGTCATGTTACACATAAGTCAGTTTACTGACTAGTGTTTGGAATCGGCTACAGAATCTTTAGACTAATGAGAGAACGCTTTTATCAGTGCTTTTACCACGTTTAGTTCAGGGCTCTGAACCTTGCTTTGAATAAAATTGTATAGTATCAGAGAAACAGAAAAGTCGTATGTTTTACCTTCAGGCTTCAGCCCAAAAATCTAACATTCAGTAACTCCGTCTGAGAATTTCGAAGTTGAACGTTTTAATTATTCAAAAATAATTGAGGCGGTGTTTTCATTGCAGTAAGTAACGTTGTATTGTAGTGCAGAAGAACATAAGGATTTTGCTCTTTGAAGTTAGAGTGGAATCAGGTGGAGGTGCACGGTAAACATTGACGTGAAGAATAATTTCTTGATCGTTTTTCAAAAATTTTCACTGACAAATTTATTGATTTGTTGTCGTTTTGTAAATACTGAAATGTGCACCATAATGAACAGAAGCATTTTGCTTTCCTCGAATATAATTGAAAATATTATTCCGCTATGTCGGTCCAATTTATTTCGAAAGTCAAGTAAACTATATAGTACACAAGAAAAGAGAGTTAAATCAATCTTATGTACACAAGAAAAGAGAGTTAAATCAATCTTATGTAAAGCATTGGTAACAAGTTCATTTTGTTCTCAGTGTGAGATTTTGTTACAAATCTACAATAAGTACTATATATATATAATTTGATATGCACGTAATTAGATGTTTTAGGTAAAGTTATATTGAAAGAAAAGCAGTAGAATAGTTTTCACCGTCTTATTAATCGCACATCCATTACCAAACGTTGTATAATGTATGGTGATAAAAAATTAGAGCGGCATCATATGAACATTGGTTGTTAATCTTAGTCGTGCTAGCTAAGAAAACAATCTCTGCTTTGAAATAAAAGAAAAACTAAAAAGCTTATAGTACTCGGTATTTTACTAGTAGGCCTACTCTACTTTTAAGTTTTGTTTGTAAGGCTTTACTTGCATTGTGCTTATTTTTCATAAAACATTAAATTAATTATTCATTTATTTGTTTGGTTTCATTAAATTATTAATACTGTAATATGTCGTATTTTAGACCCCAGGAGACTCGCAATTTACCCAATTGTGGAAAGCAAAGCTCAAAAAATCTTCAAATCAAAGTATATATTCAAATATTAAACGTAATAAACATAGACAAAAATAAGGGGAAAAATTCCCTAAACTTTTTATGAAAGCTATATGACAAAGATGCAGAATCAGAGTCAAAATAGAGCACATAAACTAAACTTGGGAATCTTACAAGCCCATGAAGGTAATTTGATTCAAATAGATAAAGATAGAAGGAAACGACTGCAGAGTGTCGACCAAGAGCTGCTGGAAGCATATAAGTTTTTAGGTAGGTATACTAATTCATGTTATTACAATTAAACTGTAGCTTAAATTAAAAGTGCGCATAAATAGTTTTCCAGTATGTTATGGAACAAATTTGTTTTCTTCAATAACAACCCTTATTATGTGAGTATATTCACTAATTATATCATTATTTATTTGGGATGTAACTATGTTTCCGAGGCTATTTTTTCTGCGCGATTTTCTCGTGCTAGTTTGTGGTGTGGGGTTGAATTTACACCCGACTCCAAACTCAGATCCATTTTATAAACGACACTGGTTCCCAACACCGGGTTGACAAAAATTTTTACTGCGACTTCAGCTCCGGACTTAGGTTGAAGAAAATTTTGTCAAACGTTTTTCGAGGTAATTTTGACCTCGACTATTAAATTTTGAAATTGCGACTGAGAATTCAAAATTTGACTCCGTTCCGACTCCAAGGATTTTAAAAGTACGACCACGGCTCCGACCCCTATACCAATGAAAGCATGCCAAATTCCTACGTCAGCTATACAGTTCTATGCCAGAATGTGACGCGTAAGATAAACTTATTTCCCAAAACAAAATATTAGTTATTTAAAGAAGATAAGTCATAACTTCATAATAAGACAAATTAAAAAAAGGAATTTAGATTGGATTATGATTCGGCAAAAATTCTTAATGAGATGAATAAAAAAACTTTCTTGTAATTCTATTCAAAATAAACTTTTCAAATTTAGAACAAGTGCAACAAAGTACTGGTAACGCAGTAAAATATGAAGAAGCATATGGAGATGAAATAAAAAAAGAAAATAGAAAATTCAGTTTAATGGAACAAAAATCAGAAACCCATAAACCTAGTAAATCTGCTCTGATGAGAATGGAGGTATCTGTCTTGTTAGACACATTTGTATCGGGTAGAGGTAGAAATCGTTTTGTTTGCTTGATTTATAGATATACTTGAAAAAGCTATTTCTCTCATTTGAAATCGGAATTAGGGTTCCTAAATATTAATTCTGCTGAACTGGATTTCCTTGTCCATAAGTTTTTATTACAACAAGCACTCTTCCAAATGGGAATCGGTTTTGTTTAAGTTAGACAATGTCATTCTTGAATGTTTCCGGTAATTCATAAAAGGGTCCTTATACGTGGCAGTGAAACGGGTTACATTCACAAAATATATGCCATACTCAAGTTAGTTTATCGTGCACGAAGTGTACTTATGGATTGTTTTTATCAGTTGTTTTTGTTGTGGTCCTAATGAAAGTGTCGTCTTTTTACGTAACCAACGGACCATCGACTTCAAATATTCACTACTTGAAGGTGAAATAGAAGGCCAATACTTTCATTATCTACTCACCCTGATACTTTTTTAGCCTAAAATTGCACGTAAATTTCGATTCGTTGCTACAGCAACGATGTAAAAATGTGGCAAGATAGCTGCAGGGTTGGTGCATAAATCACACGTGGAACGAATTCAGTAGCGGCATTATGTAAAGGGTTATTTAAAATAATGTGTTATTGAGTCCGACTTTCACCGATCTAATATATTCCGCGGTAGTCATGACTTTTGTGTAACCAATATAAATTTGAGCATTATTTTTGTTTTAATTTAGGTTGATTTACGGAAAGCTTTGTCCGAAACAAATTTTAAAGTGAAGAGCCGTTTATTTTTGGAAAAATGGAACAATGTATTCAAAATGAATCTTGGTCTTGATTCTTGGGGAGAAGAAAGTGACACGGATGATACGAAAACAGCAGACTGGATGCAATTGCCCACTACAGTATCTAAAGGATTTATCGCTAATTCGTATGATAAATTGAAAGCGGAATAAACAAAATTGTGCGGAAGATCATCAAATTATAATTCAATTGCATTGAAGAAATAATCCACAAATATGATCTCTTTCTGAACAACAAAGTCAAGGTTGTTATTGTTCGAGACAGTTTCTCTAAGGATATAGAAATTTTACTTACTTACTTACTTAAACTAAGCGGTAATTACTTACAATATTGTTACATTAATGCGAAAGGTTATTTATGCTTTAATGTAAATATTTTAAAATTACTTAGAATCTTAGATTATTAAATAAATTTTGGTATAAGATTTTGTATGAACGATAATTTATATACGATAATAAATATAAGACTAACTATCGTTGTTCTGTGCTTTGTAATTGATACAATGACAGGGACCATGAATAATACCCGATGTTAGCAATTTTGCACAAATTCTACGATGTTCGTGTTGATTAATTCTTTTCGAAAGTTGTTTCCTACTTGAAACGACAAACTGCTAACTAACTTCAATGTATTCTGTTATCAATTATCGTCCCTTGCAACATTTGGTAACCTGTCGGAGGACAACAAGAATCTCCAATCTAAAGCATAGAACTTGATGCGCCTCATAAAAAATAAATTTGCAATGAAATGACACGGATTAAATCCAAGTACCAAGGACAAACTATTAACTATACTTAGCCAATACGCTTGTGCCAGAATAATTATTAGGGCGTTAGTAGATCGATTTTTAAGTACTCCCGTAGTGTGTGTACGAGGTTAGGGTTAGGCAATAATTTTATTCTGATTTTCCTTATTTTAGTTATATTACGGGTTCGGGGACTGTCTATGTTAGCCAAGTGAACATACCCCCTGCCCATAGGTTTCAGTTCCATTACACAACTTGATGTAAAATAGGCAAACAAAATTAGTTACGTCCACATTGGAAGACACACTTGTGTAGCGCCGATTTTTATATAGTCTACATTCTCAATTGTCCGAATAGCAGATTCTATATGAATTTTAAAATACTGAAAAACTATTGATAAAAAGAATATCATGTTACCTGGAAAGGGAACTTTCAAATATTAAATAGGGAAATGTGGAACATTACGAGGTGATTTTATGTTGAATACAATTATGTGTTACGAAACAAAAATATTGACTTTATGAGAACATATACAACATGTAAAATCCTGCATTGGAATCCCAGAGTACTACCAACAAGCCACATTTATCGTCGAATTTGTCGAAATCGAACAATAATTTAATTTTGCTGCCGTTATAGAATTGGTTTAAATTAGCAAGTTAAGTAAAAGATCGTTTTTCTGAAAATTTTTCAGTAAATAAATTCAGGTTCAAGCTGGTCCGTAGTGCGACAAAGGTTGTCGACTCCTCTTTAGAAAAACATCATAAACGACTATAAAACCGTTGTAACTATGTTCCTAACCCTAACCCTACACAATAATTGTAGAAATCAATCCACTTCAATCATTTTTTTGTGGTTCTTTTGCGCGGTATAGTGGTAAAAATCTCGATCAGTAAGTATCAACATTCATTAGAAGACTATGTATAGACAAATACATTTATATCATTTAGATTATCTTTGCATTTATACAATACTTGACAGACTTTGAATTTAACATGAATGCACGTTATTACCGCCGTTGTACCATACGTGTATTATTACTGCAAGAAGTTGTAGATATAATTTTTCAGGGGTTAATAAATTAATATATATAAAGGAATGTTTTAAATAATGTAACTGCTATCATACATTCATTGCCCACATCAAAAGTTTTATAGCCAGGCTGTCAAATAGCAATAATTAGTGACAAAATGTCATAAATTACAAAGGTCGGGTGACACCCGAAACATTTATTTTATTATACATAAAATAGATTTATTATGATAATACCTATTTTTTATCGCGCGACCGTGGAGCAGTTTTCAAAGTTCAAAGAAACAAAATTTTTATTTCAGTTTCCATGATATACCCGAATCCATCTTGTATATATATGCCTTATTCAATTCGTTCAAAAAGAGTGCAAAACATATGATTACATTTTCGAATCATTCTGTTACAAATTAAGCATTTCAACGCTGCCAAGACAAACAATCAGACTTGGGGGACAGACATATAACTCGCAAGTAACATATCAATCTACTTTAGGCAGCAGCCTAATCTGTCATTGCCCTTCCCATCATTTTTTTATCTGTTTCCTCTAATCCTGTTTATTTTGGGTTAGAGAAAGTTATAAGTCGCGGGTTAAGTTGTGGGTTAATAACATCTTCCATTCTATATATTTCATGTTGACATCACCGGGTCGCTTGTTCATGGTAGACTATAGTTATCTTCGATAGCGCTTTTATCTTTGCCGTATTAGTTAGCATAGAAGGTGGGGCTTATCCAAATCAAATCAAAAACACATATAAGAGTTGAATTGGCACAATAGCATATCGTCGAACAGGTACTTGTGATATGTAAACAAAATGGCGAAATCCGGGTACTGTATTTGTATTGGCCTGATAGTGGATTTGATAATTTCGTTTAAGCGCCAATATTTGATGATTGTCGAGTTTTGTATGACAATACATCAAGCAGACAGCGAATTAAAATAATGTATTTTGATTGATTAAATTGAACATTTTTAATTCATTCACGGTATAATATAACAGGTAAATGAGTCCCTCTTTGAGGATAATTTTGGTAAATAGTGATAATACATCAGCATATCGGAGCCGCATGTAAAATGATTATCAAATATCGCCAAATATCTTAATTAATTTTTAGAGAATAAAGGGATGTTATACATGAATTGTTATACAACAGGATCAAATCAAAACATTTGCTTAGTTCTTGAAGAATAATAAATTGCGGTTACATGCTTCAATAATGCACCCGGGATTAGTTGAAATATGTAATTCTATCGAAGTCAATTTGACAGCTAGATAAAATCTCAAGAGCGACACATGACGGTTCTCTCGAATAGAATCATGAACGGATGATTTATGGTGTCGATGATTTACCATTGAATTTTTGATTTCAGTTTTATAGTACGTGGAAATAAAGAAAAAAAATGAACTTGTGGCAAAGAGAGGATCAAATTGTTTTCCTACATATATAAAGACAAATGAGAACTTTCGCCCACATGCCGAGAGTGAGTCCTATTGAACCATAGACGAGGGATTGTTCTATGCAGAGAATAATTATGTACCAAAAAATAGACTTTTTTGAGGGGAATATTGTGAGTAATTTCACAATTTTATCTATTTGCGATGTAGTCTCTGATTCGATGAATCAAATTTGTCAAAATATATTTCAGTATGTTTACGCAGTATGCTACACAATAGGGCAATGATGAATTCAACCGCTCGTGGTATTATAGGTTTCAAGCAAAACGAGTCAATATGTTTCGGCAAACAGCTAAACAATACGAAAACTACTCGGTATAACCATATTTCCTAGATGTGGTATTGACGAATCGATAGTCTGCGATAGACGATTCTTAATCTTCAAGATATATGTTGATTAGGTGCAAATTTTGGCGGAAATTCTCTTCCGAGCGTAGTTTTATAGCATAGGATATAATCATTTTTTTTTGTTTCACATTGAAATTTCAGAGTTTTTAAGATAGATTTTGAGTCAGAGTACAGGTAGATAAATATAAAATATGTATACAAGACTTGGAATATTCCTAATCGGACTGATGATTAATATTGGTAAGTATATTTTATTTTCAATCAACATTAGTAAAATAGGAGAGCAATACCTAAATGTATGGACACAAAAATCAAATGACTACCGCGATGTAAGCCAGGTGTCATAAAAGGAACTGTAACAAATGTCATAAAACTGAATAAATTATTTCCAATAAAAATGAATAAAAAATATTGTGTGAAATATCTGTTGGGATTCCGCGATCTTTGTGAGAGACCGGAAAAAATAAAAGTATATAATTGCTTCCTGGTAACTTATTCTATATATATTCAAGAGTTCAAGTACTTGGAATTTTTAAAACACAAATTTTTGGGGAAAAATGATTTTTCCCGATTGACTAGAACGGTCTTTGGGTCACTTAGTATACAACAATTGCGGACGCATGGATAATTTCAGATGTTAGAATATCTAGAGAAGACCATCTTTTATCAAAAATATATCTTGATTCGACAACATTCAATTGCTTGATATCTGTTGTAGAAATCCCCTCCGCCACCAACCCAAAAATGCGAGATTTGAGAAAAAATCCCCGCCACGTTTTAGTACTGCGGAATGCGCTCGCCATGTTTTACATGAGTTTTAGGGGTTAGATCGCTGAATTCATTCAATGCATAAAACTTCATGACTGGATAATTACTAAATTTTAATTTTGAACGGTGGCGGGGCTTTCTGCATAAGATCATAAAATTGTATATAAATCTGACATACTTTCACTGTACAAAACACATGATAAACCAAATGGCTTCAAAATCAAACAGTATATTTTGCGGGGTGTTCCGAATGTATAACCCAGATCAATTGAAACATGTTCTAGAGAGAAATAAATTTTTGTGCAAAGCGTCCAAGATTACTGAAACACTGCGTACAATCATACACAAACAAAAGTTCAAGGGTTAAATAATTTTTCTTCATTTGCGTAGAAGTAACGTGCGTCACGTGTTCTGTTTTTGTGGGAATCGTCCTGTTTTTGTGTAATGTACAGTACTTTACGTACTTTCATGAAAATCATTGAGAGTGACTGGTTTCCTAAGACCTACCTTTACAATCTTGTAAAAATGTATATGAACTATTGTTCGCAGGTTCATTTTATGTATATGCAATTTGTGTATATATCTATGTTAATACAAAATTTTAGAAATCTCGAGTTTTAATACTAGTCCATCATATCGCATAGAATTGAAAAGAAATGACCCAAGTTACTGCGCATAAAATTTCGTTTGGAGAAAACGGACAAAATATTTCATAAAATTTTTATAATTAATTTTTGGTGACGTGTACATGTACTGAAACGAAAATCTACATATGAGAAGCAAATCATGCCTTCTTTGGTAGAACGAAATAGAACGATCAAAGTAATGTTGTCAAAATACAAGAATTAAAATGTATTGAAATGGTAGCTAAGTAAGCACCGCCCTTTCAAACAAAACTCGCAATACCCGGATTTTCAAATATTTGCGCTTAACTAATGTTCTTCATTGAAGAATTCCTGACGAGAGAAACGCACAAGTATTGTTGGCGACATTGTATTATACTGATAACATCTTGACTCCAGGGGGCTTATCAAAGTTAAGGGCGTTGACACAGATTTTATTTATAAATGCAAACAAGCTTCTATGTTCACGGCAACGTCAATAGAGCTTTAGAAGTAAGTGGGAAACTGAGTTGAAAAAAAATACTTCCTGTTCAACTTGACACGAATCACGATGACGCTTATTGTAGTCGATTCTTTCATACTTTGCGTAAGGAATTTACTGCAGTAACATAGTATTGAACACGTAAAATCCCACTTGCAACACCTTCTGTAAAAAAATGTATTAAAAATAGTTAATATTATTCCTTTCTGTATAAGTTAGTATCCTTAACAGTCGATTTCCTAATTTTGCAATGCTGACAATACGATAGAAAAATACGATACAATTTCGATCATGCTTGAATTTGAAATCCAGCCCAGTTCCAATGCGGATTTGTATGCCGCCTTTCGGATGTGCTTGATATTTTATTTAGTTTTGAACAAATGAATTCAAATAGTTTTACATTCAATTTTGTAGAATAGATAGATCATCATGATAATATACTTCTTTACACGGAGCTACTATTGTCGACTCCGGTTGGGATATAGTGCTCGTACCCACTCAGAACTTTTCCCAATGGGGGACATGTGTTTACAGTTATGCTATCATCTGTTCAATCATGCTCAATCATAATCAATACCATATTCAAGTTTATACTACATATTTTAGCAAAAAATTTTAATAATCTGAACTTGAAAACAATATCTTATATATATATATTTATACTTCTCATATTCAGAATTCGTAGCAGGAATTGATTGTTTTCACTGTGCGTATATAGCAGCGATGAATTCAACTTCTCCGGAATGTATCAGTCACAATACTACAGCTATAAGTGCATGTTCTGATTCAATGGGATGTATTCAGCTTTCATATCAATATCCAGGTAAAACGACAGCAAGACACAATAAAGTGTCATATACATGAATTTACAGGATATATAATCAAAAGTTATTTTACCGTGGTCAATTTTGAGGTCCCGGTAAACTCTAATTATTTCATTAAACACTGAAGATTTCTGTATTGCCATAAGCTCATGCCTGTTCTGCTTGATGGTTAATCCAGCCTTTCCTGGTATCATCTGGGAGCCAACAACGAAAAATAATTTGATTAATTAAAACATTTTACCTTGCAGAAACGAATGAATACGCATCCTATTTTCTTGGATGTGGAACAACTGAATGCAATGAAACCAACTCAGATGGAGTAGAAACTGTTCAGTACAACTTAACCGACCAGAACTACACTTTGGTATGATCAAGACACAAATAGATGGAGATAGCCGTTTCATTTTAAATGCTGTTTTATTTATTTTTTTCACTTTTTTCCTTTTCAAGAGAAAAACATGCTGTAAAGGTGATTACTGCAATTGCAATTCAGCGACTTGCAACATGTCGGCTGAAGCTCATAAAATTGCTTTGGAGAACGAAGAAACAACTCCATCCTATGACTATGTTACAGGTATTTGAAAACTTGTCAATAAAAATTTATCCTGTGCAAAAATATTAGCTTGACGAAAATTGCATGATGAACTAGATAGAAGTTGATAAAACATTCAGAATCGCACCGCTTGTTAGCTTGCGTGGGTCCGAATCTCATTTGTAATAACTATGCGCAAAAGCTATTCTCATTAATTAATGACTGCGTAGGTAATTTCAGCCTCCTATGATCTGTGGCTGTAACGATCAACTATCGGTATTTCCATATTCAAGTTACAAATTGTGGATAGTCTGCATTTCAAGGTATAACTAGACAGTTTTACCGGCTTCACTCTCAAACAGAATTATGCAAATCTTGTTCCATCAAGTTTGCCACTCATATCCCCAAACACAATAGAGTTAAATTCGATAGATAACGCTTTACATTAGTATCAAAATATGACTTTTTGTAGATTCTGAAATGGTGGACTGTTTCCATTGTGTACACAACTCACTAGCAAACGTTACTAACTCAAACTGCACTGAAGATAAAACAACTTCCCGACTGCAATGTCCTGGAAATTTGTGCATGAAATACACGCTTCAGTATAACAATGGTAAATATGGTGATATTTCAAGCTTACAGTGATTAAACATAAATGATTACATTGGTTATAAAGTGGCTTTCTTTCTAAAGCCAATGATAGAAAAGAGACTAAACGATTCCAGAAAAAAGTTTGACTCTACGGTGGCTTTTCGCATGTTTCCACAACGAAATGCACGTACTTATTAACTCATATTTGCGTATTGCATCAGGTTCGACGGACTATATCCTGTATACTTTGGATTGTGCCTCAAATAGGATGTGCAATCAGTCGGTAGCTGATGGTGTTGAAAGAAGTAACGTTAGTCCCGGATCGAACATTTTGGAGGTAATAAACGTATCCTGGCGTAGTCTGATGTCATGCGACTAAGCATAATTTAACAAAATCTATTTTTCGCAGAAAGTGACATGTTGCGAGGGTGACCACTGCAATTGTAATTCTCCAACTTGTCTAGAAGCGGGTGGAATTACGACTACTACCGGTAGAGATGTAATTACGTCAACAATTGATACAACATATGAATATGGAACAACGGTTACCCCGGAACCTATGTTTACTACTGTATCTACATTCAGTACGAGCAATGGTTTGCCTACATCGACTTCAATGGGAAACCCTTCTACTTCATTCAGATCTACTTCGACAGAGGCAACCACCGCCGCAATCTCTCCGCAGCCAGTTTCTGAATCGGTGTCAGGTGCACCTCTTAACAGTAACAATACAGCTGCAATATCGGCAACAGTAACATCGGATTCAGAGGAATCCACTTCTGTGGAAGCAACTGTTACCTCCACTGTCCCTGTACAACCAGATTCAACATCGGCTCCACCAACAGCGGTTTCCAGTATATCCGCAATAGCTCCAACTACCACAATTAGCACAACAACGACGAGTTTTGGATTTAGTATACACAACGGCATAATGCTTAAAATCTATTTATCAATTTTCTGTGTATTTATTCTTTTGCAAAAATAACTACACAACACGATCGATGTCTTATAACACCATTCCATCGAATTCCTCGTTTTTAGTAGTGAGCCTCGCAAAAAGGTCGATTTTTGCTGAAACTCTGTAAATTAGTAGATTATGTTTTCATAACGACTGTTGGATTACAGAATAATACGTCTTACTATACTATCATTTACTGTTTGCTTCTATTACAAATCGCAATATATAACATTGTACCAATTCATTTTACAATGTTCATTATTTGAGAGATTTTGGTTTCATATGGGAAGAGAGATTTTCAGCATACTGTATTTGAGTGTTAGGTAAAATGTTAGCTCAATGTTATTCCATGTGCACGGTGCGATATACGTATGATAGAAAGAAAAATTTGGTACTCCTGAAGTATGCGCACCAAGATGTCGCATAACCTGAACCCGACCTGGTACACAACCGGAGTTCAAGTTGTGCGCCATCTTGGTGCGCATACTTCAAGAGGTCCCAAAATTTGTTATCTGACAAATCTCACGCATTTTCTGATTTTACAATTTTTTTAAGATTTAAATCTACAAGAAAATCATAAAAGTACTGCTATGCTTAGGTATACTTGACAATTAATACCAGAAAAATCAATCGTTTTGGGGCCGTAATCAATTCTATCAAAATACACCATCCTAATAGTTGCATATGCCAGCTCTGTTGGGATGCGAGTGAAATTGAAATAAAATTTAAGAAAGGAAAATCTGAACGTAACAGGGAATAACAATGATAAGTCAGGTTAATTACACCCGTTTATTTAATGTAACAAAATGAATAAACAGCGTTGGATGAGAGCGGTATCTCGTCCGGTTAACATTCCATGTCGGGTGTGAGATTAGTTAGCCAGCTATGTGTTTCAGACTTGATGGCGGAGAAATCCATAACCTACCATGAAAAGTTCAGGTCAAGATAGGACCACACAACCATCCCGGTTGTGGACGGGTATCTTTTTTTCAAAATTAGTAACTAGTCCTGTAGCAACTTGCTAAGTATTAATCACCCTATCGGTGCATCAGTAACATCATGGTTCCTATTTCCCTAATTATATGGAACCCAAGGTTTCGACTGAAACGTTGCTGTTTGCTTCGAACGAAAAATTACAACATCCCACAAAACAGTTCAAACAAACACCCAACGATCGTTTAAGCTGGCAAAAAACAGCAACACTTCTCGCAGACCGGAATTGCATTGGTCAATTATTTTCAATCCTCTTTTGATCTTGGTCAATAAGAGTATAGCTATTGTCATGTGACAGCACAATAAGAATATATGCTCATTGGACAGCAATAAACTATGCAAGAACGTATAATCGACTTATAATATTCAACCGTAGTAGTATATATTTACGATTCAACTAACCGTTCCTAACTAATGTTCCGGTTTCAACAAAAATTATATGAGATGCTAGGAGTCTGAGGCCTACTGAAACGTATTTTAATTAATTGAGGTTTTATTCATTATGCCCATTTCACTAGTTTAATGATGAACACGAAAAATAATATTTGTAAATCCTATTTGTTTTTTATTTTTAAATATAAAATATGAGTATGGCCTACAAAGTGTCAAAAGTTGTCCGTTAAGAATAATATTTTCATCTCCGACCACAACCGCATTCTATGGAATGATATGTTGTTTATGATTGTCGTTATGCTTGTAAAGCTATATCGACTTCAGGAATAGATCGTTTGCTATGGCTATATTTAGTATATTTCACAGTCCGGGACTGAATATGGAGTTTTACTGGTGATGGAAATGTGGTGGTCGGATAAACCGAAAATTAAAAAATTTGAATAACTAGAAATGAAGTCTATCAAATTGACAAGAAAATACTGTAAAATACTGAATTATAGCATAGCCATTTTTGAAAATAACTTGAAGTGGTAAAATATAGCCTATTCATATTTTCAAAGATTGGCACTGGTATACAGGTATAGTTCATCATTGGCGCTTCTTGAACTTCACCCTTACTTACAACCTCATTTCATGTTCTGTTTATTTTGGTACCGTAACCCTTCTCTCTCTTGCCTCTAAATAGAGTCTAATAAATATAATATCTGTATAGACGAGATAAAATTTCACTCACATGTCAGCATGTACATTATATTTTTGATAGATGGTAATTGATTTTAAGCAGATTAAGTTTAAAATATACAACTCCATTATACAGCTTATAGCTTTGCCTCAGTTTACAGTTTACGCCAAATAATTTGGATCAATCATCTGAAACAACTATTGAAATGCCACCACAATACAGTAAGTTTTTTATTTATATCTGTAATATTTAAAGGCAAAAATTACGGTATCGTCAGTATTTACTTGACTTAATTTACAGATTTAGGCCATGGTCTGCCCATTGTGATAAGAATTATTAACCTATTCAGCTCATCACTTCATTATGTATTAAATTAGGAGGGAAATTGCAGAATAATTAGTGAAATCATTTTCGTTTCATTGGAGTACGCACTTTTGAATTTCTATATGAGACCTCTGCTAGGACCGTAATCGAATGAGAGTCCATGCATCTGCTCATGTTTAAATACAGGTAGTCTATCCAGCAAAATTTCATGCTTTCAAGTCCTTGATTAGGTATGCCGCAGCTTTAGAATCCAAATTTTACAAGATTTCAGTGGTATTGAAGCCTGACCAGGTGACAAAATTTTAAAATACTCGGAATCTGGAGCCGAAGTAGAACTATCAAATTGTACATATACGCCAAAGTTTTTGCTCTCAAAATTGCCCTCGAATTACCCAGAGTTGAAGTCAAAATTTGAGCCTGAGCAGGAGTCATCTTTTCAAAGCTTGTAATCAAGTCGGAAAATTATTTCAAATTCTCATCTCTGAATTATGTTTTAATCTTGTTTTAGGATATGGCTGAAAAAGTTAGTGGAAACACTATATTATTCAATCAAACTAAAAGGGAATTATTTTCATTGGGAAATGGATTTAAAGTTTGGAACAGAAGGCTGAGGAATAATTGGAAAGTTGCTCCGTAAGTGGAATTATGTTCTAATATACTTTTTGTCAGCTTTATCTTTTCACTCCTACTACTCCGTACTACTAAACTTTCCATCTTTTTAAACAGCAGCAGTAACATGACTGAATACCTTCATACTTTGAAGATAGATGTTAATATTAAAATCCAATATTAAAGATAATCATGTAATCTGTAAAGATGCAGAGAAATTTAGGATATAACCTACAAATTTGGATTATTCAAAATTTGAAAAAACTTATTTTGAAAAGGCTTCGAGTTTAATTATATGTATATTGACAACGAGTTGTAACTTTATTTTATTATCAAATATAATATTTTATTCTGTTATTTAAGCCTCAAAGATGAAATATCAAGCGATAGCCTCAATGGTGCAAGACTTTATATAATGCCAGGTTGTCGAGAAAAATTCACAGTTACAGAGGTACAATATTAATTTGAATTTTAATAATAATGCTATTCTGAATGTTATGTTATATTGAAGAGAAAACTTGAATTTGCAGTAGGCAGCAAAAAAATTTGGTCTCCTAACTAGCTCATATTTTCCATTGTTCATTGAATATGATTAAGAAAACCATTTATCATGCCTATTGATATTTCAAATTATGATTTCTTGAATTGAATATTTTACTGCAAATTTAGAATTTACTTTGTGTAGTTTTATTTTATTTTTTCAGGTTTTTCTAACTAATGGGTGCTCATTTATTTTATTCGCTTTTGAAATAGATTTCAATAGGGAATTCTCGAGTATATATCCATTCGGTTATGAAAATCTATATAGGGCCTATATAAGATATATGCATAGAGATACACAAAGGAGGCGACGACCGTAATCCTAACCCCCAAGCCGACAATACTCGTATATTTTTTTCTTAACTATGCATTTTTCTTTTAAATTTACAGTTCGATCAAATTAAGCAATACATATCAGATGGAGGAAGTGTTCTTGTTATGCTTGGAGAAGGCGGTGAAACTCATTTCAATACAAATCTAAATTATTTATTGGAAGACTTTGGTATCATGGTTAATAGTGGTATGTTCCTGTTTTTTTATACTATTGTGCTTTAGGTTTATAGTTTTATATATATATTTTTTTCAAGACTGTTTGAAGATATGTCCTCCCATTTTAGTTGACTCTTTTGGTGGTTATCCCTCTATGCTGTAGTAACATAATTACTATATTTTTTAATGAAAACTGTAGTGTTGCTGAACGCTCTACAGTTCAATGATGTGCGAAAAATTGTTTTCTACCTAGGCGGTTGACGTATTCAAGGTGGTTGTGTTGATACCAAACTGAAGGAAATGATTAATCTGTTTTATCGATGTTATTCTCTCACAGTATATGTCATTTCATATTTCTGTGTCTCTTAAATTACCAAAGCGAAAATTTTATTAGAAAAGATTTCTTTGAATTGTGAATAAATGTGTTTTGTTGATTCTTTCATCACAGATGCAGTTGTAAGAAGTGAATATTTCAAATATTTTCATCCAAAAGAAGCACTTGTAAGCAACGGTGTTCTCAATCGGGCTATCAGTCATGCGGCAGGAAAATACATTCCTGGACTTGACGATTCAAGTGAAAAAGATGAAATAAATTCAGTATCACAGTGAGTGTTTTGCCACATTTTTTTGCTTTTAGGATTTTAATATAATTCCCTTTTACAGATGATAATTTTTGTTCTAAAGTGCATGGCAACATTTTGATCACCTATAGGTGTGATACAACATACGTCTTTTAATAAACTTTGTGAAAATAAACATCTGTTTGAAAAATTTTCTGTTTTTCCTCTGACCACCCTGTATATAGGATTTTCATATTTATCCCAGGGGCAAGGAAAGACTTATTTTTCATTAATACTAACTGAATTGAAATAAGAAAATACTTTTTTTATTCAGAACTTTACAATTTGTATATCCATACGGAGCGACTTTAAATGTTGCCAAACCAGCTACATCAGTACTTTCAACAGGATCGGCATGCATTCCAGTCAACAGACCGATTCTTGCTATGCATCAGTCTAAGGTAGGTGCTTTGTAGAAGACTTATATGGTCTTGTTCACATTTACCGTTGATGACCCCCAAATATGTTGTTGTTGTTCTTGGGGTGATGTTTGCTAAATTATTGTTGTTGTTGTGTGTGTTTTACTCCACAAATAATGGACTAGCCGATTTTTCACAATTCTTGTTCATAATTATACATGTTGTTGTTGGGGGTGTTGTTATTGTTGATGGCTTAATTATTGTTGTTGTGTGCGCTTTTCTTCACAAATATCGGACTAATCAATTTAAAATTTTCAATACTTGGAAGATAGGAAAATTTGCAAAAAGGCTATTTTTTTTTATATTATTTAATAATTTTTAGTCTTACAGGCCCCGATAGCTTATCCAAAGTTTTGCTTTATTTAAAACATGAAAACATTGTAATGTGACATCTGGTGCTATTCTTTTATATTTATGTCGCCTTCTTGAATTTGTGACTATTAATAAGTATTTCTCTTTTGTGATTTTAAGCCTTTTTTTCATGCAGAGGTAGAAATGAAATTTTTTCATTTTAAATAGAATTGTATACATTTATGTTTCAGGGTGGAGGAAAATTAGCTGTTCTGGGTTCAGTTCACATTTTTTCTGATCAATATCTCGACAAAGAAGAAAACAGCCGAGTCATGGTAACATTACGCATCCTTATTTTTTTCATTTCAGCATATATTGATTGGATCATGTTTGGTTGGTGAACTTGGTCATCTCAAGTTCATGAAACTAATCTTGCTGTACCTAATTATATACAGCCCAAGCCTAATCTGAGCATATTTTTTTTTTTTTAGGAAGTATTAGTGCAATGGCTAACAACTGATGAAATACAACTCAATGCTATTGACGCAGAAGATCCAGAAATATCAGATTATAATATGTTGCCACATACCCAAATATTGGCAGAAAGGTACTTTTGTTGATAATTTAAGACATTGTCTTGGAATTTACCAGCATATTGACAGTGATGTCCAAAACAATATATGATTATTGTGCTTTATCATTTCAATTTTTATATTCTCTTTTTATTTAAAATAAATTTTACATTTCATATGTACATTTACCACATTTACATGGATAAGATTATAAAAATGAAATAGCGAAATTGATATTATATAAATATAATTCACTTTTAATGGAGGAGATATTATTTATAAATTTAAAGTAAAATTTGATTCAATTGTTTTCTCAGATTGAAGGCTTGCTTGCAAGAAGGCGAAGAAGTTCCGAGTGACTTCACACAACTGTTTGATAGAAAGTTATACAAAATGGATAATTCTATTTTACCGAAAGTATTATCGTAAGTTTATTTGCAACAAGCTCAATTCAATGGAAGGTTGTAAACACCATATTATCCATATGCATTGTTAATGAGAAATCTATATATTTTACCTATTTTTCAGAGCGTTTGATGACCTCAAGATAAAACATGAACCCCTGACGTTAATTGCACCAAATTTTGACACCCCGTTGCCGCCATTACAACCAGCGGTGAGCAATTACTTTAAAATTTTATGTTAAATTTGCATCATTTTAAATCTCTTTCCATATAGTTATTGTATTTAGAATGACATAATAACATTTTCAAATTTTTTGTTAAAAGGGAACACAACATTTTTGTGTATGGGAAGTTTAATATGTTGTTCGCACAGAGATATATAAATATAGAGTGTGCTTCTCTCTCGTTTTCGCGGGACCATTTGAAGCCTCTCTCGTTTTGACGTTAGACTTCCAAATTTTGCGTAGCGCGTAATGTATTTCATATGGGATTTGACAGATACCAATTATTTGCGTCAATTTTTTTTGTATATTCGCTTGATCTTGATTCGTTTCTTATTAGGTATGAAACGCTAATACATCCAAGCTCGCCATACCGTGCTAATTTTTCATTTTGCATTAATCGTGGATGAATAATATTGCCTAACCAATCACACAGTAGGCTACATTGCTCCGAGTGGCTTACCGGAATCGCCAACCCATTTTCTTGTATTTGGCCATAGTTTACCTAGCCCGGCTTCATATTTTGTGCGCCTTAATACCATTTTTTGCTAATTAAAATGTTATCGGAGCTAAGACATTGATTATTGTAATTTTCCCAATGAAGTTGTTTCCAATTTAGAATATATTCGATTTCCAATGTTCAAAAAAACTTTTCATAACATACCGTATATGCTCGTTAACCGCCCGGTCTTGATTAAGCGCCCGTTTGAATAGCCGCCCGTGTGAACAGGACATAAAAATAAATACGGGCCGGTGCTTGAATACCCGCCCGGTGTGAAAGCTGATTTTTCAGTGGTAGAGAGCAATAGGAAATAAGAAGCATAATATGAGGGAATTACTCTTAAGACGTGAATAATTTGCGTTTGACATGGAAAAAGGATTAATGTCGTCAAATATTTGTCTTCAAAGATACCGGTACCGTAATTTTTGTGTATAATTTTACTTTAAAAATAACAAGCGCCCCTGCTTGAATAAGCGCCGGTTTGAATAAGGGCCCGGTTAGTGAGTTTGTTTAAAAAAATAAGCGCCCGGGCTATTAAACGAGCAAATACGGTATTCTGTATAGCCTATTCAGTTTTGGCCACACCTCTGTAATATAATAAGAATCAGAAAACTTGGATAGATAGCGAAGTTTATTTAACATCCAGTCATTAAGCCAACAAACCAAACAAATAATAACACACACTAAGTAAACATCTCCCCCACATGAATAAGGTTGGCGGTTCACATTTTACATTATACCTATAATAAAGCATGTTAATTTATTGTAACTAATAATCGTGAAACAAGAGTAATGACACAAATAGGACAAAATTGAAAACAGTAGTGGCAAAAAAAGCGTTTCATTTTATATCGCACAAATGAAAACGTACGAGATGAAAGGTATGAATCAGTACTTGTTCAGAAAAGACTGGAAATACTTCTTAAAACAAATTTTAAACTTAAAATTTATTTTAGGTTTCCGTTGATAGCATTCCAAATTATCACCCACATTACGTAATTTTGGCCATGCCAGGATGAAAAATGTGATACAAATAGACAATGATTGACCTTTATTTTAAAATTATTCATTGCCAAAGCATTCCTGTTGAGAAAATGACGAAAAATTTTCCTCACTGGTGCTGAAATATAATTAACTTTGACAATTTTTTTCTTATATTAACTGCAGAAGCTTGGTCATTAAACTCTCGTGCCATATGTTTGGCCCTTATGCCACAATATGCTTTAATAATGGCCTTCACCATCAAACTAATATGGCAATCACCAAACCCTGTATCGCGCCAGTGGTTTACAAGGTCGGGAAAAATAGGCTTATCGATTAAACCATCTTGCACTGCAATAACGATAGCATTGATGAGTCCAGTGGATTGGGGCAGTCTACCTCCAGAGGTAGCTAATATTCTTTGAAAACATTTTTCAGTTTCTCTACAAACTTTTATAACACTTGCTGACGGAACTGTTAATCCTCCACGGTTTTTAAAATATATTAAACTTGAAGTATGATCAGTAGATGATACGAGAGCCTCCTTGCATTTTATGCAAAACATGGTATCTCGCAGCCTCTTTGCAACAAATCCTGCAATATATTTGATTATTTGAAGCTTGTATTCTGACAACCTGATTGTGTTAGGTATGTCAGCATAGTCATGGTCAGAAGTTAGTGGAGTCCGTGGTTCAAAGTCATATTTCTTCATAAAAGATACTGAGCTTAAACTCATATTATGATTAGTCAGACTGAAGCTGTCCAAAACATTCAAAATGCTTGTTGCATCCTGGGGCTCACAGTTTCCTCTTGTGCCTTTTACCCCACTTCTCATAAGCAGTCGTTTATAGGCAGAAGTAAATTGTTGCACAGTTGGATTATTATTGAATCCCCCAGCACCTCTTACAGCACAGAAAAAGAGTTCCAAATGATCTTGACTAAATTTGTACATTAAAAGATATTTTAAATATTTTGAAGTGACCATGTCATTGAACACGCCTTTTGCACTGGATACAGATACCAAAAAGCCAATAAAGCCAGTTTTTCTTCTTGACATCAAGATTGGTCTTCCTGAAGAATCCTTCAACTGTGCAATGTATGCACATGCCTGATTCATGAATGGTTCCCAAATATGCTTATTTGAAGGTCTTAGTGGCTCCTTAAATCGTTTAGCGAAGGGATTTCTGGAATTTAGCACATCAAAAAGCTGGTCAAAAATTCTGATAAATTTTACAGTTGCTTGACTTCCACTAAACTGCTTGAATTTCAGCACCGTATCAGAGTATTCGATCGCATCTGCAACACTGCTGCTCAGGGTTTGAGCAGCAATATCAACTTTCATCTTTTGTTGATACCAGTGTATATGTCTTTGCTTCAACTTGTTTGCAAGCCTAAGACCTTCAGTTGATTGGAGTTTTTGCAACTGCACAAAATATTCCCACAAAATTTTGTTCCCATTGCCATCACGCAAAACACCCCACTCTGCAAGGGTGTTTCGGACTAATTTAAGCATGTGACAAACGTCCATGAAAACATAAATCCGCTCAGATGGGCACGAAGGATGAGTAAAATATGATTGCATGCTTACATGCGAGGCAACAACTCCTAAATGAGAGAGCATTGAAAAATGACAAGATGGCCCGTCACAAGTTAAGGATACCACCTTGGCTCCAGTTTCACTCAATCTTTGAATCCCAATCTTTATGATGTTTGCTCTTTCTTCTCCGGTCAATCCATTAATGAGAAAATATCCCAAAGGTACTTTCCAGGACCCATTCACACAAACAGCCATCAAAACAAGAGCTTCCTTGGCAAGTGGGGCAGAATCATCCTGATTTTCAGCATTTCCCAGGTCAACAAGCCCCGATACCTTTCTCCATCCCAAGCAACATGTTTCCTAATTGCCATTTCATCAATCATCATAGCACAAATCAATGGGTGCGATGCAGCACTCACCTTCAGCCGGATCGCATCAAATGCAATTTTTGTGAAACCAGGCTCAGCTGGAAGTTTCTGGTACCATTTTCTTATTACGCTTGGATGTGGTAAAGCCAGATTTAAGACTTTCCGCACATATTGATACGCTTTATTTGAATAGAACTGTAAAGTCATAGCAAAAGTTTTTAGCTCCTTGGGATATTTGACGCCTTTTCCAGTTTGTAAATTCATTAAAATTCTATTGAAGATTGATGAAGGTATAGATCGCTGTAGACTTTCTTCACATGAAGCACTCACCAAGTTTTTCTTTCTCAGGGACTTTAGCACCGTTTCAAGAGATTTTACATGTTTTTGCAATCGATATGTTTTTTTTTGACAAAGCCGGAGTCGTTTTCTTACTGCTTTTAAATGTTGTAAGCTGAGATTTAATTTTTTTAACTTTGTAGGTGAAGCAATGACCTGTGAATATGAGTGGTCATGGAGCACATTGTTAAATTTCTCCTGCACTGACCACTTCTGCTTTACACATGAATGAAATTTTCTTTTTGTCGGTGACTTTCGCTGTTCGTTGACCTGCAAGAAATTTTGATGATCATGAGCATGTCCCACTTTAGATGCGTTGAACCGAAGCATGTGGCAAAAAACGAGAATTTTGAAAATTTAGAAGGCATTTGTCGTAAAAAAAAATCTCACACATCGCATAAACAGATGATTTTATATAGTTATTCCGATAAACTAAAAATTAAAATACATAACAGATCAAGTCTATTACCATAAGCTAAAATACTAGGTATCTGCATGCTATAGTGATCTTAATTGCCTGATATATGAAAAAAACACCCATTAAAATATGTGACAGGATTTTTTGTCGCTTTGGGTACAACATTTAAAGTTATTGAGGATTCAATTTGTTGTTTATCTTATGCATACCTTTCTTAAATATTTTGGAAATGCTTTGAATCGGGTCGGAACAGCATTGTCCTTAATTCTTGTGCGTTGCCCGGTTCTCTTAATATCGCTCTCTTTAAAATGGTCAGAGCATAAACGTGAAGAACTAGTTGGAATCCAATTCGCCCTACGCAAAGCAGTTACCCACTTCTCGCAAAGTGCCTTATTCAAAGGAAATCTGAGGAAAATATTGTTAATTATGTATGAGCAAAAAAGAACTGATAATCATTTCATGCAGTAAGTGCACAATTTATTCGGATTTGAGCTACTTGAATTGAAGCAGGCCAGAACCAGAATTTGGATTTAACATAGTCTATCTGTATAGTCAAAAACGCTCTTTTCTAGTCAATAATAGTTTTATGCGCTAAATTGTTGACCACTTTGTATGTTATAAACTTGCTGTCGCCTTCAGCCCAAATGATTTAAATGCTTATACAATTTTTCCAACAACTTTGACTAAATTACAACTTTACTACAAACTGACTTCTGACCTTATAGTTACAGAAGACGAGCCTCAATACTGTACCGAGACAGCTATACCTGTATGCATTTACTCTAACATATATCTGTATATCATGATAATAAAACTAGCTTTATCTTTTACAGTGTTTAGCAGGCTATGAACAAATTGCTAAAACACACACTGGCAGACAACTGAAAACTGATATTGTTAACACAAACTGCTGGGCTATTTTTCTTACTTATGAAATGTCCTTGGATATTTTCGTTTCAGCACACTTTCCTCGTCATCATCTCCCTCTCTATCACTTCGAAAGTCCTTCCTTTTAAAACGTTTTTTGCAACCATATGCGGAGCACTGAGTACCAATACCGCTACTTTTTCCAATCATTTTCTCCGCCTCAGATTTTTTTGGCAATGCCATACCGTACCTTTAGTTAAACTATTCCGTAACTACATCGTACTGTCAGCCTAAAATATAAAAAAAAAATACTAACTAGCTAGTGACAAATACTAACCTAGCCACCTATACTTGGGAAGTTTGAACGTAAACACCCAATTATGAAACTAGCAGCTTTTAAACACGAAAAACAAGCCAAAACCAGCGAACTACCCTACCAGCAGGAAGAAAGTTTGGAAGCATTAGTGCCAAGATGGCGGCGATCAAATTGTCCCGCGCAGCGACAACGCAAAACGAGAGAGAAGATCGTTCCATATATTTCCAGTTCAGTGGTTGTTCGGCTCTGATAATTCTTTTCAAATTCAGGTTTTCCCACCGGAATTTAATGATCTCCCTCCACCAGCTCTTGATTTATTCGATTTGGATGAGTGTTATTCATCTGAGAAAGTGAGACTCGCACAAATCACGAACAAGTGTAAGTATTAGGATTTAACATTAGCAATAAATTTATAGGTAATAACAGAACATGGATTGTCCCAGCAGAAGTCCGCTGAAACTAAATATGAAAATCCTGTTCCTCTGGTCCTTTGTGTCTTTATCATGGACATTGGAAAATGATTTTTATACCTTTATGACTCTGAAGGTCAGCTGAAATTTCACTTACTATATATTAGAACTCGTAGACCAATACTTGGATGGATATAAGATTTGAGGCAATTACAGTCTGCCCAAGTATGATCTATCTTAATGTAATAAAGGAGTGTCGCTATGAACTAGTCATCATGTAACGCCCACGGTCATTCTTGGGCTTCTGGGCAGTTTCAATATTATTTTATAAAACTTTAGACATAGCTGAAGTGGGAACTCCAAGAAAAGGTATACTGCATCGTGCAATCATGTTGAAAAATACATAAAATAAAATTATTTCATAGTTAATTTTTTCACCAAATTTGATTCACTTCATGTAAATACTAATTAGCAATTTTTCTAATGTGCACTTTCATCCATTTGATCTTCCGAGGAATTCTAATATAATATTTTCGCAACTATTCTTCGTGTGGATAAATACGGTAATTAGTTTAACGTTGCACTGTGTGATGTAGAAATGTATGATATTATATCATTCATTGACTCAAATCATTTAGATCAGAGGTGTGCAACCTGCGGCCCACAAGGTAAATTTGTGAGGCCCGTGGAGAAGTCCCAATTTTGAATGGTGGGTCCCACGAAACAAGTTTTTAATTTAGTTTAATCCAGTGTGATCGAGTAACTTAATCCATTTGCGTTGAAATCCTATACCTGAGCTTGTGCGAAGCCAACAACGCATGTCATAACATCAGTAACCAAAATTTTCAAGTCTGCAACTACTAGAAAGTCTCTGTTGAATATAGGTGCGGCCCCCGGTTGTTATGTAATAATTCAATGCCAATTTCCTATTTTTAGCAATCTCAATTTTTGCCTGCAACTCTTGCAATGACTTATCTGCTTCGATTTGAGCATGGATAAATTTACATTGGCACTTTTTCTTCAAAAATGCATTTATCTAAATCTAAAACTCTCTTTTTCTTTAACTCTACGTTTATTTGGTTGCTCTTGACGCTGTTAATGCAATTGCAAATTAATGCAAAGCAATCGCATTTTACCTTTAATACGACATCTTGCTTAGATTCGGGTTTTTGTTTATACATAAGGCTGTAAGACGCAATCTGAACTGGTACTGGTTTTGAGTGTAGGAAATAAAGCATAACTGGCTTTTTAGGCACACATCTATTTCTGAGAAAAAAGAATTTGAAGTGCGCCTTATGGTCTTTGAATTGATGTATGTGGAAGCTTATACAATGCCTTGTTCCTAGTGAAAAGCACCGTATGTTAAAAAATAGCGTCATGTAGCAACTTGGTTCTTTATACAATCTTAAAATGTCTACTTCACACATACTCCGGAATTGCATATTTAAAATAATTTAAATTTTTACACACATAATTACTTCTAGTAATTTTACTCTAAATTTTCCAAATCTCGAATCTACAGCGAAAAATGACAAGTTTTGCATAAAAAGGCAATCATTTCAGTATATAAATTCTTAAAATAAACTTTATTGATACAATTACTTTTACATTTTATTTTACTTCATTGTATTAACAATCATGAAGGCCACGTTTTCAACTTTTTTTATACCGTAAAAATGGTTAATCATAACTAGCAAACAAGCATTGCTTGAGCTGAGGTATCTATTTTCCTGTCTGAGAAGAAAGAAGCTTTAACTCATTCTTGCTTGATTCAAATCTCTTTAGCAATTATTGGTTGATTTCAGCCCTGAATATTGCAAGGATAAACCTTTGTATAACTATTTTTTGCATGTCATTAGTCGATTGTAACTCTTGTATCACCACAGTTTCTGTTGAGGCCTTAAATGAACAAGTGGAGTAATACAAAATACCACTATCGAGACAACGATATAAGCAAGACCTAATGTACCTTCTAACTCTTGACTAGTTTATATATCCCAAATATATTTGACTTGAGTATTATAGAGTATGTCCTTGCCTTAGTCTCTATTTCAAACAAACAAAAAATAGGAATGTACACACTCACTGCAGCTCTATCTGTAAGTCTTCATCATAGATGTATGGAAAGTCCTTTACATTTTACCCAAAATGTCATTCAATTTACTTTTCTTTTTTGCAGGCAATGAGGATGATCTTGAGTATTATGTTCGTGAATGTGGAGAAATACTCGGTGTCACGTCTAAACTACCAAAAGGGGCACAGAGTGCGAAACATGTTCTTGAATATATTTTCAACGAAGTTGTCGAGTACAAGAAACTAAATCGAGTGAGTAGGAGACATGAATATTTGAGCATTATATTCATATGAAAAGATATAGAGCATAGTTTTTTTCAGCTACTCGAAAAAAAATTCTTTGACTTCGAAATTTTCAACCCGTCTTGTTGAAATATTAATGTGGGCAAATTGAAATAGAATGATAAGGAGTTTGTCATATGATTTAAATATTGTATTGCCGGGTTGTGGCCCATGTGCCGCCTGTTGCACATATATCTCATATTTTTTACATTTTCAGGAAAGAGAGTACGAAACACCTGACGGTATTGAGTAAGATGGTTTAGTACTGATGATATTGCTATCTTTTTGATTCGTCCAATTATAGTTGCAAACCATTATTTGCCAGACAACACCCATTATGAAGTGTAAAGCTCAATAATACATTTTCCCTCACGCTGCTTCTACATGTAATTCTCTCTCTGTAGTCTGTATTATCAAACTGTGATGAAAAATTCCTCAACATTGTTTGTACTTTTTTGTTAATATATTGTGATGTACGGTAAATCATATACATAATCCTGGAGATGGAGAAATTGCATGATATCCAAACAAAAAGATTTTAAATGAATTTCTTGAGTGGCATATAGGTTTTGCATGACACATTCACAAATTTTATTTTGTAGCGTTTCATCTGACCCTAGTTAGACTTCCCCCAACAAGCCAGTAATTTTATTTAAATTGCTAGAGGTTTACGACTATTTGATATTCAATTTATCACTTTGTAGCTATTACAATGCATTTCTTTTCTTGTTATGCAATTTCCAAATGAATACAGTTTTACAGTCATTCATGTGATTCTGCGTTTTGAGAAATACTCCATGTATATTTTTTATAGCAGGCATTTTCTGTATGGTACTCTGGCATTTATATCACTGTATATCTTGTGCTATACTAATACTTGTACATTGTTATCTATGATTACCCAAAGTTCAAAATTTGCATTCAAGAGAACCGGTCTTCATATGAAAGCACACATTTGTATGTGATTAGGATTAATCTTTGTAGCCTTTCTTAAAATTTTTTCAATGACTGTATATTTTTTTGTTTATTTGTAAGGGTAGTTTGTAGTATTCTTAGATAATAATAAAAGTTGTTATTTTTGTATATTTGTTGTGTGTTTGATTCCGGGTATTGCTGGTTCCCTACCTTTTTCAAGCGACCCAAATTGTTTGAAAAATAAATTTTCTAAAATCTCACAACCCAAGGATATGCTCAAATACTAAACGGCATATAGTGCTTCTGTAGCCTCAAAATTGAATTACCAATAACAAAAACCAATTTTTACATAGTATTTATTTACTTATTATTTACTCCGCTGTGGGTCACTAGCCGTAAGTTGGAAAACACTGACCTTGGGCACTTTCCTCATGACCGAAATAGCAACGCCCTAACCTGGGAATGTAGTGACTTTGAACGAGACTCTCAACTTAGCTGTTAGTGACATGTACCCAACAGTGAAGTTTGCCGATATTAGTTACTGTATTTACAAATGGATGATACGACATAAATATAAATGTCTCGAAATTGCAAAGCATTTGTAATAATTTTTTAAGAATTGTCTTTAGGAAAAGTAAACGTGAAAGCGTAAATCATTTCTATAAATCGCTAAATATACTCAAGGTTGAAGACATAATGAAATTTGAAGTATTATCATTAGTTTATGATTTTCATGACAATTCATTGTCAAACTGCTTTGACGACATACTAACCAAAACCACCTCCAATCGAAGAAGTAATTCCAATTTATTTATACCGTTTATGAGTAAATCTGTGAGCCAGCATGCCCTATGCTATAATGGACCTAAGCTATGGAACTCTCTCCCCTTGAATTTGAAGTCATTAAAATCCAAAAAATCATTTCAGAAACAAGTTAAGTCGTACTTGGTATCCAAATATTAAAAGTTATTTTTCCATAACCACACTGATATATATACTCTTTCGTATGTAATTAGCTACAACGTTTTGATAGCTCGGACACAAAAAATATTGAACCTTCATGAATGACCATGATAGAAAGTTGGGACACTCTTCACTTGCACATACTTATTTTCATGAGAATATTAAACAGCTACAATATTGCCATTGCCCCTGCAGCTGCTGATTGTTGCTGAGCCGGCAGTTAATCTCTCTCCACCTGTTCTACATCTAATGTTGGTGTGTCGGGTTCTGTAGCATGCACAGCAAATTATTTTATTTATTTATTTTTCAAATGGCTGTTTACACTCTGACATCTGCATGCGCATGTTCCCTTTTTGCTTAACGTTGGATTTTTGACATTACACATGCATGGTCTTCGTTTCTATATGGGTGGTGTGATACCTTATGAGGGTTGTAGACCGTATAGTTTAGCTCCTGTACCTATTATTGTAATTAGGCAACCAGTGGAGATATATTGGATTCTCCCCTTCATTTTAATTTGTTGTGGTATTCTATGATTTGTTTTGTGGTCAGTGTGGTTTGAGAGTTTCTGCATGGTTTGCGAGGAATTCACCCTGTGTCCCAACCATATTTCAACTCTGGTCTTTGAACTAGCGTTTTAAAAGATAGATAACTAATAATCAATATCTACTCGAAATAATAATCAATTCTAAACAAAAGTGTAGGGTAGTACTGTTTCCAAATATGTAACCCTTGAATATCCTACTCGCAGATTTATTTTCTGTTTTTCAGGTCGTTCTGTGATGATCAATACAATGGCTAGTTTATTGAATATAAATGGTGTCTACAACAACAAAATTCGCAGGCTGATGTCTCATCCACGATAAACTTGAATTGACATCTATTACGCCACAATAATTAAATGAAGAAATGATCCTGTGAAATAACAATACTAATTCCTTTATCCTTGCAGAAGTCAATATCTAAGAATGAAAAAAAAAACCTTATAACCTTAGCAACCAACATATTCCTATACCCTGTCTTTCTACCTTAATTAATTATAATTACTCATACTTATAAAGTTACTGATAGATTTAAATACTTATTGCAATCTGGACTATAATTTGGCAATAATAGGCTCTAGTTTGGGCAATGAAGTGGTCTAGCCCACCTCTTCATGCACCCAATTCTGGCAACTTTGGTTGGGCATTTTGGCATTTGACTCCATCTATAATCAGCTTGACAATATATTTTGTTTTATAAAAGTTTATCTTTACTGTTCACTCCCATTTATAAAATTGATCAATTTGGCAGTGGCAATCATGATAAATTTATTAATATGGTGTGGCAAGTAATTTTTATTTATTTATTTTATATTAACTACCAGTATGTAATTTTTCATGTTCCCTTTACTTAATAACTTCTATATGGTTGTGTGTGTGGGTGCGTGTGAGCGTGTGTGAAATATTTCAATTATTTTAGGTGAGTGAACACGTACCACATCTTCTTGGCAAAACCTTCCATCTTATATACATTCTGTACGTTTTAAACCTTATCTAAGGTTTTGTTCGCTCTCCTGATTTCATAATCAGTTTTTATTTATTTATTTTTACCATTCATTTTATTGTTTTGCTGATTATGGAGTCGAAATAAACTTATACTTATACTTATAAATCGAACTCTGAACAAATACCATCCAATTTCGGACTGCTCTGGGCCTCTATTATCCATGAAAAATGGTTTGGTCCGAGGATTTTAGCATTGTCTGCAACCTTTGCAAGTTTATTTTGAGTTTAGGAAGTTCAAGACAAAACATTTGAAGAGAAATTCGAATAAACTTTGTAGAAAGAAAAAGGTTTTAGACGCAAACACGCAGAAAACAACACGATTAACCTGAGTCTTAGTTCGATGACATGACGCACGCTTCCGCCATTTTACCGGATGGCACATTATTCTTGCTCTGGTACCGTAACCCTACGTGCAACTTTTTTAAATAATGGGTGCCTTGGAATGGATAATTAAAAATTTGGTGTGCTTATGACTAAGTCATCGTCGTGTGACCACTCACCATTGTTTGACTGAAGCTTCTTTGCATCTATTGTTCTATAATAATGCCTACTGTGGCGTTTGCAAAATTACAATAACCTGATGTTTGATGGGTTCTAACGGTACATCACATTGAACATATGTTTATACATGAAATGCCGAGGCAAGACATTGGAAGGATTCGCGCTCATACAAAGAGAGTACTTATACAAAGAGCCTCAAGTGTATACAATATTTAGAGTGAATCTGCAAAGACTACAAAAGAAAAAATAACCAAACATAACATATGGACACTAAAAATGTGAAAAAAAGCAAGTATATACGTGTTAAGTGAAAGCGTTAATGTTGATCGCACCGAACTACCGTGTTTTCCCGAAAATAAGACCTAACCTGAAAATAAGACCTAGCTTGAATTTTAAAAATGATTTTGATATAAGCCCTCCTCTTGACCTAGTCAATAACGCGAGATTTTTTTATCCCTCATACACGTTCTAAATGATTGATAATCTATGTTTTGCAGTTGTTTTAAATAAGAACGTGTTATTTATAAGTAAATGGCTATCGGTTTTCATAGTTTGTATATTTGAAAATCTCGTAATTCTTTACTTTTTACTTTTGTTTTCAATAAATAAAAATATAAGACATCCCCCGCAAATAAGCCCTAGTGTTATTTTTCGAAAGAAAATTGAAATAAGACCCAGTCTTATTTTCGAGGAAACACTGTAGTACGTTTTCAATACACGGTTGTCGTGATTCTTGTTCTCGATTGTTTCTCTCGCTCATCCTGGTGTTCCATTGTTACTCTCATTTATCCCGATGTTTCATTGTTTCTTTCACTTATCCTGGTGTTCCATTGTCTATGAAGTTATCCCAAAATTGTTTCTGGAAGTGATTCAGACTTAATGATTGTATTTTCTTCCCGTGGTTTATTCTTGAATATATAACGAGCATACTCAAAGCTCTTCCCTGTTAATTAGAGGCCAGCGTTAAACTTATCGGACTAATCAAGGTGAGGCATAAACACATAAATCTAATATGGCACATGTGCATAGGTACTTGTTATTACCTAAATATTTCTACCTACCTTTTCCGGGTGAGAGGAGTAATGTAAGTGAATATGTTTGGCGTTTTGTCCTCAAAGTAAAACAGTCAAGCATTAGGCTGTATGTCCATATTTTATTTAATACATGTCCGAGCATTGGGTATTTTTATTCATTTTTCAATACAAGAGGCGATACATTCGCAGGCATAGCTAAGACAAATCACCACACACTTTCTCTCTTTCAAAATGAATATGAAAATGAGAATAATTCGTGAGAATTGTCACTCAATGCCTGTCATAAGATTGGCTGAGTAAGGTTGGGCCAAATGCTGCTTACATCACTAAATACGAAATCTCTCGGTGTTTAATATTTCGATTGCGTTTTGTTTCAGATGAAACAATCAATGATCGTCCTGCTCGTGATTGGACTCTCTTTGTTTGCCCTCACCGACATCTTCATAACGTAACTCAAGTTTTTATTGTGGTCGATGGTACTTATAATATTTGAAAATAATTATATGGATAAATAATGAAATAGAAAATATGCATTATATCACTTAATTCGCTAGTAGAAGTTTGCTCAATTAGGATTCTAGTCATTTTCCCGTGGAACATAGAAGCGATTATATCAAATTGAAAATACAGTTTATGCATTTTACTTGGTTTTCCTGTTTAACTTTCATTTTAAATTGGGTGAAAAATACTTTGAATCTCAATAAAATATCATCATCAATTTCAATTATCATGCATTTTCGCGGTGAGCAAGAAAATATAAGAATTAATTGTTTTTCAGTCCAACAATGTCAACTGCACATGATGAACGGTATCGCCGAAGACTCGCATATGATGAAGTAGACGTAGAACAGAAACAAGCAGATGATACGGCCCCGGGTACGACATATAGAGTGTGATAAGTTATTTACTTCATGTGATAAATATTATTTACACAATATTTATTGCTATTTTACAGATTACGTCGAAGTCTTGGAAATGGAGTCATTATTCGACGTATAGCTGTATACGGTATAAATGAAAAGAAGAATATTATTCAAGACTAAATTCGAATTTTTAGTTAATATATATATATATATTGACGAGAATAAATGTAAAGGGACAGAAACATGGAACTATTCGCATATAAACACATATGAAATTTTTTAAATTGTTTGTAAATTGCAAGCGTACAACACAAAATAGTCGCAAAACATTGAATATATATATATCTATATCATCTCAGGCTAATATCCAGTGGCAATATACTTGTTGAAAAACAACAATGTTCTTAACTATATTGAAACACATAGGGCAGAGTGGTGCTGGTATGCAGGGCATATTAGGAATCGGATCTTTTGTAAAACGCCACCGCCACTGATGCAAAAATGTGTGAGATTTGAAAATTATCCAGTTAATTAATTAATTATCCAGTTAGAGTTCAGGTTAGGAATGATCGTAAGAATAAGAAAACTGATATGAACACTATGAAATAGATTTTCGATGTAATGATTGTCGAACATTATTATTCTTTGACAATGAAATCTTCAACGTAAAATCTTATTTATATCGGCAAAAGGTACAAAAATCACCAAATATGAAAAAAATATAAGAAAACTAGAGTACCTCTCCCATATGGTGGCAGCTTTTGCATCGCATCTCTGCGAGGAACATACACATATCACGATAATGCTTTCCTTCCGCTCCGTTCTACAGAATATTCTTAAGTTAAAAGCAAGTCTCGCACTGTTTCTAGTACGATATCTTGAGAGAACGCTAACAGCAATCAATTCAAGGTGGGTCATTACTTAAAAGAAATTTTGCCCGTAGTTTGGAGTAATGAAAGGAAGGGTAGTTTAACTGGCAATCTGTTCGAACTCGAATTTTTAAAGATGCTGTTCTATAAACCTATTTTCCTGTAGACAATGTAATTATAGTTTATATATATATACAAAAAGAAATTTCGAAATGTATTTTGTACATCTTCGAAACTTCCGACGGCGGCAAAAGTAGGTCGTGATTATCGTATACACGTATTATTGTATTCTCACCCAGAATATAAGTCTTTTATACTGAGTTGATAGGTGTGTTATATACTTAGTTTTTGTTTTATTTTGAATTCACCCCATTGGCATTACAGACGAGCCTCATTCCTCTAATTTTCCGTATTTTTATTCATAAGATACCTATGACCTATTACATTATGTCTCTTTTTTAGATGCAGAAAGCAGTTTTACTCCTGTTGATTATTGGATTTGCTCTCATGACCACTGATGCTGTGGTCAGGTAGTACTACTTTTGTTATATTTTAATAACAAATTCTGTATATATATTTTACGTATATATATACTAAAGAACTTTTTAAAAATATCTAGCGTTCATGTTTCTTAATTCATTAACAGAGGATAGAAGCTCTGTGCAAACAAATTCAACCTATTTCACAACAAGTAGGCCTACCCTTTTCATTCAGTTTGAAATTATAGACTACCTGAATATCTTTATTTCTAGTTTTGTTTAATATACTTTTTATCATTTTATATTGCAGACCTCGAGGGGGGTACTATCGCAATGGGTGGATTTGGGGAAAATACAAGAAACATCGCGTAATTGTAAACGTTCAGGGTGAGGAACAAGTAGAAACTCCGGGTGAGTAAAGTTTAAATGAAAAATAGATTGCTAACACTGCCAGTGCTAATTACGAGCCATTATGACACATTTCATACGCATATTCAATATATGAAAGATATTGATAGTCCTTGACCTAACTGTCGCTAAGTGTCACTTGTTGCAGATAGCCTATATTTAAAAAGTTTTTCTACAAATTTTTGACTATTGTAGAGAAACATAAACTTCAATGATATTTTTTTTAAATTGTGTCATCTTGTTTAAATACTCTGCCACTCTATAATTACCTATTCTTTTATTAGATGAAAGCGAAAAAGCAGACCAGGATGAAAACTTGATGTTTAATTACTGAGAAGAAATCTACCGGAATTCAACCAAAAATATACACAAGAATACATTTTACACGCCTTTGGGTTTAACTACATAGTGTCAAATATACTTGGCTGCGTAAAAATTGTGTAATTTATGTATTACTGCAAAGGGCCCCAACCTTTTTTGCGGGCAACCCAATTTTTTTCAAAACTTAAACTCAAGGATATGCCCACATACTAAAAGTCGTGTAGTGATTTTATGGCCGCAAAATTAAATGACTAATATATATAAAACAATAAATTTCATGTGACATTTGTTTCCCAGAAACTACCGCAAGTGTGCGCATGTTTGCAATCGGAGAGTTTTTGAAATCGTGGCGTGGGTTCGCTGAAGCAAAATAGATGCTGTCAAGTTTTTATGCTATGATTCTAACCACATATACAATCTAATATTAAGCAACACTTCAATACCAAATATAAAATAAAATATACTAGCAAATAAAATCGGCAACTTTTGTTGAGTTTTTGTTGAGAAAACAAGCGACCGAAGATGATCTTCAGGCGTCCCAGTTTTGGGTTGCGACCCATAGGTTGGGAAAAACTAGTATAAAGCATCCTAAAAAGCAATTATGGTGTGCATTGGAATGAAGGGAATTAGAATTATTGAATTTGTCGCATTAGCCTCGGCACAGATTATAGATTGGTACAGCGTTTTTCCACAATAACAACAAGAAGAAAAATAACAACAAGGACAAAAACAAAATTATAACAACAATAACAAAACGACCCATAGTTCAAATTCGTGGGAACAATTTATACATAAAACACTTCTGGTCATGTACGATGATAATAAGGATGGGTAGTACCCGAAGCGGCACACAGTGTGAAAATGTTAACCAACGTGGACTGAATATTACATTTTGATATTAGCGCAAAACCAATGCATGCTTCCCCAATCATCGATTTCTTTGTTTATTTCCGTAACGACGACCAATACAACCAGCAGGGCAGTCTATAAACCTTTGTCACTTTGGTCTACATGGCGTAACAATTGCAGATTGCGAAGTCGCTCAGGCACTTATTCCGACATGGTTGCAAACATTGCCTCGTTTTCCAGTTTTGCGTGTTATCTGTTGTGTTTTTAAAAATTAGTTGTTAATCAACTAGTTTAATTATTATTATGCCTTTCGAGGAACAATAGTTTAATTGCGATGATCAAAAATTAGTCCCGAAAAAGGTGCAATGGACGAGGTAAAAATAAGCTATTGGTACCGGTACCTGTCAGCAGCACGTGGTTTAATAAAACTGATGGTTTTGAACATGTAAAGTAAGCCATTCTGTAAGCCTCAACTGTCCAAAACACCCTCAAAATAAGTATCGAAAGTTAAAGTAAGGAGAATTTTTCCGGGGTCGAATGTCGGAGAAACATCCATCAGCTTTCTATTTGGATTTCTCTCTATTCATTGTTATAATGTAAATATTTTTACATTTGGAATAAGTGGCATTACTGCAAAACTGTATAAGGGAACTATATATTAACCTCGCTAGCTTTTTTCTCAATTTTCACTTTTATTCGGATGAAAGTAGTCCTAAGGCGATCGCACAAGACGAAGAAATGATTTTCGACTCCTGAAAGTTTGTCGGAAATCAACTCAACCGTTTTGCGTATGTGTGTTGCATTGCTGGTAGACGAGCGCATGATATTTCTCACAATTCAAAACTCTCACAGAATTCTTCATTTTAATTTGTGTGTATTGTCGCGTTTTCAAAATAAATTATCTACTGACCTGTCTCTGGGATCCCTGGGATACGGTACTTCAGTACTTTGCGATAATAGACCCTTGGTGTCGACGTGAAGCTCTGGAATATTATACTGTTCTTGAAAGTTTTCTTGTTAGCAAAAAAATATTCATAATCTTTTATTTGGATGGTAATACTAATAATAACAAGAGAGCTACGCACAAATATATGGACACGTTAGACCAGAGCCAATCAGTCCTTACCGGCAGTATGTTCCCCAGCTTTTGATTTTAGGGGGGTTGTTTCGAAATTTAGGGGGTGGTAAATAATTTGCTATTAGCGATGAAACTATTTGTATCGTTAAAAAAAATTGGTATGTATTTAAGAAACGATGTACATGAGGGGCTCCCCAAGTTGATTGACGGCGAGCCAAAATACACAGCAGAAGAAAATTGTAGGGCCAGAAAAGAAGAGCGCGAAAAAGTGCGCGACGACACGGCTGGGGTTCAGGGCGCGCTTAAGCGGCCTGAGAAAATTTTGAGAAATAAGCTCCAAAATAGGCTCTAAGCTTGATTTTAGATACACCTAGCATTGCAGTTTGTTATGTAATGAAATTAATGATTATAATATTTAGATGATAGAATTCCCGAGAAATAAATAACAAGCACGGCTTTCAGCAATTAATTTGCAACTGATAGTGACTAATGAAGTTACTTGCTCATCTAGCATATTGAATAGTATGAATGGCTACTTATGTCTCGTTTTGTTACACATTTCACATTTTTTGAACATGTTTGTTTGACTTTTGTATGAATTAAGCAATGAATTAAATTTTGAAATACGCGCGTCAACTGATCATAATGGACCTTTCCCTGACCTTTAACCCCCGGAAAATTCTTCCTATACTTTACCATTGCAAAATTTTCAGTGCTATTTTAGGAGTGCTTTTGCGAGTTGGCGCCTGTAAAATGGGGTATGTGTTTCAAACCATCTTTATGATTCATCGCACACAACAATCTGTTTTTTAAAAGTACCGGTAAAGAATTTCAGGCTAGTCTATCACAACTATTTCTACGCTAATTTTTATTACTGCAATTAAATTAAAACTCCTAGGAAGACAGAGTGATCATTGAATTATCTGATTTTTATTTAAGTTTCCGAAACACAACTGAAAACTAACGAATAGAGTTTAAAAACGCGAAAACGAGGTAATGTTTACAACCACGCTTGAAAATCTGTCTGAGTGAGAAAAGTGTCTGAGCGGATGCGAAAAGGGGGCATTGTTACGTCACTTTCTGCATCTTGCTGATTGGCCAATGTCACGAAGTAAACAAGGAAGTCGATGCTCGGGGAAAGGTCCATGGCTCATAATGTTGTTACGCTGAAGTTTGATTCTTTCCAATAAAGAAATAAAAAACGTCTGTTTTCAGTGCCTAGGTTTCGTTTTGTGACATCTTCAAGCGTTCTTAATATACGGCTGATATCTAAAATACTGCGGTGTGTAATCCTAATACCCATACGTATACAAAGATACCGGTATATTTCAATTGTTACGAAATAAACGTGCTTAAACTGTGATAATGATGTAAGGATAGACCGCAATTGGCCCGCAGACTGCGGTTTGGAACCCCTCATCTACACTGATAAATATGCCATAGTCGTTATATTTGAATACAATTATAATTGAGTTAGGAATTACAGTGTGGAATCGCACCTCAAAATTAGGGGGGGGTGTTCGAAATTTTAGGGGGGGTGTTCACCCCCTATAGGGGGGGTGTGGAGAAATCACTGCTTACCGGTACCTTTGACGCTACCGGTACCCTCAAAAAAGTTCTGAATTTCCAGTAGCAAGAATTTTGCAGAGTCAAAACGTACAGCCAGTCATGACACTGACTAAAATCCGTGTTCCCATGAATAAAAAATAATACAGCAAAATTTTGGACGAAATATCTAATTTCATAGAATTCACGCAAAATTTTGAAATAAATAAAAGTAATAGCCTTCTAGCGAAAAAATTAATCTTTAACCACTGAAAATTTCAAAGCAATTGGTCCAGTATTCGAAGAGAAAAGCGACTTTTTAAAAACGTGTCAAAGAACAAGAACAACAACAACAACATAATATTGAAACGATCGTTATGGCCACTAAACGTGTCCAATAAAGAAAAGCATACAGAACGGAAAAAGCACGAACTGACGAATGCTGATTTTCATGTTTTTGAATCTTGCGAGATTCGACGGCGATAAACAGATAAAGCAATAACACCCGTCGCAAACGCGCGACAGTTTTGCCATTCCTGCCATTAGGATTTTTACTGTTTAAGGTAGCCTAGTTCAGCAAAAAAGCAAGAAAGCGAAAAATCAGAAAGGGGTTAAAAGATTTTTTAATCCTGTAATCATAGCTGCATGTGACATTACTGCATTACCGGTACCGGTATCTTGTCCAGTTGTCCCGTGTCCTGTTACCGGTACCGGTATCAAAGATTTACGAATAGTATACGAATAGAATACTTTAGTAGCTATAACCAAATACTGAAACAGTCTCCTAGGTCAGTAGGTACTGTATCGATCAGGATCAGCCGATACTGCGAATCGGCGATAGCAGGATAGGCTAGTTGTTTCTAATGCATGTACTCAAAAGGATCGAGTCTGGAGAGATGGCGGAAGGCATTGCAGCATTGCTAGGCTGATATTACAGTATGTCTGTATGTGAACAAGCTTATTCTCCTTGCTATTTTTTAATCTTTTTTACGGTTATACATATAACTGTAAAAGAACGACATTCGACAACATCTCTGATATCGAAACATTTTGTTTTGCAGCCAAATATTATGTTCTGTTAGTTTCAAAATGCTGTATAATTCTCCACTGAATAAATAAACAATATGCTGTATTCTTATTGTGGATTTAAAGTCTAAAAGTGCAGCGTTTTTACAGCAGAAGCAAACAAAATGTCATCAAATATTTCATCTATGCTGCAGTTTTGGAAAAATTTTAATCTCATCCAACTTCAGGTAGGATTTATATTCTTTTTGCATTGATATGCAGACAGCAACAGCATTTTTGTCTTCAAGATTCATCTAATTTTTTTTTAGTTGAATTGTGAAATGAAATATTTTGTTTGTGTAGTCTATTTATTTTTCTGTAAAAATGCAATCAAACTGATCTTTTTGAAATTCTTTTTTTTGAATTTCTTCATATTGATGGTGTCTGTTTGTGTCAACCACATTTTACTTACATTCTACTCTGTCACGGAAACATATTAACATTCAGCTCTTAGCATGTGACTTGTCGTTGGTCACTTTGTGTCAGTGCCGATTCCACAATTAGTTGGGGCTCTGACCTATCTTTTGTACGAAAAACTTGGAATCGCGAGTACTCTCTCACAGTGGAGCACTCAAAATAGTTTGGTTGCAATTGACATACCAGGAGGTAACAGATAATTTGGGTATGTCTGTATGTGGGGATCGCCACAATTGCCATATGCATTAAACATTGTTAGACCAAAGTATTAAGTATTTTAGGTATTTATTAATGCCAAAATTCACGGTTATACAACGCTTACATATATTTTGGTACTAAATACGATCCAAATCCAAGTACTATCTGATGAAGTTTTCCAGAATTATAACATTGCTTGTGTGCGTATCATACCTTGAAGAATAGTGCGTCTTCCATCTATGTTATTTAGACAGGTTATGCATGTCTTGCCAGGGATGTAATTTCAGGGTTATTGGACACAAAGTGTTGTTCTTATGTTGTTGTTGTTGAAATTGATGTTTGTATTTTTTTTTCTTATCGAGAAAAAATCACTTTTCTCTTTAAATTATAGACAATTGTATTGAAATTTTCGGTAGTTGAAGATTGTTATTAACCTGGAAAGCTATAACTTGTATTTTTTTTTAAATTTCTGTGGGCTCTATATAGGATTTGTTTTTTGTGTGTGGTGACGTTATCAAAGTTATAAATTTTGCACCCTGTGACATATCTGTATTCGCGATCTTCGCGATTTGTGATCATTCGAAGTCGTGAAGACTAGGAGGGTACTGTTGCAGCGGAAGATTGCATAGGCCTACTTGTACTACTTCGTTTTGGCCTTTTTGTTCATATATTCGAGCATTGCTCTCTTAGTCTTTACCAAGCTAAAGATGTGAAAAGGTCTTGCATATATCTCTATAATCTTTTTAAGAAGCGTCCCATGTGAAGTATTTTATTTCAGGAAAAATCCTATCTGGTAAATCTTAGGGGACCATGAATAAAAATGCAATTGTTAAAATATATAGTTATTGTGTATATTATTGCATTCGATATGTTGTTGTTCCCTATTTTTTATGATGGTGCTATAGTCAGATCTTACATACTGTTTGAGATATATAATAATATAAAGATGATCTTTCCCCTCTAAACCTATTGGGGAGAGGATCTTCATATGATTTAGCCTGAACGGCAAATTTGACCTGACCAATGAACAAAGCTAAAGTCAGTATGACCACATCTTCATATGAACTATCTTCATCCAAGCGTTGGATACTGTTATATTTTGTAGGGGTTTATATATGAGATGTTTCAAATATTTGCTTATTCCTGGAGTTTTTCAAACAAACTAATTTCCTGAAAATTTTTCCACTTCACTTTAATTAACATTTTGTAGATTTGAATCTGAAATTGCAAGGAAAAGTTTAAAACTGTTTCGAACAATGATGTATTTGGAGAAACTCCATTTTATTATTTTCCTTAAATTTTGGTTTCGTTCAATGATGGCCTTGTCTAAAGCATACATAGGATAGCTCATTATTAAAATGTGGTTTATGTTTTTATAAATATTATCAATGATTTCTTTGGGGTTTAGGGTTAAATATAATATGGCCACATTCTAACAGTAATTATTTTTGTAAATTGGCAATATCTTATTACATTGTTGTTACATCGTATATTCCTATTCTCACATCAGTATATGTTGATGTAGGGTCTATGAAGTAAAACAAAATTTATTAACACCATGATTGAAGGCTTGGAATGAAGTTGGATACTTGGATATGCCGGGGCGAAATGATATTTTTGAAATCTCCTAATCTATTTGTCAACAACGTCATTCGATCATGTCTAGGGCCTTCCGAAGTTAAATTGTGAAACTCATGTCATCTAAACTGTGTCCCCAGGTTGTTGGTTTCTAGGCTTTAACCACCTACTCAACGCTCACAGATGCATTCTAGACATCAATAGATTGATCAATTTAGAATGTTAGAAATGAATGAGTGAAATGAGTATAGTTGCTTGATACAACTGAGCCATATAAGCCAATTTCATTTATGTTTTATATCAGTTAATTTGACTTCCTGTTCCTGCATTCCCAAATTTAGTACTATTTGGGTTTAATATTGAGTTTTTGTATATAAAAGCTTTTTTGTGGCTTTATTTTTGCAAATTATTCAACTCAGTATGTCATGGAAGATATCTTTATATTTCAATTAGAAACTACAGATGACATGTTATCAATTTTTAATCAATATTTATTCTAAAAAGGGAGCGAAGTCCGTTTGTTTTTCTTGGCAGATAGAAATGTATTGATTTTTGTCATTGTTTAGTTCCCTGTGGACATTAGAATTCAAAATTTATATATTACACATTGCCAGTATTGCAGATAAATAATAATTCAAATAATTTACTTTCTATTATATAATCATTGTTACTTGTTATATGTGGTTATAATATAACTGAAATTTGACATCGACTATGTAATGTATAATTAATTATTCTTACCAGAATTAATTTTTTTTGGTTCTTTTGTCTATTACCCCTGCCACTGATGCAAAAATATGAGATTTGATAAAAACACCGACATCACGTTTTAAAATAAAAAAGTAGTAATTAATTATCCAGTTATGGTTATAGTTAGGAATGATCTGACAATTTAAATTTTCTGCGCAATATGCATCCCTAAATCCTAACCCTGATACATAAACTGTCTGATTAGGATTTTATGCTTGATAATATAACTTCAAATTTAGTTATTGGCCAATAAGTGATTTTATTACCGGTAATAGAATTAACCAACGAATGGCCAAAAATCACTTTTTGTGTGGTGAAAATCACACCGAAGAGTAAAACGTTCTGTAAAAAATATTTCACGCTGTAATAAAATTTCTACTATTTGATAAAAATCGTCTTTTAAAATATGGAATTGCAACTAATTCCCATATTAAATATCAATGTCTTTGCAATTGCAGCAGGTAGGTCACAGTCCCAGTTCGGCGTAATACACGTGGATAGCAACACCGTCGTGACATAGTTACGTAATATAACGTGATATAAAAAAATCCAATAAATAAATACCTTGATCGCCAGCGATCTCATATTTTAAAGTCTTAAAGAACATGTTCCATTCTAATAAACCAAAGCGCAGAGATGTATAAAAATATTACCTCGCGGCAGTATGCATTCCCAGCCGATTTATTTCAGTAAATTTGCTTTATCCCGAATTACTAGATAAGACTTCACGATATTTGTAGGCCATGCCGAATCTCATTCTAAGGAAGTACCACATACTATCATCAATAGAATATGTCTTATATGGTTCAGTTAGATCTTCAATAATCTGTATTGCGTATTTATAATAAAAAAATTCACCGGCATATAAAATTTTGTCTTTATGATTAAACTAATTCTAAGTGATTCAGAAGACTACATACAAACACTATTATATTTTCGTGACGTTTCGTCTGACGAAAGTCGGACTTTCGCAGAGAATAATCATTTTTAGAATAGTTACTCTTGCCACAGCAACCTTGCATTATATGTGTGTATAGATAGACCAACCAACGCATAATAATAGAAGTAGTAACACTAGTAAGTAGATGATCCCGCAGAAATTCAATCAATATCAATTGGAATTTTTTTATGAAATACATGGTTATATAAGCACCACAATTATCCCGTAAATTCTACAAATTACAATTCGATTTAAAAATATTTCGTAATCCCGTAATAGTATGTTATTTCACTTTGGTTATTAATATTTCTTGAATATACAAATTTATTTTGTCAGTTATAACTGGGTCTAAGCCTGCTGCATACGAAAGTTATCTGACGACCGAATTAAATTCGATAATTTAATGTTACTGAATAATAGTTGACGAATGTAGTTATCCAATCCAGTTAGGGTGAAGGCTAGGAATGCAGAATGCGTTGGAATTTCAAATTTTCAAACCATCCCTAAATTCTTTATAACTTGTTATTTGCGCCGAACGAAGCTTTCCGTGGTATATTTCCATTCCGTCGTTTTATTCCATGTTCCCATAGAAAATTATGCATTGATCCGAAAACACATTACTTACATTTAATATCAAAATAAATCGATATATTCACGTTAGTGATCACTGCTTTTTTAGCGAACGACATGGATCGATATAACGGTCGGGAGAAATATTTGTGCATAAAGGAAAACCAAAATAAAATAGTAATAGACCATTTCGCGATGGTTATCGATTTCTAGCATGCTTCGAACCTCCCTTTTTATCCTAAATTCCAACTCTTTCTAATCGATCGTCCAAGTGATTGATAGGCCTGCGATCAGCATATCTTTTTCTGGCGTTACGTACGTTTCTCGAATGATCGATGATTCAAAATCGGCCATACTTTAGAAAAATATATCCATCGTCGTCCACGCTTGCACAATATTAACTCATTCGTTGGTTTTTAATGGGAATAGCCTATTTAATTGTGTACTGTATTGATCATATTACGAATTCCTCTTCCTATAGAAAAAAAGAAGGCCAAGTAGGCCGAGGAATCTTATATAAAATACAAAACGTTTTACGACTTTGACGATAACCATATCGAATTTGTAGAATTATTGGGTAATTTGAATTGGTCCGACGAATGTTATTTTCTAATCAACGCCGTCAATATTTCTTGTATACCTTACCATTGCAGAATAATTTTAACGATATTAATTTGTTATTAGGTTATTTACTATATCCACATTTTGCTGACGTTTCAATTTAAAAATTTTGCGTTGCAGTTTCGGATTGATCGCGAATAAATTATGAAAGTCCTCCATCGCCCAGTTGCGAGCGCACTTGATAAGTTTCGTCGGCAAGAAGGACATTTTCTTGAGACGATTATTTACGAAATTGAATGTTTTCAATTATTTGTTAGTGTGGTTTGGAATGCGCCTATTATTGTCGCTGTATGTAACTGTCGATTATGTTTTAGTTTATTCGGTAGTTTTTTTCGAAAATGTTCATCATTAAACATGAAAGCGCTTTAATTTATTTAAAATGACATATTATATAGTACACATAACGTCGCTATAGGATGAAGATGCGATGTGGCGTTGAAACAATTATGCACAGAATGTTCAATTATGTGAAATGATGCGACTTTTATTCTGCCGCAGAGCAACGGACTCTGACATGGTTACCACTGCATACCCAAACGTACATTTGACGCTTAGCATGATGCACTAATTGTCGAATTGCAAGAATTATTAATCACCAAAAATCGAACAATCAACTGCTTCTGTAATTGCTCTTTGTACTACTGGATTTAACGCGTTGATATGGGGATGATGCCTTATGTGTTCTGCTATCCTACTGCATTCAGTAAGCAAAAATCTCAAGTGCTGTTGACCACTCACCAATATTTTCGAAATATTTCTTATATTTGTGTAAACAAGGCTTCTATTATTTACTGGATTCGAACTAGAATCATTCCTGTATGGTATGGGATGGTATGTGCAATAAGCTGAGTTTTTAATCTGCAATTTCACAGTAGTTGTAATTCGAGCACACATTGATAAATACTGTTTTTGTTAATTAGCAGTGTATATGATGCTTAGACTGCTTAGGTTATAGCAGTGTTTCCCAAACTATGGGTCGCGACCAGGGTGCGTTGCCAGGAATTTTCAAAGGGGGGGATGGGATTTCCAATTTCCAAGTTAGGTATTAGCGGCCGGAATACGTGGGTCCCCAAGAGCCTTGAGTGTCTAAAAAGCTTTTTATACTACAAGAAATTGCCAAGTATGAACGATACGAAAAAAAATATTTTATATTTGAAAAGGGAGTGCCGACCTTCAAACCCTGCCTGTCTATGCCCCTGATGGTGACTCAAAACTGGATCACTTGAAAATCCTTTTGGGCCGCTTGCATTTTCAACAAAAACATATTTCAACCTAACGTATTTTTTTTTCTATTAAATTTGATTGTTTTTTTTAAATTTGGTGTTGAAGTGTTGATCAATATTAATTGTATATGTGGGAAGCATCACTTTATAAAAACTTGTAGGCATCTGTTGTGTTTAAGTAAACCCCCAATTTCAAATCGCGGATGTCAAGAAAATAATAATGTTGAAATAATGAAATAAATGATAACGGATTAAATGTCATGTAAGGATGATTGTTTTTTGTTATCAGTAATTTAATTTTGAGGCCACAGAACATTAGGGTAAAAACGATTATGAAATGTAGCAAGAGCAAGATAATAAGCAAACATTCTGAAAAAGCTGAATCATTCTGTGAAATGACACTATGGTGTTACTGTTGTAGTTGTTTTGGTACTCCCGAAGTATGTGAAGATAGCGGACATAGGAACATAGTATGTTTACCAGATTATGGTTAGGTCATAATTTCAGGTACAAATACTATGGGAGTCATTGGGCTAGTCCTCGAACTGGTAATGAACTAAATAAGAAAAAATGGAATAATAATGTGGGCTAACCCTAACCTGGTACACATACTACATTCCGGTGTTCGCCATCTTGGTTCACATACATCGGGAGCACTGTTTTTAATGGATTGAATATTCTCTAGGTATAAACACTATCTTCATGATCAACTTTGCGAACTTTATAATAGTGCTTTGCTTCATTGTGTGTAAATGGTATGCTGTACTTTTAACATAAAAATTGCCATGATTATAGACTTATTACTATATTTAGCGTGAAGGGCTTTTGATTATTTAGCAGGAAAAAATTATCCAGAAACATGATAATTTTAATAGCATATTGAAAGGATCACAGTTATGAATAGCGAACAATTTTGTCCTTGATTAACTTCTTGATGGAACAACGTTATAGCTCCCAGACATCCTGTGGAACAACTCTTGATCAAATCAATCGTTGCAATATCCTGCTGAAATCAGATCTCGCAGACGATATATCCTGAGAACAAATTTTCAGTCCCGATATTGAACGTTTACAATTGATCATCTTCATCTTTTGGTTATTACTATTATGCTTAAAATATAATTGAATTATTCTTTATACTGTCAATCCCTTGCCTAAAATGTCGTTATTATAGATAAGATAAGAAGAAAATCAAACATTAAAAAAAAGCTAAATCATTCTGTTAAATAACACTATGGTGTTAGAGTTGTTTTAATGGATTGAATATTCTCTTAGACATGAACACTATCTTTTTAGAGTTTGACTAATATATCGGCCCGATATTGCGTGTTTGCCTATATATCATCCGTATCAAATCGACATTAGTGGGGCAAGCGTCAGGCTGCTGCGTGCTTGAACGATTCTCACTTCTGCATAACTGGTTTCCCAATATTTCTCTCGCCTTCATTTTGCATTAAAAGGTGTCTTTCCTAATGCCCGGTGTCAAATGATAAGCCGTTTCATGCATGGTCATAACTGGAAAGTTATTCGATTATTTAGCAGAAAAATTTCAATAGCATATAAGAGTCACAGTGATGAATAGCAAATGATTGTGTACTTGATTAGCTGTTGAATGGAACGCTGTTAAAGCTTCCAGACATCCTGTGAAACGGCTCCGATCAAATCAATCGTTGCAATATCCTGCTGATATCAGATCTCTCCAGATGGTATATCCTGAGAACAAAGTTTCAGCCCCGATATGGAACGTTTACAATTGATCATCTTCATCTTTTGGTTATCGCTATTATACATAAAATAATTGAATTAATCTTTATATTGTCAATCTCTTGCGTAAGAAGTCTGTGAAATTTTTTTAAAACACGCAATGAAGTTTATTTTATCTATTACAAGTCATAAAACTTTATGAGTCAGATGTAACTTACTAATGCATAATATCTGGTCTTAATTATATTTAGTTCCAGCAGCTGTTGGTACTTCAATTGTCACCTATGGTCCACTCAGAGTTCAATCTCTACTACTTATGAGTATATACATATACAGTGTATGTATGTGACCTTATCCGAAATAAGTTTTCTCTGTAAAAAATGGAAAAAAAATTTCACAAATTATGACAATGAAAAGTTTGATATTGTATGCAATCAATGTGACACATGAGATTGTTTTGTTCACATAAACGATCATAATGTGACGGATGTCTGTTATAGCCTGTCATACTTTACTGCCAAATGGAAAGTGAGTTATCGAATGTATTGGACATAAAGAATACATATGGATCGTTTTGTTATTATGTTGCTGTTCTAGTTGGCATTTTCTTCTTGTTGTTTTCGTTACAAAGTTGTATTTTTGCTAGAATGTTATTACTTTTATTCATTTTAAAACTTTCTGTGGGCTCTATGTGATTCGTTTTTGATTTGAAATTCTGTGTGGTGACCTTTTAATTTATTATTAATACAATTTATTTGTTGCGTTTCTTTGACCTCTTTCTTGCTACGTAAAAGTCTAAACTTTTTTTTGGCGGCATCGGGACTGTAAAATGTGAGGCAGACTACTGCTTCGTTTTGGTCTTCGTGTCCATATATTTGAGCATCGCTCTCTCGTTTTATGAATGTGTTTCAAATGTGTTATCCTTAATTTCAGATTCCTTTTTTCAAAATATTTAATTTTATTAATAACATTTTTTTTTCATGTTATACTTCAGAATACATGTTTAACATCATTCAAAAAGAGAAAAAAATGATCAGTATTTACAATTTGAATTCTGTGTTAGTAAATAGTCGTATCCTCATTGTATTTACAGAGAGATTTGGATGTGAATGCAACAGAACTTGCCAACAGACAAGATGCAAGTGATGCATCAAGACGACGACTAGTAGAACAAAGCAAAGAGTTTAAAAGAGAAACACCTGAGGTATATCCTCTCCTTGGTATTACTATTATATGTATTGGGTCTTATACTCCTTTATTGCTAATTGTACAATATAAAATAACTTGATACAAGCTTCAATGCACTATTCCGCACACATTCTAAAATATTATTTTCCAATATGGAATATCATGTTGAATAATGTTTATTAAAATACACATAGAAGATAATGTTTCTTTTGGAACTACAGAAAAAATACAGATAAACAGTGATTTTTTTTGATTGGTTTTCTAATTATACAGTTTTCAGAAATCAAATTTGCCTATTTCTTACTGTTAGATGTTTGTCACTCAAAATAATTATAACAAACTAGTCGAAATTAATACTAAAATTCAAAATATTGAATATAATTAATTTCAGAAAGGTTTGAATGTGGACGGCCCTTGCTTAATTAATATTAATTAATATATAACTCGCTTTGTTATTGTTTTCACCCATTTATGATCTGTTATTTCAATATTTATTGTTCTTTTTTTTATCAGGATATACGCAAGTTGGTTTCTCCTTTACTGAGGAGCTTCCAGGGGGAGATCGATGCTTTATCAAAACGCAGTAAAGCTTGTGAAGCCGATTTTCTCAATTTATACAAGAGGTTGATAGAATTACCAGGTCCGTATTGCAGGTTTGGCGTTGTCTGCACTAATGCTTGTTTTATTGACAATGGGACTGCTAAGACCATGAGTGTGCAACATTTTTCATCAGTGGGCCATATAACCAACTCCAGATATCTATCTGGGCACATATAAAATTTATTTTTTCCATGTACATAAAAAAATATCACCCCCACGCAACTGGCAAAATTCAATCATTGCTATATTTTTGTAGCTACTTCTTGCTGTGAGGTTGATGGTTATACCTATATAGTTATTTGGGAATTCCAGAACTATGTGCACCAAGATGTCGCACAACCTGGACATAGTATGTGTACCACTGTACCAGGTCAGGGTACAGGCTGTGCGCCATCTTGGTGCACATACTTTGGGAGTGCCATTAATTTGTGCTTTTTATGTTATGGAGGTACAATAAACAACTTTTTTTCAATTCAGACCCGGTTTTAGCTCTTGAACAAGCGGAGTCATACCAACGTAAAGCACAAAGACTAAATGATGTGGAAACCGAAAATCAGAAACTGAGAGAAACTCTAGCGGAATATAACAAAGAATTCGCTGAAGTCAAAAATCAAGGTATGAAAGCACTGCAAAATACTGTCAATTGATAAAACGAGAATATCTGTCAGAGACCGAAGACTTATCGATTGAAAGTTAGCGGATCTCCCAAAACAGCGCTCTTACTCCATAGTGACACCTTGTGTCCCATCACTAATTAATTAATAACTCTCTAATTATACGACATAATTCGCCCGATATCAATAGGCTTTTGGTCCGAGATATGATGAATGCACATGCAAGATCTGGAGCAGATTCAATCTCGCTTTTGTGAGATATTGCGTGCATCTAACAGACATACACACAGACAGACAGACAAATACCTATCATCAGGGATTCCCAAAACTGAACACATTCTAAATTAATTTTTTGTGAATATCTAATATTTAGTATATTCTGAAATACATTTTGTTGACATATAAATCGAGGTACCTTCAATGAGTTGAAATTTGGTAATGCAGATAAGGTAATTTGAAGATTGATTTGCTTAGTTTTTTATTTTTAAACAGCATTAATATGAATGCACCTTTCCAAAAACAAAGCTTTTTATGTATCATTGGCCACTCATACGCGGCCTTGTTCTGAGCATGAGACATGGAAAAGTATTGTCTGAAAAATAAGTTTTTTAAACCATTTAAAATGTTTGATTTATTTTAAACATGCCTTGATAGAATTTTCATAAAGAACGGCAACACTTTATCTTATAGTTTACATTATATCTTACTTTACTCAAAAAACATTCCTATTTCTTTTCCAGAGGTTACGATAAAAACTCTTCGCGAGAGAGTGAGGGATTTTGAGAAAGGAACTGAGACACGTGCGAAACAACTCACTCTAGAGAAAAATGAAGAATTGCAGAAACAATTTGAAGAAAAAGAAAAGTAAGAAATCTGAGAAATAATAATTTTAAAAGTGACATCGACTTTCTGTATATGGTAACATTATTATTGGGTATAATATAACAGTACAAGTATCTTCGATGATATGAAATTCATTTGACAGAAAGAACCGTATTTCACTATCAAACACTTACATTCATATATCAATATCGATGTAGCATACGGTATTCTATAAGAATCATCCTCAAACCATGGGTGACAATGGCCTTCCTTGGCATATGCCCTGATTGAACTTTTCTCTTGATGACATCTGCTAAGGCTATATTTAGTTTTCTCGTTCATTATGTGTTGTTCTTTATATAAGGGAGTCAATGAGAGGGCTATGAACATTTTGCTTCTAGTGAAAGTTAAACTCTGGTCAAACTGGTCTGACGCTTCCATTTAGGTCCAGGTGTATAATAAATTGAGTGAGCATTGAGCAATGCAGAAGCTGAAAAATTCTGGTTCTTTGAGCAAGTTTGGTCCTTTCCTTTTCGACAATGTAGTTATCATATATGCTTGTTTTACTACCCGATCCTGATTAAGGGCCCGTTTGAATAGCCGCTCGTGTGAACAGAACATAAAAATAAATAACGGCCGGTGCTTAAAAACCCGCCCGATGTAAAAGCTGATTTTTCAGTGGTAGAAAACGATAGGAATTAAGAAGCGCTTTTTGTCACAACAGATTAATGTCGTCAAATATTTATCTTCAAAGATACTGTAATTTTTGTGTATAATTTTACTTTAAAAATAACAAGCGCTGTGCTTGAATAAGGGCCGGTTTAGATCACTAATGTTTGAAAATTATATAGACCTATTTGGAAGTCTCGTTTTGATGTCTAACTAACCAAGCCCTAATCTGAAATATTTCCTCAAATCACTCCTCAGCATATAATTTGAAGATTGCTTTATTCATTTTACTGAAATTGTGGAAAATGAGTACAAAATCGATTTGCTTATAACGTCATAAGTACGGTATATCTTGTATTAAAATCAGTTCTTAATTCCTAGTTTTGACAAATTTTATATTTAATTTATTTTTCATTTTTAGAAAACTACAAGAGACTCAGCTGCTGATAGCCACGAAACTGGGTGAAGCAGAGCAAATGGCATCTACGTTCAAAGCAGGTATGTGAGTTGGCCAAGATATGGTGAAAGCTGAGACATACAAATTCATTCCAATTTTAATTCTAAAACAATGTTCTCTATCGAGATGATATAGTTAATCTTTTAGTAAGAGTTTGTATGAATTTATTAAACATAAGTTAATATTATATTTGATATTGGACATGAAGTGGACCTATAGATTGTTTTGGTAGAATGTGTTGTTGTTGGAATCCTTTTTCTTATCGAAAAAATCGCCTTTCTTTTTAATTATCGGACCAATTGCTTTGAAATTTTTAGTGGTTAATTTAAAGATAAAGATTGTTATCGTCTCTGGAAGGCTATTACTTTTATTTATTTAAAAAATTTCTGTGGGATTCATGGGATTTATTTCTTGTAAGCGATGACATCATCAAAATAAAAAATTGCGTACCTCATGCCGGTTCCCGCACTCATTGTGATCTGGTGGTCAGTTGATGTCTCGAAAGCTACGTGTCCATACGGGTATTGTGAAAAATTAGATACCTATACTACTACCTCGTTTCGGATTTTGTTTCCATATATTTGACCATTGCTCTCTTGTTAAATTAATATTCTGTTGATAATATTTTAGCTCTTGATGCTTCTCAAGCAGAATTATTTGATCTCAAGTCAAAGTATGATGAAGAAACTGCAGCGAAGTATGTATGATATAAACACCTTTCCTTCAGATGAAAATCAAATTCATTTTTGCTAGAAATGTTACATATTGTGTCCATGTATTTGAGCATTGCTTTTTGTTTTAAAATTTATTTTTATTTTTTAGACAAGCAGAGTTGGACCTTGTGCTTGGAGATTTGGACAGATCATCTCAAAGAAATGCAATCGCTGAAAAAGAAATTGAAAATTTAAGAGAACAATTGCTAGACGGTGGCAATAGATCCCACGAGCATGAGAAACCTTCAACAACCGCAATGGTAGGGTGCTGTGGTTTATGTATCTTCAACTTCCAGATTAGCTTATTTATGAAATATTAAACTAGCATCTTTGTATAGAATACTCCTTCACTAGATGTGTACTTGTGAAAAGCATGGACTCTTTAAAGTTTTATCCCGTGATAGAATTAAACCGCTGTAAAACTGATAAATTTTTTCATATAATCTCAAATATAATAATAACAATATTGGATTCTGACAATTCTTCCATATTGATTTATCAGATAAGGCCTGAGACTGAGAGGGAGCGATCAAAGACTTTTAGTGACTTGGTCAATTAGACTCGGAGTAAACTGATTATTTTTGTCTCAACGACAAGAATTTAGCAACTTTATTATAGGTTCACTCAATGTCCACTAACAATGTTATTGTAAATAATATTTGAAAGTAAAAGTTGTATGAAAACTCTTTTTTGTTCTAATACCAGTAATGTCTTGAGTAACAAAGTATCTTCAGATAATTTTTCTATTATTTTCAATATACAGGAGGAAGCTTTTGAAGTTCTTTCAAGGTCAAGTTTGGAGTCTGAACTTGCCAACAAAGAAAAAGAGGTGGGTTGAAATTCTGTTAAAGTTTTACAGTCGAGAATTTTTTTTTTTATATTCTGCAGTTCTACAGTAATTCATTCATGTGACAACTAACAGATATACAAATGAAATGTCCTATTCAGATAAGTCAGTTAGTGGAAGATGTCCAACATCTTCAAGGATCAATGGGAAAATTGCGAGACACATCTGCTTCTGCTATTGCCAAGTTGGAAGAAGAATTAAGCAATAAGAATTCCATTGTACAGGTTGGACTTTTTATCAGTCTTGTTTTTGAATGGCCCATGCCCTGAACAAGTCCTTAAACTAACAACAATTGAAATATAAGGAACAATTACATTCTTTGCTGCTGCATCAGCAAATAAGGATAGGATTTTAGATTTATCCTACTTTTCGGGAAAGCTCATAATACTCTTTATTGAATACCAAACAATGGTCTCCGAATAGTTACCGGTGCAGTTAGGTATGGGTTTAGTGGGTTAGCCAATTAGCTAAGCCATGGTTAAGCGGTGATTAATAGGTAGTGTATATTTTGGCCATGCCATTTCATTGCCAGAGTATTTGGCATGGGCAACAACTTTTTCATGCCTAATAAACTGTTTTATTTTTTTATATGTATCTATCCCGTTCCTAAGCTAAAATTTCTTTCTACGGTTTCATGTTTATCTGCTTTTAATTATTAATACCATTGAGGTGCCCCAGCTGCCAACTGGCATCAAAACAACTGCTCCAAACCAGTAATGCATACATACATACCAGTTCAGCGCAAAATCATAGAATTAGATGTAGTCAGTCCCACAAAAACCCATTCAATAGCACTTAAGCACTTAGAAAATAAAATATAGTATTGGAATAGTTTTCCACAATGGTACATACGAGACGACACCTCCTGGAACTAAAATTCCAATGGAGGCTTTAATGGTAGGAAAAGAGTTGTTAGTAATATAAGCATCTTCTTGCTTTTAGTTTTTTGGGTTCATTGAAACCAGATTTTTGGCAAACTTTGATCTTTTTCTCTTGATCTACCTTCCATTTGTGACTCTGGTGGGAGATAAGCTGTTTAGTCCTATGGTTTCTTTCTATTCTAAAGAAAATTTTCCGTTGCTTTTTTCGCTTTTTTTGGCGCTGCAAGTATGTGTACCAATATAGAAGTAACTAATTTTGTTTGCCTACTTCACATCCATTTGTGTAAAGTGACTGGAACCTATGGGCAGGGGGTATATTCACTTGACTAAAACAGACAGTCCGAAATAAAATTATGGCCTAACCCTAATCTGGTGCAGGTACTAAGGGAGTATCGTTTTTTTGGAATAATAGTAAATCTCTCTGATGTTTTAGGAGCTCCAGAGGCAACTTGAAGAAAGAGAAGACTACAACGAAATCAAGCGTGAATTACAAATCATAAAATCAACTGAATTCTCTACTCTGGATTCTACACCGAGCGGCGATCAATTTCATTCGAGTTCGTCAAAATCTAAAAGTCTTGAAATGTTACTGCTTGAAAAGAACAGAGCGCAACAGTCTGAAAATACTGCTTTGCGTGCCGCTAACGCTCAACTGACTGGTGAGTAGCAAATTTTCTTGTGTGCATGTTGTCTGTCCAAAAAACTCCTTGTATAAATGAGAATTATGACAGTTCAGCGTGTCTACTCAAACGCAGAGTGTATATATAAGCCAGGTTGAAAGATGTAAAAAGCTCATACAGACAGAGTTAGAGCAGGATTCAAGGTATTGAAGACTTCGGAAATATCGACGCCATTTTATTTATGTGTTGTATATGAACCAGTGTATTAATCGTAGTCTGACTTCATGAAACAAGAAACATAGTCTGTGATGCGGAGCGGTAGATTCAGTTTGAAAGGCTTTTTAGAAATAGGTAAAGAAAGCCTTTCAAAGATACCTGACCTGTATCCATCAGGTCCGATATTTGTGCATGGAATTGTCTGTTTTCTGTTGTTTTGCACCTATTCTCGAATCACAGGGATGATTTTCTCTTGTTTTTTTGTAAAATAAAATGACAAGTTTGCAATTTCTCTGAAAAAAAAAATGTTACAAATTTTTTCTATATAGAATTTGTGCTTTTTACGGGTGGTATTGATGTTGATTAGAGGTTATACAAGAGGATAAGCATCACTGTGATTAGCCTTATCTTTCATTTCTTGATGTTTTCTTTATATGTTTGTGTTATCTGCTATCAGTAATCATCATAAAAGATAACAAAATATCACTTGGCTTATACAGTGATGCGGCATCCCAGCTTGTTAACCTCTTTTCAACAGGTAGTCACCGAGGAAGCAACGCCGTACCGATCACTCCACCGCATTCGTCACCGGAAAGAGTTCGACGCGGAAGAGAAAGAAGCACATCATCACGCTATAGAAATTTTTCTACAAATTCTCATCCCTCGCAAACAATAAATTCCTTTAGCCCGTCTCAAGAATATTCACAACTTTTTGAACCAACTGATGCCTTGTCACAGTTGCAGTTACAAAACCAACAACTAAACGCTTTATTGAATTTGAAAATTTTAGCGAATATTAAAGCTGCTGTCGCGGCTCAAAATATCAACACTTCTCCACTTTCCGCTCTCGGAGGTTGCTTAAACATGGCAAATCAATCTAGAAGTTCATTTCGAACCCCGGGTCGGGAAACATTCAGCCCCCACAATAGGCCTGGAACGAGTCGTAGCAACAATACGATTCCAAAAAACTTCGAATCGCATTTACTTGCCAAGTATTTGTCGCAGTTACAGAAGCTTGGTGTTTCAAGTTCTACAAGTTTGCCTGGATTGTCACCTAAGTTATCTAGCAATTCCAGAACGAATTACCACAATAGCCAAGAATTTTCCGATAGTTCAGACAATGAAAATTATGACGAAGCATTTTCGCAGAATTCAACCCATCATCGTGCATGGGGTGGCAGTAATAATATTAACTCTCGACATGTGAGTGACCCAAGTACATTGCGCACTTCGGCTGTTACTTCTCATAACGACTCAGACACATCTTTTCTATCACAAATTCGAAGGCATAGCCTTGGAGGAGATCAAATAGCACATCTTGAAGAAGTAGACACTGAAGAACTAACTTGCCAGGTAGTTAACATGAATATGGTTTTTCATTTTAATGTGTGATTCGTTTGTCTCACTGTTTAATAATTCTTATAATCAGGTTAGAGAATTGCTTCAAGCTAATAATATCGGACAGAGGGCTTTTGGCCAATACGTTTTAGGATTGAGCCAAGGATCCGTCAGTGAGATATTATCCAAGCCAAAACCATGGTCAAAGTTGACTTACAAGGGCAAGGAGCCCTTTTTCAAAATGTTGGATTTTGTCTCATCCAGCAGTAACGTTGATGCATTAAAATCATTGCAGAGGAAAGACCGAGAAGATAGAGGTAAGATGCTTCGATTTTTTTCGTCCTCTAGATGTCGTAAGTAATCAAAAAATTAAGCAAACTGATACCAGGAAATGTGTAATTAATTATTTGCTTATTTATCTGGTTATTGTGTCTATGTGGAGGGATGTATCATTTGTTATAACATAGTACAAACTTGATACATTGGTAATTTCCGCCATTTCCCCCACAATATATTTCGTTGTGTAATTCACATTTTTTGAGTTGAAAAACATCCGTTGAAATATCATTCTTTAGATACCGTGTCCCGTGATAATCTCTCTGACAATTTGTGTGACGTACCTAGTCAAATTTGCGCAATTGTTAGTCTAATGTCAGATGAACTATCACCAAATGTTTCAGTAAATTATGATGCTTTGCACAATAGTTATGTTTTCTCTCGTTTCTGTTATTTTGAGTCCTCATATACCACATGAGCTACAATTAAGAATCGATCAGAATGATGGTAGAATCGTGTTTCTAATGTTCAGAAATGACAAAACGGGCAAAATGCTTCAAATCATTTTATCGCGTGATACTATCATAATCATTAGATAGACGCTTTAAAATAATACATGTTCCCCAGACCAATAAACATCTCATTCACGAAAGTCTGCTATTTTGTTTGTTTTGCCCAAAACTAATTAATCAAACACTTGGCTTGTGATAAATATACCTACGCCGAAAATCGCCTTAATTATTTTATATTTTATAACATCACAACACAAAATGAGTTTTTACCGTTTTGTGTAGTGACGAACGAAATTAAAAACAAAAATTTGCACAGCGAAAATTCGGAAGCTTTTTGGGGTACGGTTGACTACAAGTACTGTAAACTATTCAATAAATTAGTTGTAACTTAGATTATTTGGTAGGAACCATGAATCATCGTCACAGGACCAGGGAAAGCTCTAACAGGTCGGGTACCGGTACCGGCGAGTTACCTCACCTATTCCATAGTTAAAAACGGCATCGAGGGAACAGAGTTCAAACGATGTCATGCGTGCCGTCCAGTGACGCAGTCGCGTCCAGGAAAAAACTGTTTGTCGGCGTATCGTTGAACGTCTCCGGCTATTCGTTTGCCAAAACCTGTCAAATTATCTGCCTCAATGATCTTGTTTCATTCAAACAACTAAAAGCTCTTTCATGCGCAAATTAGCTATTGTCATTACCATGAATGAAAATCTACATTTCAGATTCAATGCTTATAAAACAAATAACTGGTTTACTGTTCCCATACTCGATATGGACTGGTAATTGTGGACGATAGTAGGTGAATCATCATACGATTAATCCGTTTCGAGGCAGGATAGGAATTCCATCTTTACTTGCGTGGAGAGGAAATCCGATGAAACGGTGTAATCGGCGAACCACGACCTCTCGTCAGGTTAACAGTCCGTGCCGGGTATGGGATAGTCATCCAGTTGTTTGTTTCATATCCATGGACTTGGTTTTAATGGCTTTTCTTCTCCCCTGGGATAAATATGAAATTCCCATCTTTATCCTTTTTCTGTATATTGGTGCGGCATTAACAGCAAAATTGTCCCATGCCATGCATATTGGGAAAACTCGTGGTTGCGCTGCTTTCCAAATGAAGTTCGATAATTTCATGGAAACGAAGCCCTTGGCATTGTTGTTCACATGACTTTAAATTAACACCATGGGAGTTCAATTCTAGTTCTTTTACGCAAAGACCGTCAAACGAGAATATTGTTGTCGTCGATCGTTCACGCGGTGCTGCGTCAATTGTTTCCCGATTGGACTCAATTTACATTAGCGCTTTCCGTTAGCGAAATTAACGACTTTTGCGCGACTCTCAAACGGTTGTGAATGAAGGAACATGCAGAGAATAACTGCTTGTATGCCAAGACAGACTTTACGCGCCGTAAGTCATGTTATAGTTCGAAGTAACGTCGTTTTTTATTAGTCAGAAATATTTGAGGTACAGCAAGTGTGTGAACTATATGAAGTGTATCGGAACAGAATTGTCGTCTTGTTCATAATAAATAGTCGAAAATATAAGTTGGAATTTTAAAAGTTTTCAATCATTAATGCATAATCCATAACTAGATTTTATTGCAGGGAGTTTTAGTTTTGTGGAAACATATAAAAACGATAAATTCGCTTTGTCAGTTCCTAAACATTGGAATTCGCTTTGGATTGGCTCATTTGGTTATTTCGTCTCAGATGACTTGGATAAAGTAGTTAGTTTGAGATGAATAGGACATCGGAGCGGTATTATTCAGTCACAGTGCAGTTTTAGTTGTTTGTTTCCTAGTTCCTGATTGCATTGAGAAACTTGTATCAAAGTATTAATTAGCGATGGCTGTTTAATACACATACAATATACATAAAGCGATTGCTTTTCTGCTGGCGGATTCGTATGTATATAATGTAGAATGAATAAATATGACTCTCATTCGTCGGTTTAAAATTTAAAAATCTCTGCTTTTTGTTTGAGACAAGAGTGATAGGTTACAATGTCCCCTGAACGTCGCCAATTTATCTCGTCCCATTTATCACCCACTCATATACAAAGTATAATCAGTTAAAATCCGATTAATTCGACCGATTATCCGTCGCCGTTATTTTGACGCCCGCGTCTAATGTTTTTATTGGTCAAAGTTGATTATCACAGCAGGCTCTTTTGTTATCATGTAATTCATTGTATAGCGCATTACTAGCTCAAGGTACGTTAAATTACATATAGTCAGATGTATGGAACAGGTAAGGTAGTTTTGCTACTTCTTGTCGTTTGTTATTGCCAGATATGCCTGTTTATGAATTAGTTCGGTAGCAAAGTCACACATTTAAAATCGGTATATTCTGAGCCCAAAGTGTAATTTCAACACAAAAATAGAGTTTGAAGAATTGAATTTCAGTATTTTTTTGTTTCAGAGTACTAGTCTAGAAAAGTACAACAATATTTTTAATGTTCCATATGTAGATGCAGTGTAGAAGTAGGAATGGATACTTGTTTTGGTACTCCCGTAGTGTGTGTACCAGGTTAGGGTTGGGCCATAATTTTATTCCATTTTTCCATATTTTAGTTCTATTACGAGTTCTGGGACTAGCCAAGTGACTCCCGTAGTATTTGTACCTGAAACTAACCTGGTAAACATACTACGTTCCGGTGTCCGCCATATTGGTTCACGAACAATGGGAGACCCAATGATATTTTTAAAAGCGTACGAATTACCGAAAGTGCATAAAACTTATTATTATTCGCAACAAATACGAGGTTATTGTATTGCTAATAACGAACTATGGTTGTTGGTTATTTCTCTGGCCATTATTGCGCATCATCTCCTCGTCTCTGATATAACGGGAGGCAAAATTGCACATTACAGTTAAGATTGTTGCTGTAGTTCTACGATTGCGAGGATTCTAATAGTTGTTTATTCTTATTGGGTTTACATTACTGCTCACAGAGATAGCATGTCGCTTTAACGACGTGGGAAATCGTACATTGTGGTTAATATGTTACCCCGACCGAAAGCACCCCATTTTCATACAGATTTTACTTCAAAAATAAACGTAGGAATAAGCTTTTTTGTGTGTAATTGCGATTGTATGCGCACAGTATACCACGTTAACTGCCTATGAATGAGATTAAAGAGCGCTGTCTCTGATCATAATTTAACTGTAATGCTTGTCTAGCAATATTTTTATGAAATGAATTAACATGAAATGCTAGTTAAACTGATATTTTTTAAATGTATACAGTACACAGAAAGCCGTTTTACGCAGCTTTGTAAATTAAGGACACAATATACTAAATATTTTTTTTCATACGTTTTTTCACTTTTCAACCAGTGCGTTACCTTAATTGGTCCAAAACTGCATTAAAGCAGCGCGATGTCGCTTTCTAATGTATTTGGCCAACGAAGTCGCGTCGTCAAAATTCAAGGTTTCATATATACTTTAGAATTCATACGCGGGAGTAGCGGACGTAGTTTCCTAATTACACTCATTTGGTGCCGTGCTTATAAAAAATTGAAGTACCTGGGTCGCTCGCTAATCACAAAATTGCATGCCTTTCACCTAATTGCTAATAAGTGGATTGCCACTCTTTTTCTGAGTCGGGTATTACAGAATATGCAATTGAGATTTAAACCCTTTACTGGTTTTGCTTTTGGTTCGCTGACGTGTGTGTTTTACGATAAGTGCAGAAAGGGTTAAAATCGGATTTCGTCACAAGTATAGGGGGGCTTGAAAATATTTCTAGCAATTACACAATTAGTATCGAAATTAACCCTTACGTGTGTACAAATTTGTTGTTTTTATAAGATGATGTTTTTCTACGATACTTCTTATTCTTCTGTATTATTTTTTCTCCAGTTATTTAGTGAGCCTCTTCGACTTTTATTGATTTTGTAGTTCGTTTTTAGTCTATGCGATTCAAGAGACTTGCTGCACACTGCTGTTAGTAAATAGTCATTATTATTCTTGCGTTGTACGCATGCATATTCACGAACGCGATGGCACATAAGAAGGGTAGATAGTAGGGCCGCGCGTAACTGCTGATAGTTCAGTTTCAGTAGTTCAGTTTTCAGCTAGCTTGACTGTATCAATGTTCAGAGCAGGCCGAAGTGAAATCATCGTATGATAGCGACTTAAAATACAATTCACAACGGAAAAGACATTTGTTTGGCTCACTTAATCAACTGATGGCTCTAAATCAGCATATTGCATACTGTGCAAATCCACTATTGCGCCAATATTTCCAAATCTGACAAATCATGGGGCTTTCGACCTTTGTAAAAATTTCTTGGGTGGTTCAGAGGTTGGAGCAATGTGATAAAAAATATAGTTTAGTGGAACATAAGATCACTTGACTAACGATGTTTCCGAAAATTTCCGAAAAATTTGAAAAAAAAAGAAAGATTTAATTCCCATTATTGTTCCAAAATATGCAATACTTTTATGGCTAGGCTTAGTGCACAGCTCTGATATGCCGCTCGGCTATTTTTTGCTCTTGTCTCGGATTTCGTGCGTTAATTATTTTCCGAACGATTGCCGCCATTGTTTTATTTATAATCGTGCAGCGCCGTATTAATAATCCCAATTGACAAATGACGCGAAATGCATTCTATTGTTTGAAATTACGCGTGACAGCTTGCGAAATAATACACCCCGTACTACTCTGAGATAATATCACGGTTTGAAATTAACTTTTGATCAAGTTCACATCCAAAAAGCAAATCCTAAATTGATGTAAAAATTCGTTTAATTTGGCGATCTTCATATTCGGGATATTCTGGTGTACGAAGCCCTGGCCAATAAAAAAAAAAAAAAACTTTTTCTCAAATCGCGAGGGCTCCCGTACAAAATATCCCATCCTCGAATAGTTTTTCATTCTACAATTCAATCTTGCGATTAATGCAATACCATTTCATGAAAATCATGACGTATTCCAAATTTCTATTTAAATCATATTTTCACTGCCGTAAATATTACGCTTAAAGTAGAATATTTCGTTTTTCCATCCTGTTGGTTAGAAATGTCAAAAAATGCATTTCTGTTCGACTAATTGCATGTAAATACCGAAAATTAATAATTCAGGTAATATAACACGCTTCCGTAGGATTATCTCGATCAAATAAAACAAATTCCTGTTTTTTTTCTTCGCGCTTTTGTATTACTTTACAAAGGGAAATACAATAATGGATATTGGAGCGATTTCCGGTGTGTATTTATGAATTGTAGTTTTTGCGCATAACACCTTTGAGTCGACCAGCTAACTTTCGTAACTAATCGGATTGTTTCGCGGATGCACCTGTCGGTATCACGTACGCCTATAGCGAAATTAGTCCCCATTCCCTTTAGTTCAGATTTGATTTCGTCATTCGTGGGGTTCTCTACATGCAGATCTATGTTGTAAAAATGTTGGCCCGTAAGATCAGGGCGGAGAGGTAGTACTCAAATGTGAAAGCCCGTTTTTGAGGAATATTATCTCTGTAGTTTTGGGATCCCTGCAACCGTCTATAGTTCTTTTGAAGATTATTTTTAATAAGTTTTAGATTCAGGATAGATAAACGCGTTAGACTAGTTCTGTATATTTTTTTATCCGACCCTTGACGCCGCTTAAAATTTTCAAAAAAAAACGAATCAGAGCAGCAAATTTGAATTACCCTTTTTTTTTAGTAATATTTTAGTGATTGTTTAAACTAATCATAACTAAAAATAAAAGATAATAAAATGAGAAATAAATTAATTGTGCAGTTACTGGATGTCGCAAAATGGAACAAAGTACTTTTGTTATTTCGTAATTGGACTGCTTTATCGCATCTGATTTGTTAGCTTGGATTTAATGATTTACATCATTATTTTAACGGTATATAAGAATAGGGTCTAAATACGTTGGAGCAATTCAAAACATGATGCGTACCGTGAGATTTTTTAACGTCGGGTTATTTTAAGTAACAAAATCATTTAAATGTAAATTTTCAATTGCGAAATCGAATTTTGGATATGGTGATTTGAACGTCACCATGGCTGTCCTGTCCTACGTAATCGCCGAAATTGTATAAGTTAATTATTATAATACAAATGGTTGAACAGTTGACAAGGTATTATGACTTCATTTGCCGTACGGACAGCGACGCCGTCGTAAAATACCAAATCTCGGCTCGTCTTTGCTAATCTGCTTCGTCGGTGCAGGCTCGCCATATGGCGCTCGTATATACTCACTTTCGTATTCTCGCTGACGCCCGCCGTCTCTCGCTACCCCGCGGTGCATAGCGAGGTAGAGAAAATTTACTCGTTCTCATCGGCTGCTCGGTTTTCGAGTTTCATCTCGTTCTATTATTCGCTCCAGCAATGAATTATTCAGCTGGAAGTAGAGTTTCATCTGCCGTAGATCCTAATTCCCATTCCCATGCGAGTAATGTACATGTTCGTTGAGTATGCACTTCCCGATTGCTTTCGCTTTGGTCGAGGATTATTTTTCTATCAAAAATTTAAAATAAAATTTTGTTCGACAGAATTTTTACGTTATTTAACAACGCGTTTTATTCTGCAAATCATACCAACAATTTCTTTGCTATCACTGTTGCCAGTTTTTCGCAAACATAACTGTAAATTGCTTCTGTGCTTGCGTGTCTGTTATCTTCGTTATTTGATTAAAAGCGTACTTAACTCCCTAAAATTGTTCAATTTGCTGTCGGTATTAGCCAGCGTGCGCGATTCTCGTTAGGAAGGGAAGTAACGTATTTGTCGAGTAAATGGAAAAGATGTCTACGAATTATTATTGTTAATTTTTGTATTTTTGGTATTTTAATATGAGCATTTATTTAAATTTTTAACAGATTATTTACTATATAATTGCATTTTAAGTTTATAAAGTTTTTTTCGGTTTGTTCTGCTTGATTTTCTTCGATGTAAGCAGACTCCTTACCTAGTTTTCATACTTACTCACACAGTATTATGCGGTGGTAGAACACAGTCGTCTTTGAGGCAAGCCGATCCAGATTCGGAACAGGCTATTGCCAACATATTGGCCGCTGCTCGTGAGGAAATGAGAGTTGAGCAGGTGAGAAGAAATGTCATTTTTAATTGATTGATTTTGTTCGTTTCAACAGCTTATTTCCTGAACTATACATCTGTAATAAACACCTTTTTCAAGAATAAGAATTATGCAAGTACCGGTATTGTATTATATATATCCAGTACTAACATGTTATATCTACTGTATATATTATGTTATATATGGATAAATTAGAAAGTGTGGCAATTACCCAACCCAGTCTAATCCAATTCATCCTTAACATATGCTATTATGAACATAATAAAAAAGGAGCATATCAGTAAAATAATGACTGGTCACTTTGCATGTATGGCCCAATGTATACATTTTTTAATAATTAGCAAGCTGTGTTTGGTTTTTACTATTCTATCTTATTCTTAAAGTGTTAGATATTATCTAGGCTGTTTGTTTGTTTATTTATTTGTTTATTTATGTAATACTCAAGCAATTTCACTTACACAGCAGTTAGTATCCAGCTGTGTAATAAGCACCACATTTGACCAAATACAAACTGTTTGTTTCTCTCTCTCTCTCTCTGTAATACAGAGGCCATTGTTTCTTTGGGATTAGATGTGATGTTACTTCTCATCTTTGGTGGGATATATGTACCTTGGCTTTGGTGAAAATTGGGTCTTTAACGTTTATAAATTTGGTTTATGTTATGCATTGACCAATATTGTTTCAGTGTAGTCTATAATTTTGGGATTGGAATCTTGAATTAACTCAGCCTTTACTCTTAAATTAACTATTTTGGGTTGAAAGCAGCCTATTGGCTAATATTTAAGTGCATTTTTTACTGATTTTTTTGTAAAATGGTTTAATATTTCAGAAATAACAAGTCTGAATAATTTGTATATATTGTTATTTGTTTTTCTACGAAGAATAATTTGGCAATCATCCGAATACACTTTTTATTTATTTGTATCTCTGTGACATACTGTGGCCAATGATAATTCTTGTTATTAATGCCATGATTTACCCAATTCCAATGCTTGAACATACTTATTGTCAAGGTTTTAGACATGGATACTAGCAAGGGCTTTTCCTCAACGATGCGTCACTGTTTGCATCTTTACCATAAATTATTTATGGATTCTGCGCATTCACTGCGATTCGTAACAGACTTGCACTTGTCGTTTAGCGTGACTTTTCATCTGGGAACGAAATATCCCTTTTTATGATGCTGGTATTGTTGTACTGCTAGCTTGCCTAGAGATTCGGAAGCTTGAGATATTTTAAATTCATACATTTTATAACACTGTCTAGTGTTCAGATCGGCCAAAATTAGCTATTAGTACTCCGATTGGTGGCAAGGGTTTAAAGTATATAGAGTTCATACTTAAATAGTTGAGTATTTTCGGTATTATGTATAACCAGAAATTCTTACTTGGAATACCAATAGATGTTGCAGTAAAATCATGATATAGACAACAAATTATTAAATGAAAACTAACAAAATTAGGACCTTCGGAAATTTGCACAACCTGAACTCAGATTGTGTACCAGGTTAGGGTTCAGGTTATGCGACATCTTGGTGCACATACTTCAGGAGCACCCAAAATTATTTTTTTATTTAAACAGGAATTCTGAATACCTGTTTTTTTCAAATCCCAGGTTAAATTAAATACCTACAATACCATGTTCAATGGTCATTATCTTGTTTTTAGATTCGGGTTATCAAAATTACAGAACAATAGTTTATTTATTTATATCTTTCAAGTAATGCAGTTTTTTTTTTCTTTTTTGTAGGAAAAAATCAAACGATCTCAAGACTTTTATACTTATCAACGAGAAAGTGAGACAACCAATATCAGAAACTCTCTTTCAAATCCTGATCGTGATACGTCACCAGACAAAAGTTTCTCGAAAGTTTCAAGTTCAACAGGAACTATGACGACCGTTGCCGCAGCTGGTCGTTGTTCTTATTCAGACAATGCTGTTTCAAGATTTACTGAAAAAGTGAAAACTGTTGCCACAAGTGTCGCTGTAGAGCAAACGCTTGAAACAGGCATGCCATCATTAATCAAAAGACAACGCTGTACAACAGGAAATGAAAGCGGCAGGGTGCTACAGAAGACGCACAAAGATAAGCACATTCGTTCTGAGTCTCAGTCAGAACAGAATGAATCTTTTGTGACAACAGCTAGTGGCAATAGTCATTCCAGCCACAACAGGTCAAAGGTTACGTCAAGTTCAAGTTATATTGATAAGGAAAGTGTTGATCATAGTGGAAACAAAGAAGATCATTTAGTGAAATCTGAGCCTCGAGATAGCGGAGAAGTTTCAGATTACTTTGGTCAAGACAAAGTATCGAAAAGTGGCTTTACAGCTACAAAAGAAGAATTATTATCTGCTAATCAGCGTTTAATTAGTTCTCAACCTGATTCTGATAGCCTACAACGTCTTTTTGTGACGACAACATACAACGACCCATTTATTCCGCCACCTTTGTCTCCCACTGCGGAAGAGTCTCGTAATTCAAGAGGAAGTGGGGCTGGAACCCCAACTAGTGATAACGAGGATAGGCAACACTGTTACAGTTCCCCCTTTATGGGTGCTGAGTCTCATTACATGAACGATAACGGGAAAAGATCTCCGACTACAAAATCTGACACAGAATTGGAAAAAATTCAGCCGCTGAGAAAGAGAGTTAATTCACTCTCGCCACCATCGAGGCATTCTTCAAACTTACTCCACGACCCACCAGTACTTTTTCGGGAGTTGTCTTGTCCAGCATTCGACGAAAGTGACCGCGACGCTACTACTGTTTCCAGTACTACTCCGACTACGTTTTCTAACATGTTATCATCAAATATGTCGTCACTTCAAACATCTTCTTCACTGTTTGATTCTCATGTAAGTAACCGTATTGGCATTTTATTTTCTTCATTTAAAAATGCTTTGTTATATGTTTTAAAATTTGAAAATTATAAAAATTTATCATTCATTCAAAATCTTTATATTTTTGTGAACAATCACATAACATCTGAAGTAATGTTATTGAGTAACAATAAAAAAATTAATTTCCTCAGAAAAGTTTAAATGATAATATCACACAATTTTTCACATTTAAAGTTTCATTATACCTTTCATATATTTCATTAACAGTGATTTGTAGTTTTATGCATTGACTTTCTTTATTGAATAAAAGTAAAACTGATTTTTTTAGGCAAGCTACACTGAACTAAGTCCGGTGACAACAGGAACTTTATATAATCCACATAGAGATGATCACACTCAGCATGGTTTTTCTCAAGTATCTCAAAGTTCTTTCACAACTGTGGAAGGCGCACCAAATGGTAAATACATACTTCGTACCTAAGAGAATGGAATATTTGTGAAATGCTTTTTTTTGCTATTGTTATTATATTGATGAATTTGGTGTCATTAGAATACATATTTAGTACATATACATAAAGTGAGGCTTCAATACTATATAAGGGAAAAATAAGAGTGGACTCATGGAACTTCCTTGTCTAACATTGTCATTGTGCAGAAAGATAGCCAAAAATATGTAGTTTCTATGAATGAATTAAGTACGTTAGCCTGTTATAGTAATGTACATCAATATATGTATAATGAGACAACACTATAATATAGGCTACATTGAAAACATAAGTGCACCCAATGGACCTGCTTGTCTAACATGTCTTTGTGCGAAATTATAGCCATATCTGTAAGATTTTTTTTACATAAATTCAATATTATCTACCAGGTATTTCCAGCATGTTGCCGCCCTTGACATTAAAATCTCATCCTCACCATGGATCAAGCCCGATCCCAACTTATTCAGCTTTGACGAATACAATATCGAGCTCAAAATATGCAAACTACCCGCAAGAACAACACCACACGGTAAATAAATTGTACTTATAAGTTTCACTGAAGTTTTGACAAATATTTTGTTTTTCTACTAAATGATGTATAAGAAAATATGGCAAACAAAATAAAAAAGTTTAAACTTTTTGCCCGTTTTGATTGTTTCGTGATATATTTTTTTAAACTCAATAAAAACAATATTCATAGTATATTTATTGATCTTTATGTCCACTACCAAATATTGATCCATCTTTTCTAAAATATGACGAAACTACCGGTTATCAATAATTTGATTCAAAAAATGAGATCAGCTGTTTGATATATTGATAAAATCTATTTCTCTTGCAATGTAAAACTTCCCCATTAAGCAGAATGTACAGAGGTTATGTACATTGAAAATAAGGGGTGTTTTGTTCTGTTTTTGCTGTCAATATTTGCGGACTTTGACGTAATATTCATTTTTATATTTGAGTTAAGATTTCTATCACTACTATAATAACTACTTGGATTTGATTAAATTGAATTTTAAAATGGCAACTTAGATAAAAACTAATATTTTAAATTTTTATATTTCAAATTTGACTGAGACGCTTGCAAGATAAACCCTCTACGTTCTCATTATACATTTAATCTTACTGATTTTGGGCAAAGCGACAAATGGTTAATGCACACATTTTATCACTAACATTTATACATTCTCTGATAAAAAGTTTAAATTTTTATATATTTTTCTTTTTATTTATAGCAAGCTGAAGCTGATTACAACGATGATCAACAGTTTATTGAAACGTCAGATTTGATGCCGCCTATCCCACCTGAAGCATTACACAGATTATCAATGTCACAGGTCGACACTGTTTCTGTGACGAAACAAGTCCGAGATCGTTTGGCGAAGCACGCTATATGTCAGAGGATATTTGGTAATTCAAATTGTAGTTTTTTAATAATAAATCTTACTTTTATTTGGAAGTATTTTGACTTCTGTAACGATGATGTCGTTCAGATTTTGTCAGTTTTTGTTTTTAATAAAGATTGTAATGTATGAAAGCCTTCTATAAAATGATAATGGCGCTAATAATTCTTTTATGCAAATTCTGTAATGATACGAATCATAGATTTCATTCTTTGGGTTGTTTTTTAAACTGAGAGAACTTAAACAAATACTATAATTTCACTTATGAAAATAACATTTTTTATGTTATTTTCAGGCGAAAAAATCTTAGGGCTCTCACAAGGTACAGTCAGTGATATTTTATCTCATCCGAAACCATGGGGGAAACTAACACACAAAGGTAGAGAACCTTTCGCTCGAATGATAATGTGGCTCACAGATGCAACTGCTGGGGGATTGCTGCCGACACATGCAGGTTTGTCATGATTTGGTTTCATAAAAACAGGATGTTTTTATTTCGTAAATGTGACATAATCTTGAAATGTATTTTTCTTATTTCTCAGTTTAATACTTTTGTTTTGTTATGGCAATTTCATCTCTTTGATCTTTCGATAATAGGACATATTATGTTGCTTTTTATCTACTAAATATGTTAATTTTATGTGTTGCACATATGTGTGTTTGTATGTGAGTTAACTGATTTATGAAATTTTATTTTTATTTTTACGTAAGATATAGTCACACATAAGCGATGTATGTGTGTGTATTTTCCAAACATTTGAAGAAATTTATAAACTGATATGTGGTAGAGAATTTGAAAATTTTCAAATTTTTGTTATATACGGTTTGAATGAAATAATTGAAATTTTGTAAATAAAATGTAGTTTTTATTCAATATAGAAGATAACTGTAAAATTATGAATGTATAAAAGAAATTTTTTTTTGGATATGACAATATTAATAGGGTAGAGAATAGATTTATGTCACATAGATATGAAATTCATGCAATTGCATATAGCAATACATTATACAACATATTCTCAATCGCTAATTATAATTCCGGTTTCTGCTTGTGGCCTGTACAGTCGTCTTTAGCTGAAACTTTGTGCGTGATAAAATGTACATTTGTGCATTAACCTTTTGTCGCTTTACACAAAATACTTAATCAATAAGATTATATGTTTTAAATAAAATTGAGAACGCAGAGGGTTAATCTTGCGAGGCAGGCACAGGAAATAGAAAGATCGTGCGTTAAAAGCCATCCATCACACGCCGCAGTTAGCACGCCCGTCTCTCCGAACAGCCAAAACCTACAAAGCTGTGTGAGGCTGTATGCGACTTCCGGCAAGCACAACACACACAGCGAACGTACATTTTGAAATTGTCTCTTTTTAATCACGGGTATTGCCCGAACTTCTCGCCTTTTGCTATGCATTAAATGTACATGTCTAATTATGAAATTCTTGGTAGACTGTACCATGAAAGTTGATATTTAAGTCCATAATATACCATTATGACAACGTGCGCTGCATAGATGGAAATGTCATATTATCAGTATTGCTTTTAATGCTCTTTGTGTTTGTAAAATTTATTAATTTTTATCAATATGGAATATTTAACCATATTTTTTAAATATGAAGCAGAATTTTTTTTTTGCATCATATATTTAAAATTTATATCGAATTTTCTATTATCATATTCATAGAAAATTAAAAATCTAATCATGTAGTATTTATTTATTTCTTTATTTTTTGTTTTGTTAGGTTCACAACTGACTAGTGATCCATCTGCAGCTGAAAATACGGCGAGAAGTCCGACTGACTCTAGCAATGGAGATCCAATCAATTTAACTAGAGATCAGGTAGATAAGATTTCATTTTAATATCTTTTAATATCTTGAATACATGGTACTTTAATATTTATATCTCATATTTACACCACTAGCAAAGCATCAGAAAAGCAAGCACTGTCTCAGTGTTGTCAGACATTATTTTTTTCAAATTCGCTTGGGTTGTTTCCAAAACTGTTGAATGTTTTAAAAATTGAAACAATAAGAATATTTTATTTTCTACATAATGTGGCTGTATCAAATTGATTGTTTGTAATTCTGAAATTTTTTATATTCATAATCTAAAATATGTTACTTTATGATATTGAACAAATTTCAAAAAATAAAATACATATATCCATCCTGACTTATTTGGAATGAAGCCGTATGCTTTGGAAATATTACAATATTTGATTTTGGCATAGGTAACCCAATTCTAACACTGTGTGGAGATTATTTTGCTAACAGATTATCACATAAACAAGCAGGACATTTCTAATATAATTAAACATTTTTAGGACTGATTTAGATTAATGGATTTCTTAGTAAAACGTTGTTTGACATTTTATATACAAGTCTAAATGCTTATTTCATTTTTATGTCGAACCCTTTTTTTTTAAATAATATAAAAAACATTTGATATATTTGTAATCTGATTCAACATTAAATTTGATTTTCATATGCGTACATTCTCGCAGTTCTTACTATACGATGAAATTCTCGATTGCCTTTCGCATCAGGCCATCTATTATTAATCACGTTGTCGACGTCACACAAACGTATTTGTTTACAGCAAGCAGTTCTCATAATAATGTAAATTTTGAAAAAATAATATTTGGAATTAGTTCAAGTTGCAATTTGAAATATCTTACTTTGTTTAAGTTTAGTAATCTTTGGGTTTTTGTTAAATACATTTTTATCAATAGAGGAGTCCAGATATATGGTTTAAATTTAAATGGAATTAAAAACTATTCATACCTTGTATAATTTCCCATTTCGTGATAACTTGTACATATATACACACATACTGGAACAGATTAAAGTTGTTTACCATTTAATTTTTCCCTTTTTTGAGATTATTGATATTTGATGAAATTCAACATATGGTAGTATTGATGTCAATTCACATAAAGATCCGTAATGCCTCGCGATTGTATATATTTCTTTTTCTGTATTTGGTATCCAATGTTCTTCGTTACTGTCCAACTATGCCATATGATATAGCCATTATCCCAAGGTCAGGTACTTCAATTCAAGGTCATACTGAAGACCTATTAACACTAAACTTCAAATCATATATGAAGTTCTCCATTTTCAATATCTCCATCTACCCTGGTTTATTAAGGTTTCTATAGTAATTTCTTGTTTTTGTTTTCAGGCAAAACTCAGCAGGGAACCTTCACCTAGTTCAAATGGAACGTTAGATTCAAATGCTCAATATGTGACAATGTCGCCACCATCTGCTACCCCACCCGATTCCGCTCACACAAGTTTGGATCGAACTTCACCCCACGATTTGCACCCCCATACAACCCCCGTTTCAAGCAGTTCCTCCCCGCCTGAAGAAGCATTCAATCAACTGGAGAGGCATTTTAGGACCTCAGCCCCTGTTGCTATGGAACAATCGAACAATGGATCCCCTATTACCCCGCTACAACAAATGCTCAATATTCAAGAGTTAGCAGCGAGTTGTCCGAAACTAGACACATTTGCACTCACAAGAAAAGTGAAGGATCTTCTCACAGAACATAATATAGGTAAGTTTTTTAAAAAAAAAATGCTCTCAGAGTAACATCACCCTCATTCACATAGAAGTAAAGGAGATTGAGCTCTGAGTGAAGTTATTGAGTAGCAAGTGTTACTAGCGGTACACTATGCATTAGTAAGTACGAGATGTGAGACTTGATAATGTCTTAGAAAAAACAATATGAAAAATCAGATTGTTTAGATATTGTAATAAGGTCTCTTTAGCGTAGCTTATTGTGGGGAAATTTCCACAACTCTTCTGTAATCCATGCTCAAGAAATCTTCCAATGATGTGTACTACTTTTTAAAGGGAATGGTGCATAGCCTACCAAGTATAATTGAATTTTCGATAAAAGTAATACAAAACGGCAAAAATATGTAAACAGTAATATCAAAAATGTGACGTAATTTGAAAAAGGCGGTTGAAGAAACTCTTCTTCACTATAGGAAATATATTTCCAATACGCTTGTTGATGATCTGTAAAATCCATCAAATTAACTAGAATTTTAAGGTAACTAATTTGAAATACTTCATTTCAGGGCAAAGAATATTTGGGCAGGCTGTTTTGGGACTGACACAAGGCTCTGTCAGTGATTTGCTGTCTCGGCCAAAACTATGGAGATCACTCAGCCTGAAAGGTCGTGAACCCTTCGTCCGAATGCAATTGTGGCTGTCCGACCCAAATAATATTGAACAACTTAAAAATTTGAAATTGGAAAGATGGATGGAAAAAAAATGGGGTACGTATCATTTTTATTTATTATGTTATATTATTTTTTCAAAATTTAAATATTACGACACAGAATAAGATTTCTGTACTGCTCTGAAATAATATTTTTGAATAGGCTATTGAATTTATTTTAAATTGTGCCTTCACAATGAAGAAATACAAACAGTTGATTATAAATGTATGAAAATCGAATTCGCTAATACGGCGCAAGATTTTGATAAAGTTTGGCTAGTTACAGTGTCAGAATTTTAGTACAGTGTTAGTAATTTTTGATAAATATCTTCAAATTTATTTTTTTGAAATGTATAAAATAACATAACAATAATCTTTAGGCGGCAAGCGACAACGCAGCAATGACAACCAAATGCAACATAACTTATCTCCTGTGAAAAAACAACGAATCGTGTTGTCAACAGAAGAGAAAGAAGTGCTTCGTCGGACCTACGGTATTGAACCGTATCCATCCCAAGAAACCGTAGATTTACTAGCTGGAAAACTAGGTCGAAAATCAAGCACAATTGTCAATTGGTTTCATAATTATAGGTAAGAAGATTTAGATTAGATGAAGTATTGAAATTTTTTAAATTTTCGAGAGAGTTTGTCGATACTGTATAAGTTATTGGCACCACCAGCTGTATTAAATGAAGTATTAAATTGAAATATGACTTTTTATAACAATATTGGAATTGTATTGAGACTTTTTGAACACTAAGTAGAATATTTCATGTCTTGGTAAAAGTTACATTGGTTTTATGCAATCGTTTACATTTTGGATTTTTTAAAACAAAAATCCATTTTATATCAGTTATTACGATTTAAAATATCAACAACTTTTTCTGTTCTAGATCCAGAGTAAAAAGAGGTTTCTTTCCTGGTGACGAAATTCAAGATGGTTCTGGAAAAAAGTCAGGCCTCGGAAAAATGACGGTTAAACAACTATTAGACAGCATTACTTTATCAAAACAGCCATGCACCAATGTGAATCAAGGACGTGGAAACAGTTTCGAATCGCAGCGGAATTTTGCATCGAAAAATAGCCACCGTGTCACGACGCACCATGGATCAACAAGAAGACAAAACAGCAATATGTCTGACCACCAGATGCAGCAACAGACATGGGTTCCGACGTCCCACATACCGTCACCGACGGGCTTCGATCGATACGTGACCATGGACCAGATGAAGACAGAAACCATGGATCAGCATTTTCAAGGATTACACAGGGTGACACCTAGTGACATCTACTCAAATCAATCCATGCATATCAAAGAGGAGACCAAAATGATGGAATTGCAATCGGAAAACGACGCTATGTTCAGTTCAGCGTATTCATATCCGACATCCAACACCGTTTCAGATATCTTTAAATCAGCAGAAATGGCACTCAGCGATCCGGTATCATTAGCGGCCGCTTCCAGTTTTATTCAACCTAAACCAATGCATCACCATCAACATCACCAACACACACATTTCCCCGGCGACGGAAATATGTACACAAACTTAGACGAACCACACCAAGATAACTATGCAGTATCTATTACAAACGATTCCTATTCTAATAAAGTCCCTGTGTCACCACCTAGTGATCACGGAAACAGTATCCTACCACCCGTACATACCCTCACCCCGAAAAAATCTTTTGGGTCCCCTACCTTATCCAGCTCCAGCTTAGTTTTACCGTCTGCCTCATCTCTTCTCAATCAGCCTCAACTTCCAAGTTTGACCCCTGACCTCAGAATGGACCCCCATATGAGTTACGGAAATTCACGACCCCACTTACCCAGGCTTGTCGATTTATCTAGACCTCAATATGACGCAATCATTGCAAATAATAACATGAATAATAACTCTCGTTCAAACTTGGCCAAGCATGTTTCTTTACCGGGCGGAGTGTCGCTCAGTGTGACATCCACAAACGGGTCACCGACGCAAGGAGTTAGTTGTAATGACACGATCACAGCTACAGTTTGGGTGTCGTCTCCGAGTGAAAGTTCGGGGAGTAAAGAAGAAAATACAATCATCTCGAAACCGAATGTAGTCACATCAGAAAGCAATCAACCGAGGTTTACTATGGCTGATACGATGGCAAATGACAAGGAAAACACGGATGACAGTTATGCCTGGGTTTTTTGAGCTATCATATCTTTCATTTTTTTCAATTTATTTTCTTCTTAAAAACAAAAATAGCTATGGCGAAAAGTTGTTGCTTGTATTAGACTAAACTACCCTTCAACTTAGACCCTATTTTTGACTGCGACAAGCATGATTTTAGATGAAACAAATGAGTAATGCGAAACTATTTTTTGTCAATGAAAATCTAAGATTAATTTTGCGCAAAATATTTTTCATTGCTCGAAGCTACTTTCTTCAGCCAGCTATTTCGTTATTCGTTATTATAGTTGATATTTACACTCAATTTTTATTTTCGCATTCCCATTAGAGTAACAACATCGTTTCACTTTAAGGCGCTAATTTTAACATGTACATTTAATAAATTCATTGTTCACCACAATCTTGCGAAGGTACAACCATTCTTTTTACTTTTACTAATGTTACAAACTGCCAGCATGTTTGCGATTTTTTTTTTATTTTTTTTTTCAAGTTAGCAATCCCGAATTAATTTTTATTACTAGTCTTAAGATTTTTTCTTCAATAATACAATCATTTAGTACTTTCTCAGCATAGTTTCAGACTTCTGAACTGCCTTCATAATCTAATTACACTAATTGCCAGCAAATCATAAATCCTTTCTATAAACCAATGCCAGAAAAAAAAGAATTCAATGAACTGATCCTAATTTTGCCTTGAGCGAATATTTATATATAAAATATTCTATCGTCTCGAAAACTATGAGATCTTCGACAAATTTCATTTTTCCAACGCAATACCGTTCTTTGGATTACACTGGTTTCATTTTTTTAAGTAAATATTTTCCTATTTATCTAATTTTTGGTGTTCTTTCTAATCAAAATCTTGCTTTGGTACATTTACTATTACCTATACAGAGGTGAAGTAGCAATTTCCCATTTTGAATCATGCTATTGTTGCCAGGTTTTTACTTACACAACCTGTGTTTCCAATTTTTTTTAGCAAATCAGTATAATAATGAGTCAATTTTCTGGCAACAAAGGCACTTCATTTAAAAAAATTCAAACTGGACTGGATCGGTGAAAGACATCTTGCTTCATACCTCATTTATTATATACACAATGGCTGTGTGTGTGTTTCTCAGCATCCTAGCCTCGAAATAACTTGAATTTATTTTTAATTTGAATTGGACTAAGGCATACTTTTACAGCATAAAAACAGTAGTACAGCAGCATTGGCGACAGTTGGTACAAAGTGCAATACAGTACAATAATGAAAAAAACTTGCAATTTTTTCTCAACTTTTTTACTTTTTTGTCCCTTATCGACTCCACAGTGTGGACACAGAATAAGAAAACTTTAGTGCTTATTTGTGTGATAATAGCAATTATTTCTCTCTTTTTTGAACTTCTGAAATGAGTGTTTTGTGTATACTATAATATTATCATCGACTTTCAATTGTTTTATCTATATTTTATTTATATATGACCTATTTTTTTGTATTCATAACGGATAAAAGACTGCCCTTTGTTGAAGGCTGTGAATATGATTATTGATTAATAATAATGAAATGTCATGTTTAAAGTGTTCCTAATTGTTCGCTCTAATAAAATTTAAAAATTCATTTGTGTCTTTTTGCAAAGATTAAGAGATGAGGAAAGTTAAAAAACTTCGAGTTAGTCGAAACCACGAAGTATGAGGTATAGTCTAGGAAGGTTTTATAAAGTCTTAGCAGAAAACTGTGAGGAACAGTTGATGAAGGTATGTTAATAATTTAAGGATAAAGTGAAAGAACTCTATTCTCAATTTTTATTTGCGTTACCTTTTTATCTAACTTTATGTGGCATTTGGTTTCCCTACACTTTTGTCACCATAATCATTGTTCACTTCTTTGTTTTCTGTTTTTTTACAGAAAAACTTCACACATGTCATGATACATTTATTATCGTTTTTATTTAGGCTAGTAACAATCGATTTATTCAATAAAGTACATGTCTTTACTTTTAATACTGCACTCACTTGGTAGCAGCGTATTGGGTAGCTGATCTAAAAATCAAGCCTGCTCTATATGATCTTCAAAACCATATTTCGGTCTTTACATTTCACAATAAATGTTGTTGATGTGTGCAACACAAATTTTTATTTATTTTTTGATTTGTTGTAGTTTGATTCAACAGCATACACTTGTATAATACTTTGAAATGTTACAAAAGTCCCCAAGAAAATAATGAATTTGAGACTATTTTTCTGTAAAAACTAGCTAAAATTGATACAATTTTTGATTTGCTTGCATACTTTGTGACGCCCTCGGAGAAGTTCCATGGGTGTTGCTGAAGTGATAAAACTACTCTGAAATGTCTTACAATTTACTTAACTGGGTACTGCTACGAATAAAATGATCGTACATCTTAAAAAAATTATAATAAACCACCAAGGTATCATTATGTACAGTTTGAGAACAACTGAATTATTGAATACCAGTAGTGCTACTATGCTCAGAGTGTTCAATAGTAAAGCAGAAAAACTTGATTTAATTTGTTTGCAGTAGTTATCTTGGACTCTGCTTTCATATATTATCAGAAGTTGTTATAGAAATATCTCAGTTGGTATTCACAGCTATTTTCATGTTTTCTTCGGTAAAGCTAGAATTAATTTGTAAGCCTCATTTTTTTGAGTGAGAGTTCTGTATTTGAGTGCTAGGGGGATGGAGATGCTTTATTATATTTAATAATACAATTGAATAATACCCAATTAAGCAGATAGTCCTTGTAACTTCTTTTATTTTACATCTACAGAGAGATGTGAAATTGCGGAAAAAGACAAAATGGAATCTGCTCAAAAATTGGAACAACAACAACAGTTAATCAGACAACTTGAGCAAGACCTTATTGTAATGCAAGGATCATCATCGACAACTTACCGACCAGGACCTGATGTTAGTTTTTTGTCCCATTAAACCTAGACTTTTTTCATTTCAATTATCTTTTGAAAAATGAGTTATCCTGTGATAAAGTTCAGTTGTATCATTGCTATATATGGAAATCAATGGAGTAAATTTTGCCAAGGTTTGGAACCAGGTGTCTACAATTCTTTGTAGATATTCGTTGAATAAAGTTCCATGGGTGGATCGAAAAATTGTGCGTGAAATTATCTCTCGCGGATTATTGGAAAAATGATGTGCGAAGTTGAATAGCACCAAATAAACAAATGTTATTTTATACCAGTCTTTTGCTAGATTTTAGTGTAAATTTGTCAGGTATATTCCATTCATCAGATGAGACTAAAAAGAACTTGATTTGTGTTTTGTAATATACCGTGAGTTTCTGCACCATGGCAATAGACTCTGATGACCCTAAAAGTTGTTGTATCTTTGCCGACCAGTCATAAACCAAAAATATCTGTTTATTTATTATTCATTTGTATGTAGATATTGTGTGTTTCATGTTTTGACAAATAAAAAAAAAATTTCTCTAATAAACTCACCTTTTGATAGCGTAACTTCAATTCTATATCCTATGGAAAAATGTGGTGAAATTATTTCTTCAATGATTCAATCATTTAGAGTTTATCTCGTTGACAAATTTTTCTGTATTTCCAGGGAGCTCCCAATACTGTTTCTGACATGTCTTCTGAATTAGTAGCCGGAGCTGTCAAACAATCAACTGGTAAGTGCAGAAAAGTAGCTAGTAAAATGTTTTTATATATTTTTTCATTCCCCAAAACAACCATTTTATAATTTATCATTATTTATTCACCTAATTTTATTTACTCTTTTTCTGAACGAGGCCTGTAAAAGCATTCACCATTTTTGAAGTCATTCAAGTTATTCAGCTCAAAATTTTTTCATCTAATTTTACCCTAAGTAAATGGTGAAACATTAGGGAATACTATGTCCATTTGGAACGTTGGCTTCCCAATATATGTAATATTTAGAGAGTAATGTTGGTCGTTTTATCGTCAAAGGTATAAAAGCTATAATCACGAATAATCATCATGTCATCAATCATATATTAGAATGTTGGGTGTTGGTGCTCGATAACCAGATTGGCATCCCTGCTTCTTTTTGTGTGATTATGTTTTTTCTTGCAATTTGTTTATTTCAATTTATGATTTTTACTGGTTAAAAAAATAAATTTCACTAGGCTGACCAATGATAGATTGATCATAGCTCAAGTAATAGATACGTACCCTGCAATAACAACATCCATACACTGAACAATATTATGTAGAATAAATTGTGTAATATTGCAGAAAACCCTGTCCAGTAATTCGTCGTGGGGTCATTAAGTGGCATTCTTCTACAGGTAAATATGAAAATTTCTTTTCTAGGTGTCGTAGCTGATACTTCATCTGGTACTGATTCACTTCTCGCAATTGTAACAAGTCAAAGAGAGAGATTCAGGGTCCGAAACCAAGAACTAGAGGCAGTAAGTTGAATTTGTTTGTATTGATAAATGTTTTTTTAACATGTGTACCAATTATTATTGCCATACGGGTGGGTATTTTATACCACAGTGGTTCTCAAACCTCAAAATAAATAACCAACAATAAGCTACAAATGAAAGATTGTAAGGTGAAAGTATGTTTTATCCGAAAAACATGTTGAAAATACGTGGATGGAACGGAATAATGAAATGTTTTGAAATGTAAATATTCAAATTTGGGCGATTTTGATTACCATATCAAATGTTTTTCATCTGCCATTGTGTTGACAATGACTGATTATAATGGCGCTATGCTATGGATGAAACGACAATTTGATCTATACGTCTTTTTTAGGATCTCAATTTTTTAAGGCAGGGGTGTGCAACCTACGACCAGTGGGCCAAATGTGGCTCGCAAAGAAAAATTGTGCGGCTTCTGGAAAAGCGCCAATTTCAAATAGCGCACGAGTTTTTAATTATTTTAATCTGGCACGTGCAAGTAATTCCAATCCCTTTGCGTTGCAAAGCCTATACCTAAGTCCTATTTACGATTTACTATCTCAATTCATATTTGCTCTTGACAGGCCTATTCATGTTAAAACAAATTTATTGATTCATGTTGAAACAAATTGAAAGCCCCTTTTGTCAGTTATCAAATGTTATTTCTATTTCTAGTGGCGTTCCTAAAGAATGCTGTTATTCATAATTTTAGGAAAATTACATGCTGCAACAAAATTACAATCGACAACAGAATGAATTGGATGGGATGAGAACAGACAATGTTAAGTTATATGAGAAGATCAAGTTTTTACAGAGTTATCCGTCTACTAAGGTATGGATAATCTCAGGTAGTTCTAATACACCGGCTCTCAACCAGTGGCCCAGTGCTGAACCATAGAAACTGTGTAGTAATTTTCTTTTTCATTTCTAAAGTAGGTGTCTATTTTTTGAGATTTAAATTGAAAGCTTTCGTGTAAAAAATAACAATAAATAATAAATTGATGGTTTGTTAAAAGTACATCATGACTTTTGATAAACTGCCCGTGGTCTTTTTTTTTACGTTGTCAACATGTCATTGGTACGATCCGCCAGTGTGAAAAAGCACTACAAGCACAGTTCAGCATAAAGAATTTTTTATATGCGAGTTGATAACCAGAAAAATCATATGAATACCTGAAATTGGTTAAAGTTGATACCGATGTGTCCAGGTTAACAGATCACTTTTGATGGCTTGAGCTGGTGAAAGCTATCCTTCATTGGTATTTCAGGTTCAAGTGCAAGATGATGTTACTTCGAAAAGATATTCCACTCAATACGAAGAACATTTGGATCCATTTACAAGCTTTAATAAACGAGAGAAACAGAGAAAATACATGAATTTGGGTCCACACGATAAGGTCTTATTATGATATTTTTATGTTAAATTTTTGGAACATGCTCGTTGCACGCACGCTGTGGTTATCCTATGTGGGTCCACGTGTTCGAATTTGTTTGCTTTAATAATTTACTAGAACAATGATTTCCGACCGTGGTTACGCCAACATAGTCCAGGTGGCTTATTTGTAGGGCGAACTGTGGCTCGTCCAATTACCAGTCCATGTCGTGTATTGGATTAGTTAGTCAGTTATTTGTTTAACATGCATGGATTTGATGGGTAACTTGAGGTGAGGTGGCGAGCATTATGCTGAGCATTACGCTGAGCATTATGCGTCACACCACCAAGCCGAGATGCGATGGGTGAATACGGTAATTGAAATGAATTTGGTTGCTAGATTTAGCTCAGTGACCATAGAACCTTATTTATTAAATACATAGTTAAAAAATGTTGGTCAAAATATATGTCTGCAAAACTATATGCTAGGTATGCTGTTTTTTGTTCCATTTGAAGAAAATGAAAACATCTTTAGTTTCTTCGTAAGTATAAAAACAATCAATTTTTTTTTACAGCTCACTCTCAATCTTGGAAAATTTATTTTGTCTAGTAAAATGGCCCGGACTGTATTTTTCTTCTATATGTTGATTGTACATACCCTGCTATACATTATACTTTATAAATACGCCTATACTGAAGACTGCATGAGACATATCGCGGAATTGTGTTATGAAAAGTAAGTTTTTTTTGCGCAAGTTTGAGTAGCATTGATATAGTTGAGAAACTGCACTTTTTGAGTACAAGTCGAGTTGCTGCTATTTTGAGGCGATATCGACTGAAGTCACTAACTCGAAGTGACCCTACATAGATTTGACCCATGTCTCAAACCCCATTACACTCCCCGTTTTTTGTTGAGTCGTTTGTTAATAAGGAAGTTATATAAATATGTATTATTGCAAACGTTAGTATTCTAAGGCTATCTAGTATTATGCAATTGCTGAATATTACTCTTGTAGAAGTCATTATGTTAAAAAAACAATCTCAAATCAAACAACTAAATGATATATAATTTGGCATATATTCTGATTACTTTGTATAATATGGTAATAATCTCAGTCACATAATTTTATTCTCATATTCATCAAGCATACCAAGTTGTTTTAAAATTTGGGTATTGAGTACATTTCAGCTTGCACTGACATTCTTTTTGAAGCGCTAACCATTTTATATTTCAGGTTCGGACAGCCAATGGTACCAAACCATCTTGCTGATAGAGTAGTAGATGCAGGAGGTCAAGCTTTGAAACCAGCTTAGCAGATATTGAACCCAGGAAAGTGATATTATTCTGTCTTGCACATCACGATATATATTGTGGTGTAATGTGTATAAATCCTTGTATCCTGTGCTTATTTCTGGTGCATTATTAATATGTTCTATATTATTATTATTATGTGAAATAGGCTTGCTTTGTTGGAATCGTTCATGAAGCTAGTTATACATAAGTATTCGGTGTAGTACACCTGGCAATTTGTCTTGGTTTGAAGAGTTCACAACCCAAATATTGATTACTTATATCTATTTAAAGCATCGTCATAATAGGAGATTTATTAGAAATAAATTTGCTGTGAAAAAATTAACTTGTATTGTTTTACCAGGTTCATTTAAAAGCTGTCACAATAGGTATATCAGTAGTGATGTTCAAAATTTTAAAATTAATTGTATAAATATAGTAAATGGCTGGTTGTCTTAGTGTATTGTACCTTGTTTCTAGCTGAGGGAATCTTCTCTTTTATGTGTCTTGAGTTTTCTTGAAACATGTATTGCTTATGTACACATTTTGTATTTTGATTTCACATAGGATAATGGGGTTTAGACAGTGTGAGAAAACATATATTCTGCGAGCAATCATGTCTCCTGTATTATAATGACCTATAATCTATGTATAATTTTGAGGCACAGTTATTATATATAAAAAAAATTATTCCAATCGTCATTTCATTGCAAATAAGAAGTTTTTGACTTCTTATCACACATAACAAATTGAAAAAGGCGTGTATTCATATATCTCTATATATGTATTGTCATTGAAACCCCAAACGATATCTCTGACAATCGCCGACGCTTGATATATTTACTGAACATGTTGGGCACGTTATTCATCAGCGAAAAACTTTGATTTGTTCATTTTATTGATCGTTTTGCGGAACTTTGCCCTTGATGTATTGTATCAGCGAAACCACAAAACCCAACAGCTTGTTTGGGGGTGCCAACAACCCTCTCACATCAAGCTGTATATTCCTCATCCATCAGTGTGGTTTAGTATTGAAAGCGTCGAGGAGGTTAGTAGTTCGGACTTCCGTCAACCAAAGTACGGACTAATACTAGAGGTTGGTATAGTTGAAATCGAGATTTCTGTAGATCAGCGTTGAACGAATTGTCTTCAAATCGCAGATAGTCTTCAGTCGATGTTGCCGTCAAATCGTGTATTTCATTGTATCCGCTTTCTTCCCTGTGGCTTGATACGTGAAGTTCATATATACAGTCGTATTTGTAAACGTTAGATTCACATTTGGGAAAAATTCATGAGCATTGCAGTGAAAGTGTGAAATCTATATTTGGTATTCGGTGTCGGCATATGAACGCAGGTGCTAACGAGTGATTGTAGTTGACGAAAGAGGCAATCGGGACTTTGAACCGGTTAATATAATGCTTGCGCCCCTGCTTGAAAACAATTTCTTTTCAAGCGAAGCTCGGTGGACATCTCACCACATTGGAGTAAATATATACACGTACAATATATAATTTGACCCAGTGGCCATAGTATTCTTTTAGCTCAGAGGTTCTCAAACCGCGGGCTAATTGCGGGCCGCGTAATGATTTGGAATGGCTTTCCGAACTTGAGTGAAATAATTAACGGTTAAACTTTAACCGTAAATAAATACTAATATACGTTCAATGTGTTTACCTTTTTGCGTTTGAGATACCGACAATTGTTACATCATTATCACTGTTTAAACACGTATATATTGGTAACAATTCAATTATACCGGTATCTTATTTTACGTACCGGTATTTTAGGTATCAGCCCTATATAAAAAGAAACTTGAAGATGTCAAAAAACGAAAACTAGACACTGACAATAGACGTTTTTAGATAAATGGCAGCAAAATATTCCAGTTCCGAAGTAATACAACTTTAGGTGCCATTGTGGGACGAAGCATTCTTCAAATCATGATCAGTTGACAAGCGTATTTCACAATTTAATTCATTTCTTAATTCATACAAAAGTCAAACAAACACGTTTAAAAAATGTTAAATAAAAGTGAATCCACGATATTGGCCAGTTATATTGTAGCCCACAATATCGCTAAATAGAATCGCCCGTATGTTGAAGAGCAATTTTTCCGCGAATGTATGCTGCAGTTTTGGAAGTAATTTCTACTGATGTAAAAAGTGAATTTTCCAGTCAGTAGTTTATTTTATCACACAGCTTCAATCTTTCTAACAACACAATTAACGCCTTAACAAATCAAAACTTCGGTCCAGACTGACAGATAATCAATTGGAAGCGTTGTTGCGAATACAATGTATTGAATTGGAGCCACATTCTGAACGTCTTATTTCGAGCCAACCCTAATTACATGTATATATATACAAAAATACACAACTAAATTATGTTGGCATTTCGTTTTTTTTATATTTATATACATTGGGATGTTTTTTTTGTGACAAAACAAGCCATAAGTAGCCATTTATACGAGGCCGTGTGCCAAATGAGCAAGTAACTTCATTAGTCACTCACTATCAGTTGCAACTTCTTGTTGAAAGTCGTGGTTGTTATTCCAAGTTTTCTAGCCCGGGAATATCCTTCTGCTTCGAATTTTGGCCCGCGGCCAATCAACTTTGGGAACGCCTGTTTTGGATCCTTTTGGGTAATTATCAAGCACAAGCTTTGTTAGCCGATTGGAACAATGTTTAGGTATTCAAGCTTTCATTAAAAACGAAGAAAATAAATAAAAAATGGAAATGTATTCACTGTAATGCTCAATACGTTTGTAGTTATCTTGATTTATTAGGATAGATTTCTGCTACAAATCTTTTTTTGTTTGATTTGGCTTTTCCTCTTTCCTGAAGACGCACTATCTGGTGGTCTTGGTACCTAATGCTAGGGTGAAAGATAAACAGTCCCGGCAATTGCAGTCTCCAGTAGTGAAACTAAGGAGGAATATTCATGATTTCAATTTAACCGCCCGACGTAATGAATTTAACATTTCGAATGGCAGCTGATCCGCCAGATGCTCAGCAACCAAATATGTTGGTAATTAATTCAGGGAGGCCAATTAAACCGCTCCTACGCTGACACAAACGCGTGAGGAATACATATTTCAGAGGCAATAATTCGTGATGTCAATTACTTTTGTTTACTTTCTTGATATAAATCATGGCGCGGCCTGAAGTTGTCTAAACGCGGTTTTATATGTTCTAAATTTGTGTGTGAATATGGTTGATCTCAGATTATTTTAGATCGTTTGTCTGTTAGAAAGTTGATAACGCGTACAGCATTTTAGGAATGAAACTTTAATTAAGCTTGAAAATTGAACACCTGGCTACAGTTATGGAGGTGGTGTGATATTTTAAATAGTTCATTGGTAATGGGGTGGAATATTAGTTTCAATATAGAAATACCTTTGTATTATAGCCTATTTTACAGATATATTTACAGTTTTTCTAGTTTATAAAAAGTACACAATTGAATGAGAGTCGTAGAAAAGGTATGGTAAGCATTTATTGGCGCAAATTTAATCCTAAATAGCTAAATTTTAGAAGCCTATTTATAAAGTTAAATAGACAAGCTTCAATTCCATATACCGGTATAAATATGTTCATAATTTTGTTTGTATATTATCCTTAGTCATTACCACAAAGTCGGTTAGAAACAAAAATACAATATATGTATATATTTGTAACCAACGTAAAATTTGTCTATTCTGAGAGCTTTTGTTGGAGGCGAATATTTGTGAGTAAATCCGTCCCGGATTCACAGTTTATATTTTAGCATCAATTGCTTGGTAATGACCCAATTCAAATATGTATTTAAAGTATTCCTTTGTGCCATAAGTTGAAATGGAAGGTCAAGAACGAATGATCGACAGGGCTGGATTGTGGTTTTAGACTTGGATACTTGGACAATAGTAAATTCTGACAGCAGAATTCATCATCTGTCACATGTGTATTGAAGACAAACAAGAAACAAAATCATCGGCGAGAATATTCACTTCCAGAGGATCTATCTTATTGTTAGGGTCTTGCATAGCCATTTACGTTTGACTCAGAAATAAGTAGCATCAAAAGGAAAGTGCAATTCATTTTGTATTGTTACAACCATATTTCCTACCTTCCAAGAGCTACTGAGCTAGTCAGTAAAAATATTGTAGTTTTTTTTAAATTGAAGGAAATTATCAATGTTAATACGTTTCCACTTATTGGAAACGTCTATCGTATTGTTGGGGTCTTGTATGGCCATTTAAGTTTGATTCAGAAATGAGTAGCATTACGAGAAAAGTGCAATTCAATTTGTGTTGTTGTTACAACCATACAGCCCACCTTTCAAGAGATATTCAGGAAAATATTGTAGCGTTTTATTGTAGAAAATTATCAATTTCAATACGTTCCCACTGATTGGTTATATATTATATCACGTGTTAGATTAAATGTCTGGACGTCGACCAAGTGCCCAGTAATAAAAGTGGCGTGTTTCTGAACTACGATCTCAAGGGCGTCTCAAAAATTAGCCTGGGTATTATACCTCAAAACCTCCGTATTACGAGAAGGCCCTTGACACGATAAAACAAGAAAATGTATGTTTGTCAATTGATCTCAAAGTTTACCCAATGACACTTGAGATAACGATTTGATTGTTTTGAGCAGCTAGAAAATCAGAAACGCAAACTCAGAACCCGTGCGATCAACGGTAGAATACGTATTATTATTGTTCTGTAATCAAACTACTGGACAACTGAGAAAACACAGTTGGTCTCGATTGAGGATTATCTTCAATATAAGGGTAAGTTTTTTTTCCGCATTTTGATGTTTTATGATATATTAATATTAGAAAACAACTATAGATATTATTCACTTGTTGAGGGGTGTTTAACTAGCCGGGTATCCAGTGGGTTTTTAGTAAATTTCCCTGAAAAACTAGAGGTATGACTATTTCTGTTCCGTGTTAATTAGCAACTTGGCTATAACCTCGAATCCTTCAATACGAAAATAGATAAGAGTAGAAAAAGTGGACGTTTGCTGGTCAAATTTTCTCTGTCATTTTGGACCATGAGTTTGAAAAATAGGGCCTCAAATTGTGAGAAAAAAAAATTCTCCACTAACAATGAAGACACGGGACACAATCAAGATACTAAAAGATGGTTCTTTTAGGGAGATACCCTTTTTATACATAATTTCATGCTTTGATAACCGTTTGGTATATTTTAATTTTGCTTATTTTTCTATCTTATCAACACATCTTGGAGTAGTTTTGGAAATAATCATGTGGGCCATTAGTTCACAGATACAGAGGTGTGAAATCGGGAAGATTTGCAAACCGACCCGACTTGAAAAAAAGTTTAACTCTCACTCCGGATTATAAACAATTCCGGGTCCAACTCAAACTCCAAGAGAACATCAAATTTTGGTGCGAAAGCTTCAGCCTGCGTGAGCCTTCATTAATAGGCTGCGAAGAACGCTTATTTAACCTAAAGCGTATTGAGTTCCCGTCGAGTATTTGAGCTTTTTTATGGCCATTGGTATATATGTCTGAAATTTCGAGGAATTCAGAGTTTCAAATCCGGCCAAAACCGGGCCTATTTAATAGGTGCATGTCGGAGTTTGTCAGGTTTTGGCCCTATTAGGTCATGACGCTACTCCATTGGTTGTCTTTTAGTGTTTTGTATACGGACAGCGACTATTTTCGGTTTATGGAGTTGTGTGTATTTAATATATATATTAATATTTAGGTATTCCAATACGTTTTTCGGAGGGGGCCTTGGCTCATATTTTCAGTTTAAGCTAACTGCGCTGTCTACATCGCCCAAAAGCATATGATGGAAGTTTTTTTCGTTTGTGTGAATCCCGTCTCTGACAAGAATAGCTGTGAACACACGATCATTTTCAAATGCGTTCGCGCTAATGTTTACTTTTTAGGCATCCATTTAAAAAGTCTTCTTAAAACTGAAATACAAGTAAAGATGTATACACATGGGGCTCAAGTAACTAATTATAGGAAAGCTTAAGAAAAATAATAACACATTTTGATCATACGGATACGGATTTGGATCATACGGAACTTTCAAAGCGGTTGTATAATCTTGAAGAGAACAAGGGGTTAATTAGTATCTTATTACAGCACTGATTTGTTAGGCGTGTTGTTCCTATTGTACAACATACCTTTAAACATAGATAAAGGAGGAGTTGTCATGTTACTGAGTATAACATTACATCCCATTTGGGTTGTCTTTTGGGTTCCACTGAGTCGGCTAACAGAGGCACAAGTAGCTTTGTAATTTTTTGGAACTTTTGAGTTTCCCTGGGAAAGAAGGTTTAGTTATCGTATAAAATGAATGTGATACCAAAGAATTATGACACAAGGTGGGAATGTGTGTTACTTTTGCAGTTATCTAGTATTCCATAGCGTCGTTCCGAAATCGTCTAGATTTGTCGGTAAGCTGTCTGCTTCGATTTTTCCAAGTTATTTTTGATAGTTTTTATTCTAACATGCAGGATATATATATTTTGTTGGGCTGCTTAAGAGACGTTTGACAAAATACTGAATACGAAATTCATTTTGATACATAGGGAGCGACATTTTTGAAATCTTACCTGTCCGGCTGCTCCTACTACCCAGTAGGGCTAATTGCAGCCAACCGGATAACGACAGCACAATATATTTAAAATGAAGTGCTTGTCACTGGGTCAAGTTTTTCCAAATATTATGATTTTATGGCAACAAGCTACTTAAAACTATAAGAAGTTGCAACGTAGTCTATTAACTGAAGTGTATTGTATTGAAATAATTAAACTTGTGAGCATGTATCATTTCAGCTCATTTGACGGGAAGTCAAAGACAGTTGTTCTGCCTGCCGGAGTGCCAAGTTTACCTCGAAAACAGGAAGAGACTCCCACTGAACCAGCGCTTCCAAAACCGGAGCCATCTGCCGCACAAAGAGCTCTTATCGAACTTCGTTCACTCCATGGTCACAGACACGCTTTAAAACTGTATGATTTGAAGCGTGTTGCGACTGGTGGCGATAGCAACGTCACAGACGGGAATAAGCATTCCACGAGAGGACGCCGAACGTATAAACCAGGTTCAAACCCTTCTTTGATGAAAGAAATCACAAATTCTAGGAATCTATATCACAATGATACCGTTAAACATCTTATGCACCAACTTTCGGAATTGAACAATATAACGTATGGTAGAATAGAAAAGGGAAACCTAGAAAACGAATCTTTCTGTTCTGAAATGACATTGCAAACGAGAAGTGAAAACAATTTATCTGAAAAAGGTAAGTCTTGTAGTTTAACCATCCAACACTGCATAATTTGTAATTTATGTTTGCTCTATGTTTGTGATATAAAACTCTTTCTTAATTGTGTAGTTTTCGGCGATCGGGGTTTTCCAAACTGCGCAGTTCCATTCACCAAATCCGTTTTTCTTATAGAATCCTTGACGCAACAAAGTATGACAAACTCGAAATCACGTGGTGGTGCCGGCAGTCAAAAATCACACAATGTAATGAAATTAATTGAGAGACAAATATTGCGTGATTTGACGCACCATATTTCACGTTCTGCTACCAAGCCATACAAAAACAAGCAAACTGACGGACAGCCCAACACGAAAACACATTCGGACGAACTTCCTGGCGAAATGAAAGTTGTCATCAAAAAGACAACAAGGAGTAATGATCAAAAAGTTACCCGTAAACAAGAAATAACTTTGCCGTCTCTCACAAAGTCAGATCCACAAGATTCGCACAAAAGAAAAACAGAAAAATTTGAATGGTCTCTAGATATGTCAAGGGTAACAAATAAACCCTTACCCGAATTGAGTGGGGTGTCAATAAGAGGACGAACAGCCCCGGAAGTTCTGGAGGCGACTAACTCTGCTCCGACTGGAACTCCGAGTAGACGGAAGAAAGCACACAATACACAATATGGAGATAGGACACAATCAAGTTTGCCGAAAATACAAGAGGGTATGACCAATTACCCAGCATTTCAGTTCCAGAACGATAGTTGTATCAGGATATATACCACTAATACTAAATCATCACGAATATTCAACACAATTTTTAATCTACAATTCTCCAGATAACCTAATATTTAGGTGCCATTACATTTGAACCCACGACAATTGCACCTATGATTTTTTTTGTTGTTTTACGGATATTTGAACCCATACTAATACCACTGTCACCAAATATTCATATTTATCCCCTTTTCAACCTTATGTAATATGACATTCCAGAGCCTGATGTACAATTAAAAGATCGAGACGAGGATCCTCCTACAACTCGTGATGTTGGCACCAACTGTTCTCCACCGGTTGGCAAAGAACCTACTCCGACTTACGAATCTCCTGACAATAAGGTCAAGCTACCAATTCTTGGGAAAAGTATTGGGCAACATAGAGAACTCAACTATGAGGTAAAAATTGCTATGGCCGCGGGTGAAATTTTATTTAATAGAATGATATATATAATTCAAGAAGACAAAAATGGGTTTTTTAAACCTATCGTGTCACTAAACACGTAATGTGTAGCAAGAGAATACAGATAAGCAAACGTTCAGTGTATTAATTTATAATATTTAATTTGGGGTTGCTGTGCAGTGTACAATTCAAGTGGGCCACATCAAATTAAGTCTTAGGACTTTTTGAATATCTAATGATTCCAGAATTGAATCGAATATTTCTTTTTTTCGAATCAAATCACAAATACTTGGAAATTCTTGTCTGAACTGATTCGAATAAATTACTTTTCAATTCGAAATGTCCAGCCCTACTTAGAGCGCACGGAACTCGTTTGTCAAATACCCACAGTAGAGAAGACATATACATTATCAGATTTTCAATGTTATAGCGCAATGCTTACATTTTCTGTACAATTTTCGGAAACAGCAATCGTTCTTAAAAAGATTATATCATTTTTCAGGGAGGGTCTAAATTTTCAAAACCGTCACTGCATGAAATCAAGCGGATAATTCACGGCTTGTATGGAGATTATTTTGACTCGACATTAGAGCGATATTACACTTACGAAAAACAGCTTAACGAAACTCGAGGGCCTACCAATGAAGCGGACGTTCATTATCTCACACCGGCCTGGGATGATTCAAACGAGCCAGCCGCCTCACATACCCTCCAACTATTCAAGTCAGCAAGCAAGCGTTCAGAAGATGCACAGTATAAACATCTTAATCAAACGATGTCCGTTCCAATAATCAGGTTACGATATATAGTATTTATTATTATCTTGGGGTGGTTGTGTTGAAATTTGTTTACTCCCGTAGTATGTGTACCAGGTTAGGCCATAATTTTATTTTAATTTTCCATATTTTAGTTCTATTATGGGTTCGGGGACTGTCTGTGTTAGCAGAGTGAACATCCCCCTGCCCATAGGTTCCAGTCTCTTTACACAACTTGGTGTAAAGTAGGCGAACAAAATCAGTTATCTCTATATTGTTACACATACTGGAGCGCCGAAATTTGCATTAGTGTTTCTCAGATATAACATTAAAATTTATATGTATTATCTAATTCAAACTTGCCTTAGGTCGAAGTATGGAAAAGCAATCGCATCTTCGAATAAGGTCGTCCACAAACAACTGGAGAGACGCAACAGGATGGTGCAAGCATCAGAAAGAGTTAGCTATTCACAGCCGGTGATCTCAAGCGAAGCCTCCCGTCATCGAGAAGTAGAATCTGGGGCTTATACAGCTTTCGTGAAAGATCGCCTGACACAACACAGCGTCACGCCGAATACTCCAAATGAGAAAGTTTTGCGTAATTACATTGCCCATCAGGTGGCGCTATATCATGAACAAGTTGCCAGAGAAAATCAAAGTTTAAACGAAAACTTTGACGCTCACAACAAGAATGACAATGACGCACGATACGTAACGGAAGATCGTAAAACGTCATCTTTGACGCAATTTACGGAAGATATTGATCGATACGCACAATATTTAGAAGCATACTTGGAAGCAAAAAGAAAGCATTCACAAGAAAGAAAGGCTAAACTTCAAGAATTAAAAGAACGTCAACGTGAAAAGAAATATCAAAAGAATAAACATCTTGAAGTTGTCGAACAAAGGGATGCTTTCCTTGCACAGGTAAAGTTTTTTTCGAAACTGAAAGACCAATCAATTTTAAATTTTTAGTACTTGAAAGTGGATAAATAGCTATGATTTTTATTTTTGCTTAATTATTTATTGTGACTTTCACACGAATATTTTGCCGTTTTCATAATTCACGTAATTCACACATATGACACAATAAAAACTCCTGTCATATGACATTTATCACAATTTCACCCTCGCCGTTATGGGCATTGGTCTTTTGTTTTCTTTGAAAGTCTATTTATTCATTCAGGTTGCATTGGAAAACCTTCCTCGTGTACCTAAACCTTCTGCAAACGCCGACAGAGAGTCTTTGAATAATGTCAGTTTTTCATACGCACATGAAGACCACCGGTACAATCAAACCCCTGTTGTTGAAATGAATAGCGGTATCAACAACGAAAAAATATTGGATGCAAAAGGCGATAAACAAGCTATGGGAACGAAAATTTATCGTATTTTTGGCGAAAGGAAGAATTCAGCTTCAACTATTCACCGATGGGTGGCACAGGCGCCAGTTCCATATACATCACGAGCGATCAGGCGTCAGGTGCCACGAAGTTCCAAAGACGCCACAAAATCTTTGAATCTGCCTCAACATGTACCACGACACATGCGCCAGAGAAATCCAAGGCCTAAACTCATGACAGACTTGGTGTCAAGATTTCAGGTTGCCACAAGATATAAGCTGGATCGAGACTATGTCGCATCATTGGCTTCTGGAACCACATAATCCTCTTTGACATAATTTGGTGGAATATACATTTTTACTATGGTTTTATCTCAATATCGTATTTATTAGACTTAGTTAATTGGGAATTTCTGAAGGAAGGGTAACACCAACCTTGATTTGACCCTGAAAAAATACGTTCATATACAGAACACCGGAAAATACCGGTTCATTCCAGATTGAAGCAGTTCTTGTCGAGTCGGCGACAAAAATTTTTGAGAATTTATGTCCACCGATTTCCGTTTACCGTACCTGCCATTCACTGTGCCAAGTGCCTAACACTGTTATTATTGCCACATCCTTTCACCTGTATCTTCTTTGGACTATGTATGAATAACCATGATCCAAGATAAATTCATAAGACTAAAGATTTTAATTTTTTGTGATATATTAATCTTCAAGCCATGACTTACTTTTTTGTAAAATATATTAAAACGAGGTTAGTATTAATTTGTTATTCACGTTTAACAACATGATTAGGTATATTTGGAGGAAATAAGGAGTGATAGGAAAATGGAAGGATTTCATATAAAATATTTATCGAATTTTCTAACTTTAAAGGACCGAATTTGAAGCCTCGAAGGGCATTTAAAATTCGATTGGTTGCTATGTGAAACGATTGGAATCTTTTGTACGACGCTCCCAAAAACAAATAACCCCACCCCGCGCCCAAAGTAAGAAAATTAGGGTTCGGGTAAGGAATGCAGATTGTAGCGGGGCTTTGTACAAAAGATCCAACGATTTTTCAGTGTTTCGGCCACGGAAATTGTTTTACCCCCCCCCCCCCTGATAACTTTAGAAAACAAGACAGTTACTGTAAATTACCAGTACCGGTACCCGAGCTGTCCAAGGCCCTGTGGCGATGATAATAACCACTACACGTCATTTTTAATTCTTATGCACACTAAACACACCGTCGTCACACTAAACTTCGGGGTGAAAAACGAATCCCATAGAGCCCAGATAAATTTGTGAAATAAATAAAAGTAATAGATTCTGGATACAACAACAATCTTTAACCAATGACAGTTTCGAAGCAATTGATCTAGTAGGTAAAAAGAAGGCGAGGAGAGACAATAAAAAAGATACCAACAACAACATAATGACAATAACAAAACGATACATAGCTCCATTTCGTATCCAGCAATTGCAAGAAAGATCACATCTCCGAAATAATAATTGTGCGAAAACGTCATAATATGTAATAAAAAAGAATATGTTTGTAATTTCATTCGTTTTAACCTTTACTCGGGAATCTGAACTGAAGATCATTGAATTATCTTGAATGTCCTATTATGCACAAATACTAATTTCCGATTACAATGTTATTAGTATTGCGATGGTCGACATTCAGGCCAATTCATAAGATAGTCGTATATTCTTACACGAATGAGTCGTCCGCAATCGTTAGATCTTGACTAGTAAACATCAATTTGTTTTATGAAGAGAAAACCTGTAGCTTTGGCAGTCAGTTCCGATAGAAGAAAGCAGCGTGATTGCAATAAAATATGAGTATTTTCCTTGTTGTTTTGGCAAAGATGATATAAATGCCGAGTTCAATGGACTGAAAAACAAACGGGAATTACCGCTTCAGTTCAAGTGTGTTTCAATTTGCGGCTGGCGTGGAACAAATGTTCTGCAGTTTGCACACAAGACTGATCAAATGGCAGCGTCTCGGTGAAGTCTATTTTTGGTGATTGACTGAGCTATATATATTATATCAAAACGTTACACAAATTAATGTCACATATAAGTATTCGTTCTCGGCCAATAGCATCATTTATAATATATATATATATATATATATATATATAATAATATAAAACAGCTGGTGTGATTATATATATATAAACACTTTTTTTCGAATTTGCCTCGAGTCCTAGCCACACTTTTTCACCCCCTTGTTTTTCCGTCACGATTTTCCTTCGAACTTTCTACAAAGTCGGTGCTCAGCGCAGCACAGACTTACTATACCGGTTTTGACAGTCGAATTTTGTGTATGCCATGTATTTGTGATTGATCTCTGGTCATATTATGCGTGCAGGATGTGGCCATGGCAACTAAAGAGCAGTTAAATCAATTTCGCACGTTCTGTATTGGTGAAAAAATAAATTACTGATTATTGTATAAATGTCAAAATTCAGTACATTATAACTTTATTCATATCAAAAAGCAAGGATTATGTATATTGCGCAGCAGAAAGGCTCATTCGCTTATCATAGGCAACGTAGACAACGTAGACAACAACGTAGCCTTCCATTATTTGACCCAAGTCAGCTAAATCATCCATTACACAGAGGCTATGAGGAAGTTTTGTACAATCGAGTGGATTTTCAGTCTTCCTGAACTCTGTTGAATTTGCAAATAGTTGCTATACATAAACGATGTTACGATTACAACAACGGTAGAAACACTGACAATATATATTTCAAACTTACATCTACGTCAATTTAACGTTGAAACGTCAACTTTAATGAATATTGTTAATTTTTATAATAATAAAAAAACCGTGTACTTTTGGCGATGTATATCTTACATGATTTCCATGTTTTCTATTAGTTATAAATTTGCTCACATATTTTTTTCTTGTAACAAAAGAATATAAATATATACTTAAAAAATACGATATGTCACAGTGTCGCCACAAAATGAATACATATTGGGAAAAACATTCTCAAAATGGCGATGTCACTGAGATGCTGTTAGATTCAAAAGGTGCTGAAATAAGTGATATTGAGATAAAAGAAATTATGAATTATTTGCCTGATTATAAGGAAAAAGATGTTCTTGAACTTGGAGCTGGAATCGGGTAAGACATTATTTTCATGATTATTACGCACGGAGCGAAAAGGATAAAAAACCGTTTAAATATACGAAAAAAAACAGTGACCCTCGCTCAATATCCACATTAATTTGCATAACACAAAACTATATAACAATTGAGGAAAAACCCATAGGCCTGTGGTAGTACGAACCGCCATTCGTAAACAAAAAGTGCATCCTCAACTTGCACACAATTATCACTGTCAGAATTTAAACCTACGAACAGCGTTCATGATTGACAACTGGGGAGAGTCTGTTGACGCTATTTGTCTAATCACCTATTTTTGCTTTTCTCATTTTTATTTGTATAAAATTGTGTAATGAACTTTCTATCGTTTTCCAAGTATATTGTACCTGTAGCTTTCACGGAAGCGGAGCCCGGAATAACCCGGTCAGTAAACAAGGCCTTTGAGTTTTAGGCCCCAGATGGTGACACAACCTTATTTTTAAGCAATTTGTCTTTGCTTCTAAAGGCAAGATTTTAAGAAGATCACTTGCTAGACTTCTGCTAAATGATAGTACATATTAGTAGTATAGTATGCCGTGTTTATAGTCTTTTTACGGCTCTCATGGCGGACCATTGGGATTGATATCTCCCAGTTAAACGATGGGCGTGTTTCCCCGAAAATAAGACTGGGTCTTATTTCAATTTCCTTCCGAAAAATAACACTAGGGCTAATATTCGGGGGGATGTTTTATATTTTCATTTATTAAATATAAAATTACGAAGTAAAGAATTTCGATATTTTCAAATGTACGAAATATGAAAACCGATATCCATTTACTTATAAATAACACGTTTTTATTCAAAATAACTGCAAAACATAGATTATTTATCAATCATTTAAAACGTCTAGGAAAGATTTCTTGCTATCGACTAGGTCAAAAAAAAATTAGCGTTATTGACTAGGTCATATTTTAAGGTGTGGGCTTATATTGAAATAATTTTCAAATTTTAGACTATGTCTTAGGGGTGGGTTTCGTGGAAACACGGTATGAATAAATTGTGATAGATACACGTGAATAATTTTACAGGCGATACACGACAAAATTGGCAGAAAAAGCAAAATCTGTCATTGCTGTCGACTTCATGAAGAATTTTATCGACAAAAATAAGGAAACAAACGGTCATAACAAGAATATTCAATTTGTGTGCAAAAATGTTCTTGAGCTAGAGTTAGAAACTAACAGGTAATCTGTGAGTTGCAAAAATGGGCTTATGATGGCCAAAAATTTTTCGGTGTTAAGTAACGTTCTTCTTCTAACGAAAATTGATTTTTGGTGCTATTTTTCTGTGAAGAATGTAGTGAATTAGAAAGAATACTCAGTTCAAAAGTAGCAAAATTATAATGCGAATACTGATCGTGATCGTATCAATTAAATGACATTCTTCTTCGTCTTGGCCTTCGTTGTTAACAAATTCCTAATGTTATATTATTCAATTCAGCCATTTAATTATTAAATTAAAATATTTTTCAGCTTGGATTTGATATTTTCCAACTGGTTATTGATGTATCTTGATGACCATGAAGTCAGCATACTTTTCCATAACATGTTAAAATGGCTGAAGCCTACTGGACGTTTATTTTACCGTGAATCTTGCTATAAACAGTCAGGTCAGTTTGAAATATATTTTATGAATAGGGACCCATGTCCTGTTTGAAAATTCAACTATACCATATCATTCATTCTTCGTTGTCATTGAGGCATATCCTGTTTACAGATGTCGCTGAGCCATCTAATACGTCATAATCACTGTGGCATCTCGTGGTTTATTTCGAATTTGATGTTGAGCTTTATTTGTATGATTGACTTCAATTAAGTAAATGTCTTATATTCCATAATTATCATGGCATCCTGTATTTTATTTTGAAACTTTGTTGTTCTTTTTTTTATGATTGAGTCTAATCAAGTGAATGTTTAGGTAATATTCCATAGTCATTGTGGCATTTGCAGTTTATTGGACACGTTTAATGGACAGAACGATCGTTTCAATATTATGTTGTTATTGTTATTATTTGCCTCCATCATTTCTAAAAAATCAATTAAAATATTCATTTTAAATATTTCTGTTAGCCCTGTGAGATTTGTTTTTGTTTGCTATGACGTCATTAAACGTTCTGCGGGCATCGGACGCCATTTCGTGTCCTACTGTACTGCTTCGCTTGGTGTGAATATATTTGTAGACTGTGATCTGACGGTACGGTAAACCGTACTGTACTGCGAACAGACGTGTCCATATATTTGGGCGTAGCTCTCTTGTTTCTTGTGCGATAGTCTTCGTTCATCAACAATCTAATATTTATCATTGTCAGCAATGTGTTCCTTTTGTATGTAAGTTCCATCGTGTATTTTTGGCATAAAGGACTTTTATATTCAGGTAATCTACTTCGTAAATTCAACCCTACAATATACCGTACACCAGACGAATATGCGAATATTACTGGTGCAATCGTTTATACAAATAAGGATGAAAGACAAGTCAGTTTTGAATTGATCGCGACAGGTCCGATCAAAACGTACATTCAGGTGATAGCAAATAATATTATATGACAAACGTTTTTCTTAATTTTTGTTGAGAACTCTGTAAGACTTATGGGCAGCCACAACAAGTGGGTAACACGTTATCTTGTATATATACTTGCTGGTGAACAAGATTCTAAAACCAAACTCATTCGAGTTTAGTAAACACTACTTTCAAGTTTACACAACCCCGCGTTGAGCCTAGAGAGCTAAATTAATATCCGATATCCTAAACATTCAATTGTAACGTGGTTAGACCGACCCACCACAATGTTCAAAGTAAGACAATATAGCATATTATGCTTCAGTTTGTACCGATTGCAAAATTCAAAAATGTTACTGTTGCCTCGCTGTACCAGCCAAAATTAGGGTGAAAAAATCAATTAATTAATTTAATTTAATTATGATATTGGTGATGATTTAATTACGTACAAATCTACGTACTTCAAAACAAATATCCCTTTCTATTACCTTTAATATACAGGATAGTTAACCAAAAATGACCAAAAAGTTAATTAATGCTTTATTGGACACGAAATGGACCTATGAATCGTTTGTTATAATGTTGTTGTGAAATAATCGCCTTTCTCTTTAACTACACGAATAATTGATTTGAAATTTTCAGTAGTTAAAGCTTGTTGTTGTTGCTCGATGGCTATTATTATTTATTTCAAAAATTTCTGTGGGCTCCCTAGGACTCGTTTTTCAATTCGAAGTGTGTGTGATGACGTCATCAAAATTAAGAATTGCTCACCGTCCCGTGCTTTCGTGATCACATTTCAACGATCTGGTGGTCAGACTACCGACACTGTGAAAGATTTGATACTACTGCGTTCTGGCTTTCGTGTCCGTATATTTGAGCATTGTTCTCATGTTTAGATGAAGAATAATTCAAACCAAATATTTTGGTTGTTGAAGTCGACTGAACGCGACAATGGAGCTCCACCAGATCACGGAATAAAAGTAGAAAACGAATGAAATGCTTTTGTTGTTTTATTGCCAATTGTTCAGTTTATTTTTTCCTACTATCAAAGTGTTTCCCAATCGCATTTTAATTTCTAATCTAGGTCAGGATTTCCCTAATTTCATGTTTATTGGTATCGTTTGGACAATTTTCAGTTGCTGGTGTATACCCTCAAAAATTGCTCATGATTTCGGCTGCTAAGTTCAACTTTTTTTCTATAGCTAGGCAACCTATTATTTCTACATTTCTTAAGAACCTCTAAAAATAATTATTTTGATTCAATATGAAAATCTGCGTGATTCGTAATAATCAAAGCACACAAAGTTATTGATATGAATGCAATCCACGCTTATACAAAAGCGACAGCCAATCTAATCATATGTTTTTTTAGCAACAAGCCAACAAATATCATGTTTAGGTGGTATCAGCTATTATCTGTGTATCGGCGGTATTTGCTTCCGAGATTTCGTAACTTCGAGCGATCAATCAGCTGTTTTGTCTTGCGTTCTGTGATTGGACAAAATAAGTCACGTGAACTGCGAAAGTAGATTTGGTAGTTACTGTAGTTGTGGCAAAAGCTGAGGTAAAAATATCTTTCCAAGGAATTCCTAAACTCAAGTATTCATATTATTAACATTAGGGGCTGCAAATATTTTAAGGTAGATTGTAAACTATGGAAAAAATATCCCTAAAGTTGATCTAAAGTACTCCTTGAAAAGTCGGAATGCAACACGTACCCCCAGTGTGCCCCAGTTTGAGAACCCCTGAGGTCCACACCAGAAATGTGTTTTGTTATGACAAGATACGGTTATTAAGTTAATTATCTAGCCCACTAGTATGAGATCTAATTATCTTATAATTTTTTGAATATTGTCTTTTTTATTTTATTTACCTCATTCTGTAGAGCCATTTTTGTAAATATGACGAAATGAAATTGCAAAAATAAAACATTAAATTTGATATTGTTTTATCATAAATGAATATTGAAGATCCGCCAAACAGCCAGAATTTTCATATGGTGTTATGATAACATTCTAGCAAGGGTGGGCAAGGTTTTTGGGCCAGGGGCCAAACATTTTGCCCGCCTAAACTGACGGGCCATGTAGGTGTGACATAAAAAATTACATTTTATGAACAATATTTACAGTGTTACAAAAGCAAAAATGGAAAACAATATGCCTCGTGTCAAAACCAAATTTAGTCGCAATCTCAACAAACTACTTGAGCTATTTTTAGCTAAAACATCAAAATTTGGTTTTAGTTTGGTTGTGGCAGCATCAGGCGGACCAGATTGAATCACCCAACGGGCCGGATTTGACCCACGGGACGTAGTTTGCCCATGTATGGCACTCTAGCTTATTAGATTGGCATTGCATATATTACACGGACGTATACTTATATGAACGTATAGCATTTAGCAACGATGATATTGTGCGTTCCATGTTTCTTATTTTTCATTTTACTGAAAACACGTTGGCAAAAAATAAAGTGATGACTAAAGTCCGCTGATAACAATTATGCAATATAGTAGAAAATATTACAACACCAATGCAAGTTATGTAATAGGTAGTTGTATTATAGAACGTGGAAAATTACTGGTAGGGACACGAGGTGAACGCGTGATATATGGTATAATATTCCGCAAACACAGTAACGGTTCACGAAAAGACAAGAAAGTAATAATTGATATCTACCCAGAATGTTTATTGCTTCTCAGTCAAAACAAACAGAGACATCCAATGATAGGTCTAACAAATACTTTTTTGTATTAATACTACGAAATTGTGTGATGGAGTTGTACAGCTTCACTCTGCAAAAACACCATAAATATGCAATGCATCAGCAATTGTGGCGAATTAAACGAATAAATTTATATGTCATGTAAAAACATGTACCTTTCATTTGATTTTAGAGTTTCTATTCATTTTCAGCCAGTATGGCTAACTTGCATGATAGCTTATTAAGTTGCGAAAAATACAATTGTCCTGACTGTATTAAGAATACAGAGTATTTTCGTTGTTCTGTCAACAAATTTATGCTGTTTTTCAAACTTAGTAAATTTTTCATGTCCAATAGTGGTGACCGATCACAAGATTTTAATCGATAATGTGTCGCAAACAATATTGCATGACATCATGAAATTCCTTTTTATTTTATTTTTAGGAGTAATTTTACTCAAAGAGTAAACGTATTTGAGAAAGTGTGGTAATATCGGTTCTAGTTTTTTTCCATTTTGTTGGTAAACTGCGAATAACTTTCCATTAAATACTTGGAAAGTTTGTCGTGAAAAGCCATCCAATACTAAACATTGCAATTGCTACAAGACTTGAAATCAAATTATCTAGTTAAAAATAGCTTTCCAAGCTAGGCATGGACTAACAATACTTTGATGTGTGTTTTAATAGACGACTCATATTCGATATTGTACTTTATGGCCGTGTCATAATATATATATATAAAATTTTTATGAAATGTGTCTAGGAATTGAAAAATATTTTATAGCATAACAAAATAAGCAATTACCTTACCGTCAGGAACAACCAATAATGATCCAGATACAAAAAAAGCGTATTTGCTATATTAGATTCAGTTTCGTCTAAAAGTGGTAATTATTTTGAAATCCACAACAAAGCCAATAAATACATTCTTCATTCCTTCCATTCAAGGTTTAAGAGCAAATATTGGAACCAATTAAATGATCATTGTTTTGTAATATTTCAAAAGATATCTTCGTCATTGCCAATGCAAAAGTCCATAACTCGATAATTTTTTTATGCTATGGCATAATTAGTGTAGTCTATATAATCAATTATTGCTTGTGGCACAAAGTGACACTTTGCTCTTTAGTAAACTATATACTGAGTGACGTCAAATCACTTGCCTCGGAGTGGCGTGACTTTTGATGTTGCATCAACTTTCCATTGCCACGTGGCATTGGAAGGGCGCCACAACTAACTAAAGTTGCAATCAACACAATAATTTCGTGTTGCATTTTTAGTAGCATACATAGCTACTGTACGAAATGTAACATTCGAGATGAAAAACAATTTTGAATGAATATTTTATCATGGTGTAAACTAGAGATGTACCGATATCATACCGATACCGACGAAAAGGAGCTAATACCGATATTTTAAATTGCTTATATTCCGATAGTATGCAATTTAATCAATGTTTGTATGTACCATGTTCTGAATGTACCGGGCAGTCGGAATAAAATATTTGTCTGCAAACAGTACGCAACGCGAACATTTTTTCAACTAGGAGAACATATATGTCAGAGCAAGCATACGCGCGAAACTTCAAATCCGTATTTGTGACTCAACTGCGCGAATGGTGTGTCGCTAGACTCCCTACGAAGTGTTTATTAAAATACTACTTGAATTAATTGCATAGTATATATTTTGACTTTGCAATAATTCAGAAATTTATTTTATCAGATACCGATACCCATACAGTTATAGATGCCGACAAAGTGACCAATAACGATACATGAGTATTCAGTAGTGTTATACGTGTCCGAACGTATCGACTCGATTCTCCTAAGTATTTTATGAGGTATTTAACGGATTACGTGTTCGTAAAAATTCTGCGGTGGTCGTCCAGGCATTACAAAGGCTCTCTCGTTTTGTGCAGTAATGTCGTGGCATGGAAAAGTACCAAGAATGATTTGAGATCGAGAGCTATCTATATTTTGGAACCTCGTTTGAGATGAGTAGGTAGGTACTCATTTCAAGGAGAGCAAATATATGTTGAGCAAGATATGTTTAGATTGTCAGATATTGCATAGATAGTAAAGTATGACAACACGTTAGAAAGATGACTCGCGTTTTTTTTTCTACTCGTCTTGAGTATATAAGGACCGTTGGTAATGAAACAAAGTTAGTGATGAGAGACTATCCTTAAACCAATTGGCAGAGTCATGTCTGGTACGGCTCGAATTCCCGTGTAAATTACTTACGACATAGAGCTAATTTTTCACTAATATATTGCTTTTATAAAGAAATGTGAGTACAGTAAGCCAGAACATCACACTATACAACTCATTTTCATTTGTCCGAAGAGAATAACATAACCAGGAAGCGTCAAAGCGGAAATAATAAATGATTCATTTCTTCACACTATCGTTCTGAGCATACTGCGTGAGCGCATTGATGCATAGCAACAATAGTAGAATTTGCATTTTTAATCACCTGTACATTTGTATTGTTGTGATGTACTGCAGCCGCGTACGAATACACTTTAAAGTCTCTGAAGCAGAGTGTCACTTTAAAGCTATAACCCTATGGGCGCGAACGCTGGCTTTGTTATTAAATGTTCATAGCGTCATGACGAATGACTCAGCTAAAACCGAAACGCCTTATGGGGATGACTAAACCCACTGGGATTTTCTATGTCGCAGACGAAAGGAATAGGCACAATAACACATTTATCATGTTTCAGTTTTGTACTGAGAATAATTATTGTTTGAAGTTAAAATAGCTAGAGGTGTTAGAAGCACGATGAATTTCTGTAATTACAATGATGCAATATTACACGAGTTAAGTACCGCCTTCAACTTAAACGCACAAGACCAATTGGATTCAGTTTTAGATAAATCATTATAAAGACAGTGTGTAAAAATATATTACATTCAGCGTAGAAACAGACTGAGAAATTGTATGCATGTATACATAGCGCGCATAGGAAATAATTTCAAAAATATCTTATTTTATCGAATAAAGTCTTGTTCGAATTACATACCAGCAATGTGTCAAATTTCCGCAGATTCTAAAAGATTGAAGTCTGTCGCGTTAAAGATGTTTTGTTATTGTCCAATAGTCGTCTAGATTCTAGAAAATGAATATCAGCATCAGTAAGTAAGCAGTTATCTTCCCACAAACAGAAATTACGGTATATTTGTTAGCCTCTAACGTAGAAACTGTCAGAATACGATACGCAAATGTTAAATTTTACACATCAACGTCATTGTTAGTATGCAGAACCCCAGTGTTTGACAATGACATAGCGCATCAGTCCTGCAGTGTCTCATAGTAGAGAGAAATCGATTTATTACGCTCAACAATCGCTGTGTATTATTCGAATGTCGATAGATTGATTCCAGGTTAACAATATCAGATCAACAGGACAAAGGCAAATGGAAGTTGCCAGTTACAGAAGAAATTGTGACAGTTTCCAAAAAATATCGATAGAGAATGTGGCATGTACTTTTATCAACATTGATATGCCGTAGGGCACAGTAAAGGCATTTTTAAACGAAGTTTGTATATGTAGCCCGGTGTTAACACTCGACCCCACGAAATAAATGGATCATAGGTATGATGACCTTATACACAGCGAAGCTTGTCGTGCTTGGTATTGTTCCCTTGAGGTATAAACACTTCTAATCAAGCTAGCGCAATTAAATAATCCATTTCCATAGCGACGCATTTCAATTTTTTGATGTCGAAGTCTAACTTTCTAACGTTGTATAATATTCCTTTTTTCTACATTTAGACTGCATCCCTTTCTTTTTTGTTTTGGAGTGGTAGTGTGGCACATGCTCCCAAAGAGCAAACGAAAGAAGTGCCAAAGTCGTAGCTTTACTCGTACTCGAGAAGCATTTTATAACGTGTAGCTATTCTTGGAAAAATCCCGTGGAAAATTATTAGCATGGCAACTACTCAAGTAACAACAACAAATGGAGTGCATTCCGAAACAAACGGAGGTGAGATGAAATTTGCTGGAGTCACCTAAATTTTAAACGTCTTTTGTGAACGTTGAAATCTTTATTGGTTATTGCTTTTGAGACACAAAGCAGTCTTTAGCGTCTGATAGGCATATAGTTTTGTTTTTGCAGAAAATACTTCAAAATTACGCTAAAATGTGCATTTTTGGTACGTTGTATTGGTTTTTGAATGATAGTCATTGTCCAATGTCGTTCGATAAATATTGATTGGTTTGTACTGGTATTCAAGAAATTCAATGAACCGTTTAGGTTATTGATTGCTGTATTACCTTATCTGAAGACATTTTTCCAGGTAAAATTGTAAAATAAATGAATGTTCGTCGGTGCCGAAAAAATATCTGCGCAAGTGCGAATTATGACGTCATACCATTCCACTATAGCACAATTCAAATCTTTCGGAAATGTCGATTGGAAAATTTTTACATTCGTTTCTCCACCAGTTTATTCGTCAGAGTTCTTTAATACTCCAGCGAGACATAATGTGTATTTGCATCAGTAATACATTCGATACAAATATATTAAACTTTTTTTTATCTTATATTTGATTCTCTTATTCTTAGAAACGCGGACGCAGATGACAAAATTCTGGAAACAACATTCACAAAATGGTGACGTCACAGAGATGATGTTAGACACGCAAGCAGCAGAAATAAGTGATATTGAAATCGATGAAATAATCAAGTATTTACCGGATTACGAAGGGAAAGATGTACTAGAACTCGGAGCCGGAATTGGGTATGATTATAGTTTGTGGGGTGATTAATACTTTTTTTCGCTTAGAGTGGGTTCTGACAGTCAGAGAAACTTAAGTAACTGGCTAAGTAATCCCATACCCGACATTAACTGGTAACCGGACGAGAGGCCGTAGTTCGCCATATTATTGAGCCGTCTTGGCGGCTTTCCTCTCCCCCGGATAAATATGTAAATCCCATCCTCTATTTTACGGACTATAATACGCACTTTGAATCCCTTTTCTCCTCGGAAATTGATCCTGAGCCTTATAAGCTGGTGCCCTCAAAGTAAGGATCAGATACTTTATTATTGACCACACTCACAACCGGTACCGGCTTTAAAACCGTTTCGTCTCGTAGCCCGATGCGGCGTATGTATGAATAAAAGGGATGCAGGAGTTATATTTTTGACTTGACAAGGTTAATACAAATTTCATTGCAGACGATTTACATCAATATTGTCGAAAAAAGTCAAATCGGTAGTCGCCGTTGATTTCATGGATAACTTTGTTAAGAAGAACCAAGAAGTAAACGGCCACAACAAAAACGTTACATTTTTGTGCAAAAATGTTTTAGAACTTGAATTCGAAGAAAACAGGTATGGTATTGAAGACGTTTGCTATATATAAAACATATATATCGGAACTTATGTGTGACTTATTTATAGCTAAAGGTGACTAAAAATTATCAATGCCGTATAGCGGGACCTTATGCCGATGCAATACAGTACAGAGCATTCTCTTTCGAAGACCATATTAAAGCCTTCAAATTCTTCGAGAAACTACATAAATGGAAATCGTCCAAAGGAGAACGCAACAAAATACCTAAAATAGTTCAAATAAATGAATCTCATTTCAGATTTATTTTTTACAGCTTGGATTTGATATTTTCGAACTGGTTGTTGATGTATCTCGGTGACAATGACATCATAATACTTATTGATAAAATGTTAAAATGGTTGAAACCTACTGGACGACTATTCTTCCGTGAATCTTGTTACCAACAATCAGGTTGGCACATGCAATTTATTTTTTTGGCAGACACTTAATTTATCAAGAAAAATAACGAATGAGTTGCTGATTTGAGGCTAATCAATTGAAATTTAGAGAAAAGGGTCGGAAACAGTCCGATTCGCCAGCTTTCAAATTGGTCTGAATCTTGCATTAAACAAGGAGAACTAGAATTTGTAATATTACAGTAAAGTACTACGAAAATCCTTTCGCTTGGGTGCGTTCAAATATGATTCCAATGATTCCGCTTACATCCTAAGTCCTGAACTGAAATAACAACAAACTTTACCATACGTGAATTCCGTAGATACAATACAAATACTAATTTTTTTACCAGCGATTCGTCTCATATCCGATCTAGAAAATCATCATGCAACTCATTTCGGAATGTCCACTGACGATTGTTGTATCTTATCTACTGACCATTATACACTCACAGGTAACAAAGAACGGTCATTCAATCCTACGATCTACCGCAGTCCAAATGAATACACCAATCTCGTCAGTTCCGTGACGAATAAGAGCAAAAATGGAAAAGCTTACGGATTTGATCTGGTTACGTCAAAATCGGTTGAGACTTATATCATGGTACGTTTTTTTTTTTTTTTTTATATCTGGCAGGTTTATAAGCAAATTACATGATACCGAAGCAAAATATTTTGATGAAATACCTTGTACCACGCTTGAGCGATTTATCTTGCTTTTATTTGTACATTTTGGGCTCTGCTTTTTTAGTATATTGAAAGAAAACAATGGTACCTTTTGTGCTCACCGTTTAGCAACCCTTTTCGAATATGGCTTGTAGTCGTACCTAGAATTACAGTATGAAAGTAAGACTTCAGCATACTGGTAGAACATTGGGCTAGAAATGTACTTTTTAATTACTATTAGATGAAAAATAACCACAACCAAATCTGCTGGCTGATGGAACCGGCCGAACGGGACTCAGCGGAATATCATGGATATGAAACGTTCCAAAAATTTCTTGATCAGAAGCAATACAGTTTGAATGGAATTTTGCGTTATGAAGAAATATTTGGACGAGACTATATCAGTACAGGAGGACACTCGACTACCCAGGTTAGTGTAAATATCATTTTAGGGAATCGTTTCGTGAGTCTGCTGGGATTAATAAACTTCGCACGAGGAAGACCAGATGATCAAATTAAATACTGTTGTTCATTCAGGAATTCTGTGGCTCATTGGGACTGACGAAAGGCCAGAAGGTGTTAGATGTGGGATGCGGAATCGGAGGGAGTGCTTTCCACATGGGCAGGGTAAAATTGTTTACTCAGATGCTTTATTTACAGAAATTATTACCTCGCTCCGAAGAGGCTTTTCTAGCCATCGGTAGGTGGCGTATATTTGTATTAGAATTTACTACCAGCGAGTCGCTCTCTGTTCGCGTCCTTTCGCTTTCTGTTCGCGTAAACCTGGATCAAGTTTCATATCACATAGGTGCCGACACGATTCCTTGAAAGTCTCTGCGACTCCTGGCGTGTGTGTACCAGGTTGGGGTTAGGGCATAATTTTATTCCGATTTTCATCATTTCAGTTCTATTACGATTTACGAGTTTGGGCACTGTATGTGCTAGTCAAGTGAATATACCCCCCTGACCATCGGTTTTCTTCCCTTCACACAACTTGATGTAAAGTAGGCGAACAAAATCAATTACCTCCATATTGGTACACACACTTCTGGAGCGCCCAAAACTTTGCTGTTACAGTTTATTCAAAGACAATTAAGCATTTATAGCAAAAACACGAGTATTGTGCTATCAACTAAAAGCTTACATATTTTCTTACAGGAATTTGGGGCTGAAGTCATTGGCATCGATTTATCATCGAACATGATCGGAATCGCGATTGAACGTCAGAGGGAATATCAAATTCCAAAAGTATGTGTAATGGTGTTTTCTGTTACAAATATTTTATCTTTTATTCTTGAATAATGTAATAATCATTGTATTATTATTAAGGTATACTTCGAAGTGGCAGATGCGACTAAGATACAATATCCTGAAGACGCATTCGATGTGATATACAGTCGCGATACAATTCTGCATATCAAGCACAAAGATCAACTGTTCGAGAATTTTTATGTAAGTACATTTTTTTCTACGGAGTTCATTCAAGCTTCTCGCTCCGAACAGGACCCTGTCCAAGCGATACAATATATATATAAGTAATAAGCTACTATTTTGTAAGGGCTGAAATCTTGCCGGTCCGGCATTGCCTACCGAATTTATTACACTTAGTGCATTAAGTACTATTAGGTCCCGATAACGTGAGGGCCTCTATTATAATTTTTTTTATAAAAGTATCTATGCCAAAATGGCGTGGTTGGTATCGCCTATGTACAAGCTACCCATCCTTCCTGCCCCATATTTTTATTGTACCAACGTCGCCGGATGTGTATTTTGCGGTAAAACAGCTGGAGATAACAATATAGGCCGTATAAACAATTACGCAATGTTTGCTTTTCCTGTAATATGGAGCGGCGTTGTTAAATGTTATGTAACATCTGTAAACAGAATATACAAAAAGATTACGAGGCTACTTTGTCACCAGCTTGATACAAACCGCATTGTTAGTATTATACTTCACAATTATCGACGATTGTGGCAAGGCGGCCATTTTACGTTTAGATATTATGATCGACAAATATCGCATGCTCGCCCATTCGCCGCTATCTCGCATTTTTGAACGAACTAAATTTGGTAAAATTGATTCAATAGGCGCCATTTAATCTTTCCTATTTGTTTGCACTAGTCTTCAAAATTGGTTCAGTAGTTATTTGGTGTCCTATTTTCTTGTTTTGCTACGTGTACGTTGTCAAAGATTATCAGTTTTTATCTATAATTTAATATGTGCGGTTACTGACTAAATGTCGTTGCAGAATTGTTCGCGTTACGGATTCGTCTGTCATTTAATTCTAGCGATTGTGAGTGACCATCATTCTTGTTGGCTATTTTGAGGCCAATTCTTGCTATCAAATTAGACTGTCTCATTAGCTTCCTATCTTCTATAATCTATAGGATTGAACTGAATACTATTTATCTCATTATAAATTTAAATTAACAAGTTTTCAGCCCACCTAAAATGGAATACGGTTTCTCTAATGCTTTAAAATCTATCTCAATTTTTCGTATGCAAAGTTCTTGTATTCTGTGAGACGAACTGTCAGGTTCGAGTCCTGGATCCACACGTTAAAATTATATAAAATGATGGGTGAACTTATCGTTTGTTTGATTACAAATAATTACATTTTCAAATACCTGATGATTTCAGAATCGGGTCGAATATTTTTCCAAATTGAATCTTGATATTTAATTGTATGTGAATATTTATTGTGATGGGTTCTCCAGGCACATGAATTCCTAAAAATATGAAATCCATCACTCAGGTAGTTGGCTGAGCGTTCACACACAATGAAAACACGGTTCACCAATAACTCAACTATGGAAGAAAAGAGTCATATGTCAGAATTGCATTTTAAAAATATGGCGTCAATAAAAAAATTTGAGGGATTCATTCGACCTTCGGCGGACGAATACAAAAACAAAATGGCGTCTATTTGAATGATTTACTATTCGATTTGATTCGAAATGCCCAGACTTATTTAAGTATCTGAGTGTTTTAATACGCCTTATTCCAAGCGAGGGTGTGGACCATGGACACTTCTTATGGTTGCGCCATCTCCATGCTCTACTACGACCTGTACATGAATTATAATTTACAATTCAATCATGTATTTTACAGAAATGGTTAAAACCAGGAGGCAAAGTATTGATAACTGATTATGTATGTGGCCCGCATGATAAACATTCTCAAGAATTCAAAGATTACGTTGCACAGCGAGGATATTTCTTACTGACGGTCGATCAATACGGCCAGGTACGTATGTCATGAACTTCTTCATTTTAAATGTCGTTTACATATTACTACTCAAAATATTTGATTTTTATAGGAACTTCAAAACGCTGGCTTCACGAATGTCAAAGCGGTTGATAAAACTGATATGTTTGTGTCCATTCTACAAAAAGAGTTGCAAGTTTTCGACAGGAAAAAAGGCGATTTTGCAAAGGTAAAATATTTATTCAATTTTAAATATCCAATCGTGAAAGAATTGTCCAAATAGGATTCAGCTTATATAATCCAATATTTCATAAATGTAATGTTATGTTGCATGTTCCACTATGATCAGTAGAGTAATGCTCTAACTAATATATAAACAATCCCAAATATATATATATATTTTGTGGTCGATGAGCAGTCACCATTAACCTATAAACTTTTCCACACACTTAAATTGTATTTTTAGAAATTTTCCGTTGAAGATTTTGACTCGATCAAAACTGGTTGGAACGATAAATTACGACGATGTGGTAAAGGAGATCAAAAGTGGGGGTTTTTCTACGCTGAAAAGGCATAACAAAAGGAAATTCTCCAATCAATCCAGCATTAATTCATTATTGGTGTTTAATTAGTTGCAATATCTTTATTTTATCATCTTTATTGTATAATTCATAACATAGCTAAATAGTAGAAAATATTTTGAGTACTTTTTTTAATTTGTAAATTTGTAAATAGCGTCTTGTTATAAATACCTCGCTAACTCATATTGAAATTATTTTTCGATTAATAACTAGACATATTTTGGACAAAATATGGTGAATAATTCCACTATTCAAGTTTTCTCAAGACTTCAGTAATTGCCATCTTACTTACAGGTATTCAATAATTATATATTTTCTTGTTTTCACTAGAAAATTAAAACAGTAATGTGAGTTTTAATTTAAAACACTTTTTTGCCAACCATACGTACTATATCATATTGTATATATGTGATTGTGAAAAAACTAATTACGCATACGGGAATTGAAACCCATTCGCATGTTTAAAAGTCCTGAATTCGTCCTTATACTTCGGTTTAAGAATGATTTTTCCCACACTTTCGAATATAATTTAAAAAATTGGATACATATCGTTTTACAAGCTTGCTTAAATGAATTTCATTTTGAAAACGGTCATATTTTCCATACATTCGACTTAACAACTTCTCTTATTGATAGATTAAATGGCATAAACTATTACACTGAAACTTCTGTCCGACACGGCCAGGGGTGGAAGAGTGATCAAAATGATTTTTCAAAGTAGAAACATTCGAGAAACTGAACCTTAATTGAACTAAACAGCGCACTTGACCCGAACGCGTTCTATTCAGATGGAGTACAACCGACAAAGATGCATGGCAATCTATTTGAATTTTTGTTTTCTTTGCGTCATAAATTTGTTGAATCTTACCAAATAATAGAATTTTTATTTAACAATTAAAATTTACTATAATTTTCTCTACATATGTAGTTTTTCTATATACTGGTTTATAGAAAGAAGACTTTTGATCATGTTATTTGGTAGAACACAGCATCATCAGAGACCGCAATATGTTGTCGTCCAACTCAGGTTGGGTTCCAGATGTTCTGGCGACGCTGAAAATTGACAATAGTCTCCCGACGTCTGGTTGAAAAAACCGTTGTTGCTCAGACAACGGGTTGTGAAAAAATTTCCAGCTCCAAATGAATCAAATTTTGATTACGAAATGCTTTGGTGTATACAGCCTTTCTTTTGTAGACCATTTGGGACGATTGGTAAACATGATGCTTTTTTAAATTCATATAGAAAATGGCTTCTTTTATCGTTGAAAGTTTCAAATTCTGATTCCGGAAAATTCAGAATTTTGTTTTCTACTCCAAGAGTACTCAAGTTGAAATTGTCTAAATTCCGATTCGACAGTCTTGGTGTAATCCAAAGTTTCTGGCAATTTTGTTTCATTAGAATCGAATTCAGATAATGCTTGCCTGCACCCAACACCATATCAAGTTGAACACTGAACTTTTTTGAATAAGTAAAACAATACTTTGAAATTTTTTCTCACCGACGATCTCGATAAATTAATTTGAACTTGCATATGCATCCAATCATACGGTGAATTAGTTTTTGAGTTGAACATGTAGGACTGTAAAACCGCTCTTGCCTTCTCGTGGTTTCAAATCGGTTGTCCGTGAAAAAGGTCGAAATTTCAGAAGTTGTAAAGGTGTGTAAGCGCTGGGACAAAGTAGGGAAATCCCGACTTTGTGGACAACACCACTGAACCAATCGCACTGTATTTAGCAATCGGTTGCGCTTGATGCCACAATCAGGATGAACAAAACTAATCTAACTACTAAAAGTATAATACAAGGTAAGCTAACTTTATTATTTCATTTAAATTGAGAGAGAGATTTATTTTTTCGTTAACGAGCGTTGCACGGATAATAATCATATATATATATATGCAAAATAATAACATACGCAAAGTTTTCGGTATAGACTGGAGGGAATGATACGGCATCAGAGTCTGCTCAGTTTGTATGTTGACGCATGAAACCCAAATTTGAATCGAGGGTAGTTGTCTAAATGTACTGATGAACCGAGCATTGTGGCCCGGAATTGAAAAACAAAATTTAATCAAAAGTAGATTAATATCTGGCTACTGGGGCGCCATTAAATACAAAAATACTCATAAAGTATTTGTTACATTTGTTGTTACATTAACCAACGCGAAACTTAAATCGGTTTTGAAATTACGTTACCAGGTATTGGGATTTGTATATGCACGCACTCAAGGGCGCGTAACTTATTGCGTTTTCAATTGTTATGTTTTTAATTCAATTTTTGTTTTGGGAATATTTCATTACAATTTGTTTTATTCAACCTATTGATTGCTTATTGTTATTTAATCATTTCTCCTTTTGAATATTAAAAAAGTTTTTATAGTTCAATTGTGTTAGTATTCTCTCAATGATTAGATAAATAAAGTAACTTTTCGCTGTTGTTTTAACTTTTAGCATACAGTTTCTTTGCTGTATATTTTGACGTGGTAGTCCGAACTCTAGTGCTATTGACAAAAAAATCAAACAAACATAAACGCACACTTTTCTTTGATTAGAAAAACAACGAAACGTAGTTTCCACTTAAAAAGTTCGAAACATCTTTTCGGCTCATATTTACTTCATATTCTTCATATTTTTATTTACTTCTTTCTGAATTTTTAAACTACGATAACTAAACAGTATATATGCACAAAAAACAGTATCAAAACCGAAAAATGGGATGCGAAATTAGTATCCTAAATGGTTGGGTTTTTCAAAGAATATGGTACAGTGATTTAATTGCTGATATACGATTACTCATATATAGATAGCAGTTCCTTGATTGAAGCATATTTGCGGAAAATTTGCGACTAACGATTGCGGTCAGCCGTCGTGAGGACACAATCATTAGGTTCGTGACTTTCTTGAAACCTATTACAGCGTTTACAAAGGATATCAAATTTTAGACGTGTGATACTCACTTGTAAAAAATACTCAAATGCATGGCATGAATGTCTTTTTATTTATTGATCAGTCAAGGTCAAGATAGTGAGTCAATCGTTCATTTTTTACTATAAAAACAAGTATATAGAAAACAAATACGGAAAATAAATAAACTTATTATGGTATTTACCCAGAAATGTCTTCAAGCAGCGACAATTGCAACGCTGATACAAGGTTAGTGTAAAAAGTAACGGAATGATGAACTACCGGCGTAAAAGAGACAAATGATATGACCACGTTTATATCAATGTTCCATTTATGTCATATTCATCGTACCACTGGAGGTGCTGTTAAGCAACCCATTTTTTTCGCTGGTTTTGTCAGACTGCCGGCAGTGTCTGGGTGTGGAATATCCTTGTGTGTCAAGTTATTATTATTATAGTGTTCTATTGCTGTAAACCTGGGTAATTTTGGTTGTAAAATAATAATTGTAGTACAGGTTAACTGTTTTTGAGCTTGCCATAGTTTATTTGACCAATAATCTTGTTATTGAGGTTCCTGTAACTAGTCTACGCTTGCAGTTCATTGCCTGTATGATTTCGATTCCCGTATTTCTATGCGTATTTATGCGCGTTGCAATTGTCATACATATTGGATGTTTGTTAACGAGATTCTATTTGTATTGTATTTTTTCATGGTTTATTGTATCATTGAAGTATTCGGTTGTATTATGCTCTTACAGGTGTCTAATTAATATAGGCTAACATAGTTGCTCTGTTGCAGTTGGAACCGCAAGAAAAGTATTTGCATCTACTGCAATTTTGGTGTTCAAGAGGCCGGCAGAAAGAACCGGAGTCACTGAGTGCTGACATCTATCTTTACCCAATACAGGTATGTCACACAAACAACTACTAATTAACTGAAGTTTGAGAACAGACTACATTTCAATCCTTTTTAACTTTTTTTTGACAGGGCTGCATAAGCTTTTCACAAAAACCCTTGAAACATCGGAACATCGCCTCGAGAATGTTTTTGGTAACATTCTTCATAATAAGACAGTTATTTATTTCTTCCATCCACGTTTCCAAATTTGAGTAATTGTGCCAATCTTCAAAACCAGTCATGAACAATATACTGATATACCGGCTGAGCAAAAGAGCAAACAAATCGGTGTCAAGGCCAAAAACGACAAAATTAGGGTAAAAATATGGTACTCCCGTAGTGTGTGTACCAAGTTAGGGTTAGGCCAGAATTTTATTCCGATTTTCCTTTTTTAGCTCTATTACGCGTTCGGGGACTGTCTGTGTTAGCCAAGTAATATACCATAGGTTTCAGTCCCTTTACACAACTTGATGTAAAGTAGGCGAACAATATTAGTTACCTCCATATTGATACACACACATTCCTGGAGCGCCAAAAATATTGCGTACAGCATTTGCTCAAATCAGAACCCTCGCCTTAACGGGAAAGGATAATATCAGAGAGCAAACACGGATGAGTTAAATGATTTTCTCAGTAGGAATAGCTTCCATCCTCGGAAAAAGTTAGACAAGAGGACCTGTAGCTTTGCCTGAATAAATGACTTCTCTATTCTATAACGCAAATATTGAAAAAAGTATATTTTCTAGAAAGATTGTTATGCATAAATTTGCCATTCAACGGGTCTGAAAAAAGTTAATCGCAAAGCAAACAAAGATGATTTCTCCAAATCAAAATAACAAAGACACCTGGCAAAACGGCAAATTTTAACGCAGTGACAAGAGCGAAGATCTTTAGGTATTTTCACCTAAGTGAGCGCCTTTTGAACATAAAATGTCGGATCAGGATTTTATGCTTGATGGGAAAAAAATCTGGGAGTGTGGACAAGGGCCATACTTAATGGCTTGGTGGGCTGGGTTGTGGCCCGCGGATAAGGTAATTCAATACAGTACAACATTATAAACTGGTTCCGATTCTTCCGAATATAAAGTTAATATTCGACCAGGTCCAGTATTTTTAAAAGAAGGTAACAACCAGACGCTTTAAATTATATTGAGGTTGCAGATTTTATTTTTGTAATGATTAATTGTTAAATATTACCATCTACCTTATAATGGTCACAATTTGGAAAAATTGCGGTACGGTGTTAGTTGATGATAAATACGAATGCTTTCAAAAACATCTATGATATAAAAATTTTCCCCTCGCACTTCTAGATGCTACTTTTAGGCTTCAAACATAAATGGATACATGGTACCAGTCGGGCTAGGTAAAAGTCACACACTTACACAAAATTGCACAACACGTTTGCAATGAAAGCAAGATTGCAACTCGTGAAGTAAAAATAAATTCCTGAAAAAATGCGCTATCGGAATAAAGCGTTATACAATAAGGTAGACGTAAACAGACGTGGCGTGACAAAAAGAACTTCGCCATACGAGTGGCGGGATACAGCGATTTCGACGAATATGGCACAAAATTACTCCGTCATGCATGTCAAACTTTGTGCCAATCTGAATTTTTGCTTCGACACGCATTCAATATGACGTATGACTATTAATGATGTAACTATTATCTTGTGAGCGTGCAACACAAGGACACGTCAACATTTTTTACCAAATCTTATAAAAGCAGCTTTCAAATTGCTTATATACAAATTTTGCTTTCGATTTGGGTTCAAGATTGGGTATCGACTGTAAAATGACTTTAGAATTCTATTATCACCCGCAAAGTCCGTTTTCACAATCGGTGTGGATGATTTTAAATGAGTTAAATATTGATTACAAGAAGACTTTGATTGACCTCTTTCGTGAAGAACAAAAATCTGAATCTTATAGAGATATTAACCCGTTAAAAAAAGTTCCAGCCATCGTGGACGGAAACTTGAAGTTGGCAGAAAGGTATTTTTAATAAAAAAATAAACTGAGAGAGCTTGTAATAAAGATAGTTTCTACCTATACAAGCAATCTATTCCTGCGTTAAATATTAAAACGATAAATTATATCAATAAATTTAATATCAATAGTGATAATATTACTAGTATTATTAAAAGCAAAAATGTTTTATATCCCTTTTCTTTTGGAACCAATAACTTATGTATAGTAAGTAGGCTACTACAGTTGAAGCCATAAAACTAATTTCCAATTGCATCTTCCAATAATCAATTATTGTTATAATTTTACCTAAGCATTTCAGTTTTTTTAAAAAATACTGTACCTATTCGGTACATTTAATACTGATTTTTTGTTTATAAAGCTTTCAAATATGGTGTCCTATATATATATGGGAATTTTTGAGCAATCAAAAATTTTGAAATTGTGTCCAATATATCGCATTTGTATTGTCGATGTTTGATGTTTCTCTTAAACGAAAAGGCGTTTGCCGCGTAGAAATTGATATCCATTATAAATTAATAACAATTTTTATTTTTCTAGTCGTGCTATCGCACTGTATCTCTGCAATAAATATGAACCTGTTACCAAAAAGAACAAACTGTATCCTATAGATGAGGAAAGTGTAGCAAAGATGAATATGGCAATTTTTCGAAATTGTGACAATGTTATCACCGTTTTGAAGTACATGGTAATTTTTAACAATTTCAACAACAATCTTTTCAAGACAAAAGCTCGATATCCGCAACCGTACTATAATTCAAAATTTATGACTGTTTCTACACTTCAAATACTTCCGATCTCGAACTAATTTACAGCGTTGTACTGTATTAAGAATTATAAAATAAAATCCGAATCGTATATTTTGCAGTTAACTTTCTACAGAGCCGATGAAAATTAATTTGATGCATTCATAATAATTCCTATAGCGAAGTGTTTTTCTATAAAATCATTCTTTTACATTATATAGAATGGGGAAGCGGTGTATTTGGGCAAAGCTGCTGGTCCTCTTGCCGAACTTTTTCCGAGGGTGAAAGCTATTCTGACTGAGATGAACGAATCTCTTTCGACGTCGGAATACTTCTGGGGAGAGCATTTAACTCTTCTGGGTTTGTTACAGCTTTAATACATAACTAATGATAATAGTTTAGAATTGAATGTTACGACTTCTTTCTAAATTAAAAATTATCAACCAGTAAAAATATTGCATCGAAAATTGCGACTCTTATCACTCTTTCCAAGTAAGACGAAGGGTCTGGTACAAGTAAACATTTTGATACACATTTTTCACTTTCATGCAATCGCAGATTTTTTTGCTCTCAACGCTACATGTATATTGTCGATGGCTGGTTTTGAGGATTGGCACAATTACCCAAATTTGGAAAGGTGGATGGATACAATGGAAAAACTGTCTTATTATGAAGAATGTTACGCAAAACCACTTGAGCTAAATGTTCAGATGTTTCGAGGATTTTGTCAAAAAGCTTCCGCGGCCCTGTCAGAACAAAATAATAAAGAGGATTGAATTATGTTTAATTTTTAAATGCCAGTTCATTTATAGTTTTTTTATGGCTCCTTTGGTTCGAAATTTGTTTCTTTTATTTTTGTGTAGACTACATTCCTTTAGTATCATATGAGTCCCAACATATGTGTAGGCCTACGGCATTTGGGCTTTGATCGAACAATAAATAATTGTACATTATGATATTGGATTCTGGTATTTTTGCTACCCGCAATGACCTTCTATTGAACTTCTCACCTAACTTTCTAAATAAACCTCATATACACATACACTAGACATTATGAAACTTTAATTTTTAATTTTCTGTGGGGTTTTTATTAACATACATTTTTATTGAAGCATATCGATGAGGCGATATTTAGGCGAAAAAGCAGAAAATTTTTGTTTGTGTTTTATGTTTACGAAAAAACTAGATAAATATGACTAGAACGATGACATGCAAATGATATACACCAAAGCTACTACAATATGTCAGAGATCAATGTATTTGATTTTAATATACAAATTTCCATAGAATAGCTTTATAAAGTTACAACACACACTAGAAATAATGACGGGACATAAGTTCTAGAAGTGACTTTTCGGCATTTTTTTGTATTGATTTGATCAGAAATGTATTTTTTCAACGAATATGAAAGGTATTCAACATAAAGCTAATCATAAAACATTTTGACAACAATTTATGCTCTTAACTACGAAGAAAATAATCGTTTGAAGATACATTTTTGAAAATTTGCAACTTTCTAATTGATATTACCAATACTCAATGAGAATCAACTTAAATGAGTACTGTTTGTTTATTTAATACTGACCAACGTGTAAATAGATATTCACGAAGTTCTAGTTGCATTCAATATTGAAAAAAAACAATGATTTTTTGAAAACAGCTGTCAAATTTTATTATTTTTTCTAAATCTACTTAACAACCTTCTGTTTTGAAGATACACGCTAGAAGACTGGTAATTACACTGATTAGGTATTATTACGCAAAGAGAAATAATTAAGTATGCAAAGGCTAAAATTTGCATTATATTTGTTCATAATTTCGTCGTACATACAAACATTTGATAATAAAGTAGTCATGGACGTATTTTGAGAAAGAATTTATCTTTTTGGACTTGGACAATTTCCTCGGTTTCTTTCAGCCAGACTCCAATAGTCCATGCCAATCTTTTTGATAATCTGGTCCACTTCATTTATCTTTTCTACAGATAGAGCGTCTACACCTTTTTTGAGTTCAAGATCAATGACAGCCTGATCTGAATAACATGACTAAAGTTAATTCTGTGCTACTTTGGTACGCGATCTCAGGGATTTTATAGTTAGGAATTGAATTCCATGAGACTTTTTGTATCCGATCAAACGATTGAGATCACGTTAAGCAAGTGAGATCGCAACCAAAGTGGAATCATTATTTTCGATTCGATTTCACAATAAAGAGAGCAAAAGGTCAATGCTCATATATATAGTACGAAGTTAAAATGACTATGCGATCTACATATTAATTTGTTATCTTGTATTTCAAATGATTTAAATCAGGTTCAAATACCGCAGCAATTCGCATCGATACCGGTAAGACCTCAGCTGAGCACAGGGCTTATCTGAAAGATATCTAATCTTACGGAATAACAAGTGGCGGAGCAATAAACTCCCAAAATAGCAAAATTTAGGATGAAATATTGAGCCTTATAGAACTGGGAGAATTCGGATAAATTAGATTAAAAGTTATAATATTTTGGTAACTTTTACATCTTCAAGTACTGAACGTTTAAAATCGATCGCCCATTATTTAAATACGAAGACGATTTTTTTTAACAACAACAATTTTACAAAACATTTCGTAGATTTACTTTGTGAACAAAAACTACCTTGACAAATACTAGTTTAATATACAAATTGTACTAACTCTTCTCATCGCATTGGTAAATAATTAAATAGTTGTCGTAATCGGTGGCAAGACGTCCTTCGATATTCACTTCACCTGAAAAAGAGAACAGAAATCAATAAACTTCCTCATCCTCTCCGATAAAAATTAATTTTATGTTCTCCATATTGAGTGCTTTCAAAATTGTTTTTTCTGAAACAGAGTTATTGACGGGCGTGCTTTGTTAACGCAAACCATACCCGAACAAAAATAAGTTCTAACAACTTTAAGTTATTAGTTCGAACGATCTTCTTTTGTATTTGGGGTTGTGAAGTAGGATTTAAACCTATACAACTCCATCATAAAATTAGCTTCGTCATTTCAAATGTCTGGTAACATTGTGCTATACGAGAATGAAAAATAAAAAAGTGTCAGAAAATATGGAAATTTATGTAAGAATCTATAGCAAGCGTGAATAAGAAATATTAAGAATAATTATAAAATATCTGATTGATAAGGGCTACAGCAGTATTTGAAATATTTCAGTTTGGCACAGATTACCTATTTTTTAATATGTCCATAAACAACGGCATTTTCAATTCACATGTCGCGTCAATGCCAGCTGTGTCGGTACAAGTAAGCGATGATAGATTAGTCAGCACCCAGAAATGACCACCGTCAAATGTCATAACAAGGTCTTATTTGATCGAAATCGTGTTACTATAAAGAGTATATGGTCTATGAATGTGAGTTTCAACCCTTCAAACCTTTTTTGTATCGATCTGTACGATAAATAAACCTAGATATGTGCATAAGGTTGCCGATGAACACGAAGTTCAACACGATTGACATTTTCATTTCAATAATTGAAGTAGATGACAAGTCATAGTGAAATTTTATCTAAACAAAAAATAACATTACCATTTCAGAACATAGATTCGCGTTATCGATAAAACAGTTGACGCAAAATCGTGTAAGTGCACATATCTTGATGGTTTAATCAAATTGGCAACGGACTTGGAAGACGATCGTGCTGCCCGGGGCCATTAATTTGATTTTAGGTTTACTTTTATATTTTTACAAAATAATATCCATAGCAGTTCGTTTCAAGGAATCACAATATAAATCATTAAAAGCCCATATCTTGATGGTTTAATCAAATTGGCAAAGGACTTGGAAGACGGTCGTGTTGCCCGGGGCCATTAATTTGATTTTAGGTTTACATTTATATTTTTACTAAATAATATCCATAGCAGTTCGTTTCAAGGAATCACGATATAAATCATTAAAATCCCAAGACCATTTGATCATAAACGTTCTAAGACGCACGATTGGTAGAATCACGAACAGGTCACCCGTCTGTATTTTTTGGCAGAAACAATTTATCATTGGGCTCTCTTTATGGTGATTTATTGGCATACGTAGCACTTCTTTGCTATGATTTTTACGATATTAAAATAGAATGTTTTGAGTATTTATATCTTTATATCTAGAATGTGTGTATTTTGTTTTGTTAAATTTCTAAACTGATATATTTTGAAGAAGTGCGAAAGAAATTAGAGCAGGAAAGATTTTCTATGATTTTCAACTTTCAAATCGTTTATTCGCATAGAACCATAATAAATTGGATATTATTTGACCACTCAGATTTGTCAAATATCCAAAAAAAATTATTATACAAATATTGGCCGTGCTAAAACGCTGCCAGGTATTTTAAACTCCGAGTAATCGATTCTAATCCGGAAGCAAAAAATGTTCGATTTCGCCAATTTTTATTTGGTTCACGTCATTTTATATTTATTTACTGTCAACACTGAAGACCAACGAACCGCATTTGCTTCTTATTATGTTGTGACATTACTACTATATATTTTGATTTATTGAAATATTTCAATATTCAGTGTCATAAACAACTATACTCACGTTCTGACACACATGATCCCCAGCACATCGTACTCATTAATAACAGTTGAACAGTTCCAATTCTGGGCCTTGTTCTGAAATATGAAGGTCATTAACGTCACTTGCTTTCCGCAGTGTAGTATTTATAAATTTATTAATTACAAATTGCATCGAGTTCTTTAGACTTACTTAGGAATTGAAAGGTCGTGATATATAATTTTGCATTTTAGATGCATATTTTGAAATTGAAAAATAATTATCTCTCAGAAAAATACAAATGCGGCATTTGATTTGGCGATATTTTTTTCTTTTAGTTGATTTGATGTCTTAAATTATTATAACCCCTCGTGAACTATAAATTCTTATATATTAAATTAGATCATTATAGTGGCACTACATTTTTGCAAACTTTGGAATATTATTAAATAAAATTTATGTAGAACTGCAAAATACATTAATTTGACTTTCTGTCAAAATTATAATCTTTAACAAATTCGTGATATATTAAACACATATAAAACGAAATCAGGAAACTGGCAAACTAATCCCATATCCGACATAGACTGGTAACCGGACGAGAGGCCGTGGTATGTCATATGATTGAGCCCTCTTATCGGCTTTCTTCTCCTCCGGGATAAATATGTAAATTTCTTTCCTATCCTAAACACACTTGTTTTGTGGTTTTGTTTGAGAGTCCCCATTTCCTCTTCATCAATTTAAAGTAAACTGTCTTGAATTTTGAAATCGAATATGATATATGTTATAAAAATATCTCAAGCACAGATAGAAGCAAAACTTTGTGCGCCATTAATTCGTGAGCAGTCTGCAAATGGTGATCACCAATATTGTTTCGTCACAATAAAACTATTTGGACAATTGATTAACAGAATGAATTGTATTCTAGATTTGTTCTTACTCTGAAGCAACTTCTTGCATGTAAAATAATTTATGCTCCGTGTTGACTCCAAAAATTCTTGTATCGAAGCAACTGAATTCGCTATAACGAGATTCATGACTGTGACGAGCCTGCCACCATTCACCTTTGACCTTAATGTAAATTTTTTCTAAATAATCCCGATTTTATCAATTAACTAAAGTCCTAGCTGATGTAATTTATATTTCATTGTCTGATTATTCTTATTTTTGTACGAATTCCCTGAATACGCGCCCTCTTTTTAGAATTTGTCAAGTCATTTAGTTGAAAATAATTCAATAACAAATTATCAAATATAAAAAATTATAATAAATATAAAGATAGTTAAGACAGATATTGGATTCACCACCCCGCAACGTTTTGGAATAAGAAATTAGTAATTATCCAGTTGGGGTTAGGGCTAGCATTAGGAATGAGTTGAAAATTTGAAGCGTTGGCGGCGGCTTTGTACAAAAGATTCTAGAAACTTTCACATATGCTGCAAGTTTTTTATTGGATTACAATTGGGAAAATTCTATCAATTTCAGCCCAATCAATTTTAGTTGGAAAAGTTGGGATTTGTTTGAGGTCCCGTGGGTCTTTTACTAATATATATATAATTTCAACTTATCAATTTACATTTTATTTTAATAATTTCGGCTGTGCTTCCGTGCATGTTTTTTCACAAAATTTATCTGGAAACAATAAGATCTTACCTTAGTATAATCTACGTCAGATTGAAGATTTACATCTTTGCATGGAATTGCAGTTACTGCACTCATGAAACACAGAATGAAAATAGCCGTAATCAACATCTCCAACACGTAGGGTTTAAAAGTTGAATTTGATTGCTTGATGCTAGTTATTAAACCTAAATTTAAATATAAAATATTTCAATATTAGAAATTTAAAGAATAGTGGTAATTTGAATTATACTGAATGTAATTTATTGATATATTAAAACCCAACAATAATCGTTGAGCGTATTTTTATCGTAGTTTTAATCTTTGATAAATTTCATTCAACTCATTCTACTTTCATAAAAATAACTAAAAAGTTAACTGAATAAATTTCAGTCATCCGAGTTTTCAGTAATTTTATGAACTGGCAATTGAACAAAATACGTTGTATACGCCATCCAAATATCCCAACTCTTACCAATTGAAATGCTATGAACTGAAGGCACCATTGAACCGGGTATACCGGATATATATAACATTTTTAACATAGTAATATTGTGAATTCCAGTAAGTTTTCAATGATTTCCGCTTTTACAATATTAGTTTACCGCGTTCTATTGAAATTGCTACTCGTGGTACTGTCAAATACGGTTCCATTACATTTGAACCCACGTACATTTGAACCCGTAATTTGAACTCACGACAATTGCACCTGCATACTATTGCACCTATTGAATTTATATATATATTTGAAACCAGACTAACCCTAACCCATGGATTTTAGCACCCGCATATAGATTGAACCCGCGGATATACGGGTGCAAATGTATGAATTCAAATGTATGTGGGTTCGAATGTACGGTCACCGTCAAATACAACTGTTGAACCTCATGTTTATTAACATCGTTGCCGTGTGTGCATCACTTCATATGTCAGCTATGCTCAACTTCCTTTTACCTTCTAGTGAATCTAGTAACTCATTTTCTGTAATACCTAAACAAGCCTGTGAAAATTCTATTTAAAAGCTTTGCGGCTCGGCGGTAGCACGCAGTTATTTCATAGTTTAAACACGTGGCTTTGTCATAAACAAAGTGTCACAAATAACTTGCAAAACTAAAAGTCATTTGAGTTTTTTTTATTTTTGATCCCTCTATTTATAAGAAAAATAATTTATATTCTATATTCTCTAGTTTAAATTGAACAGTGCATACTATTTTATGTATTGCGTTCAGGAGCTTTTGTATGTCTCAACTTTTCTCTCAGCTTATGTAGGCTATATAGACTAATATTCTTTTTTTACTTTTCTTTTCTTATTAATATTATTTTCTTTTTATATCTAATCGATTTGATAGTCTGATAAATATTTTTTGTAAGTATATATTTATCGCAGTATAAGTATACATGAAAGAATTTATATATTTATATCAAAATGATGTTATAAAATATATTTCCACAGAAAGTTTTTCAATTTAATTAAAAAATAATATTTACTAATTTACATACTATGTAAGGTTCGGACCTCTTTGTCGTTTGTCTTTCCGCGGAAAATAAAATATTCAAGATGTCTAGACTAGACCAAATCAGAATAGGTCAATTACACTTTGGTTCGTTATGATAATAAATTGAAAAGAGCAATTAGATTTGGTTAATATATGCTGAAAATACAAAAACACCTTGTGCGTCCGATTAAATATTCCAATATATGATAAAAAATTTGAATTGACATTGTTTTCTATTTATTCTAATATTACACTTCGAATTTTCACCTCAATATATAAAAGCACTCTCTATCTTTCATACGCAAACATTGAATATAAACTAATTGTTCTGTATCATGTGATCTTATGTCATGTCTAGGAAGGGCGGTAATATCCTCATAATAAAAATAAACCCTTTGGGCGAATATTGACATAAGTTTTTAAGTACAGTTGACGTAGACAGTGATAAGAATCCATTGACTTGGAAAAGGTTTTTCAATTATTTATTTTACGTGGGGTCAAAGTTTATTTCACTGTCTTTTTATTTCTAATTTAAAGTTGTGTATGAAGTACCCACAAATAGCGTTTTGTGTTAGATCGTGATGAGTCACCTGTATTTCAGTTATACCGTCTTTAAAGCAATGCTCTATTCTATATAACAATGAACGTGCGAAGATTCGTACGTCAAAAACACTTCCTGTATTAAAACTTGCTATTAGAATTATAAGTCTCTTCTCATGCTGCCCAAAATAATGAGAGGTATTATCTGTTTGATAAAATTAAACACTATGAAAAAATATGCTTCCGTGATATGACGCTTGCAGCTTTCAACTTCTCCTGCGACAAAGCGTGTTCGGGTTCCTTTTCAAATTAATTGAAGGAAATACTCTCAACCTAATGTTTTTCGAATTAGCCATAAAAGAGTTGAATCTAAAGCTGATCATGACATTATCTTAAGTTTATAAAACAATTTTAATTATCTCATTCTATCTTTCGTCGACCGCGCAAAGTTGTGCCAAGTTCTTGCTGGAGTATATTAAGAATAATTATAAAATATCTGATTGATAAGGGCTACAGCAGTATTTGAAATATTTTAGTTTGGCACAGATTACCTATTTTTTAATATGTCCATAAACAACGGCATTTTCAATTCACATGTCGCGTCAATGCCAGCTGTGTCGGTACAAGTAAGCGATGATAGATTAGTCAGCACCCAGAAATGACCACCGTCAAATGTCATAACAAGGTCTTATTTGATCGAAATCGTGTTACTATAAAGAGTATATGGTCTATGAATGTGAGTTTCAACCCTTCAAACCTTTTTTGTATCGATCTGTACGATAAATAAACCTAGATATGTGCATAAGGTTGCCGATGAACACGAAGTTCAACACGATTGACATTTTCATTTCAATAATTGAAGTAGATGACAAGTCATAGTGAAATTTTATCTAAACAAAAAATAACATTACCATTTCAGAACATAGATTCGCGTTATCGATAAAACAGTTGACGCAAAATCGTGTAAGTGCACATATCTTGATGGTTTAATCAAATTGGCAACGGACTTGGAAGACGATCGTGCTGCCCGGGGCCATTAATTTGATTTTAGGTTTACTTTTATATTTTTACAAAATAATATCCATAGCAGTTCGTTTCAAGGAATCACAATATAAATCATTAAAAGCCCATATCTTGATGGTTTAATCAAATTGGCAAAGGACTTGGAAGACGGTCGTGTTGCCCGGGGCCATTAATTTGATTTTAGGTTTACATTTATATTTTTACTAAATAATATCCATAGCAGTTCGTTTCAAGGAATCACGATATAAATCATTAAAATCCCAAGACCATTTGATCATAAACGTTCTAAGACGCACGATTGGTAGAATCACGAACAGGTCACCCGTCTGTATTTTTTGGCAGAAACAATTTATCATTGGGCTCTCTTTATGGTGATTTATTGGCATACGTAGCACTTCTTTGCTATGATTTTTACGATATTAAAATAGAATGTTTTGAGTATTTATATCTTTATATCTAGAATGTGTGTATTTTGTTTTGTTAAATTTCTAAACTGATATATTTTGAAGAAGTGCGAAAGAAATTAGAGCAGGAAAGATTTTCTATGATTTTCAACTTTCAAATCGTTTATTCGCATAGAACCATAATAAATTGGATATTATTTGACCACTCAGATTTGTCAAATATCCAAAAAAATTATTATACAAATATTGGCCGTGCTAAAACGCTGCCAGGTATTTTAAACTCCGAGTAATCGATTCTAATCCGGAAGCAAAAAATGTTCGATTTCGCCAATTTTTATTTGGTTCACGTCATTTTATATTTATTTACTGTCAACACTGAAGACCAACGAACCGCATTTGCTTCTTATTATGTTGTGACATTACTACTATATATTTTGATTTATTGAAATATTTCAATATTCAGTGTCATAAACAACTATACTCACGTTCTGACACACATGATCCCCAGCACATCGTACTCATTAATAACAGTTGAACAGTTCCAATTCTGGGCCTTGTTCTGAAATATGAAGGTCATTAACGTCACTTGCTTTCCGCAGTGTAGTATTTATAAATTTATTAATTACAAATTGCATCGAGTTCTTTAGACTTACTTAGGAATTGAAAGGTCGTGATATATAATTTTGCATTTTAGATGCATATTTTGAAATTGAAAAATAATTATCTCTCAGAAAAATACAAATGCGGCATTTGATTTGGCGATATTTTTTTCTTTTAGTTGATTTGATGTCTTAAATTATTATAACCCCTCGTGAACTATAAATTCTTATATATTAAATTAGATCATTATAGTGGCACTACATTTTTGCAAACTTTGGAATATTATTAAATAAAATTTATGTAGAACTGCAAAATACATTAATTTGACTTTCTGTCAAAATTATAATCTTTAACAAATTCGTGATATATTAAACACATATAAAACGAAATCAGGAAACTGGCAAACTAATCCCATATCCGACATAGACTGGTAACCGGACGAGAGGCCGTGGTATGTCATATGATTGAGCCCTCTTATCGGCTTTCTTCTCCTCCGGGATAAATATGTAAATTTCTTTCCTATCCTAAACACACTTGTTTTGTGGTTTTGTTTGAGAGTCCCCATTTCCTCTTCATCAATTTAAAGTAAACTGTCTTGAATTTTGAAATCGAATATGATATATGTTATAAAAATATCTCAAGCACAGATAGAAGCAAAACTTTGTGCGCCATTAATTCGTGAGCAGTCTGCAAATGGTGATCACCAATATTGTTTCGTCACAATAAAACTATTTGGACAATTGATTAACAGAATGAATTGTATTCTAGATTTGTTCTTACTCTGAAGCAACTTCTTGCATGTAAAATAATTTATGCTCCGTGTTGACTCCAAAAATTCTTGTATCGAAGCAACTGAATTCGCTATAACGAGATTCATGACTGTGACGAGCCTGCCACCATTCACCTTTGACCTTAATGTAAATTTTTTCTAAATAATCCCGATTTTATCAATTAACTAAAGTCCTAGCTGATGTAATTTATATTTCATTGTCTGATTATTCTTATTTTTGTACGAATTCCCTGAATACGCGCCCTCTTTTTAGAATTTGTCAAGTCATTTAGTTGAAAATAATTCAATAACAAATTATCAAATATAAAAAATTATAATAAATATAAAGATAGTTAAGACAGATATTGGATTCACCACCCCGCAACGTTTTGGAATAAGAAATTAGTAATTATCCAGTTGGGGTTAGGGCTAGCATTAGGAATGAGTTGAAAATTTGAAGCGTTGGCGGCGGCTTTGTACAAAAGATTCTAGAAACTTTCACATATGCTGCAAGTTTTTTATTGGATTACAATTGGGAAAATTCTATCAATTTCAGCCCAATCAATTTTAGTTGGAAAAGTTGGGATTTGTTTGAGGTCCCGTGGGTCTTTTACTAATATATATATAATTTCAACTTATCAATTTACATTTTATTTTAATAATTTCGGCTGTGCTTCCGTGCATGTTTTTTCACAAATTTATCTGGAAACAATAAGATCTTACCTTAGTATAATCTACGTCAGATTGAAGATTTACATCTTTGCATGGAATTGCAGTTACTGCACTCATGAAACACAGAATGAAAATAGCCGTAATCAACATCTCCAACACGTAGGGTTTAAAAGTTGAATTTGATTGCTTGATGCTAGTTATTAAACCTAAATTTAAATATAAAATATTTCAATATTAGAAATTTAAAGAATAGTGGTAATTTGAATTATACTGAATGTAATTTATTGATATATTAAAACCCAACAATAATCGTTGAGCGTATTTTTATCGTAGTTTTAATCTTTGATAAATTTCATTCAACTCATTCTACTTTCATAAAAATAACTAAAAAGTTAACTGAATAAATTTCAGTCATCCGAGTTTTCAGTAATTTTATGAACTGGCAATTGAACAAAATACGTTGTATACGCCATCCAAATATCCCAACTCTTACCAATTGAAATGCTATGAACTGAAGGCACCATTGAACCGGGTATACCGGATATATATAACATTTTTAACATAGTAATATTGTGAATTCCAGTAAGTTTTCAATGATTTCCGCTTTTACAATATTAGTTTACCGCGTTCTATTGAAATTGCTACTCGTGGTACTGTCAAATACGGTTCCATTACATTTGAACCCACGTACATTTGAACCCGTAATTTGAACTCACGACAATTGCACCTGCATACTATTGCACCTATTGAATTTATATATATATTTGAAACCAGACTAACCCTAACCCTGGATTTTAGCCCCGCATATAGATTGAACCGCGGATATACGGGGTGCAAATGTATGAATTCAAAATGTATGTGGGTTCGAATGTACGGTCACGCGTCAAATACAACTGTTGAACCTCATGTTTATTTAAACATTCGTTGCCGTGTGTTGCATCACTTCATATGTCAGCTATTGCTCAACTTCCTTTTACCTTCTAGTGAACCTAGTAACTCATTTTCCTGTAATACCTAAACAAGCCTGTGAAAATTCTATTTAAAAGCTTTGCGGCTCGGCGGTAGCACGCAGTTTTTTCATAGTTTAAACACGTGGCTTTGTCATAAACAAAGTGTCAACAAATAACTTGCAAAACTAAAAGTCATTTGAGTTTTTTTTTATTTTTGATCCCTCTATTTATAAGAAAATAATTTATATTCTATATTCTCTAGTTTAAATTGAACAGTGCATACTATTTATGTATTGCGTTCAGGAGCTTTTGTATGTCTCAACTTTTCTCTCAGCTTATGTAGGCTATATAGACTAATATTCTTTTTTTACTTTTCTTTTCTTATTAATATTATTTTCTTTTTATATCTAATCGATTTGATAGTCTGATAAATATTTTTTGTAAGTATATATTTATCGCAGTATAAGTATACATGAAAGAATTTATATATTTATATCAAAATGATGTTATAAATATATTTCCACAGAAAGTTTTTCAATTTAATTAAAAAATAATATTTACTAATTTACATACTATGTAAGGTTCGGACCTCTTTGTCGTTGTCTTTCCGCGGAAATAAAATATTCAAGATGTCTAGACTAGACCAAATCAGAATAGGTCAATTACACTTTGGTTCGTTATGATAATAAATTGAAAAGAGCAATTAGATTTGGTATATATATGCTGAAAATACAAAAACACCTTGTGCGTCCGATTAAATATTCCAATATATGATAAAAAATTTGAATTGACATTGTTTTCTATTTATTCTAATATTACACTTCGAATTTTCACCTCAATATATAAAAGCACTCTCTATCTTTCATACGCAAACATTGAATATAAACTAATTGTTCTGTATCATGTGGATCTTATGTCATGTCTAGGAAGGGCGGTAATATCCTCATAATAAAATAAACCCTTTGGGCGAATATTGACATAAGTTTTAAGTACAGTTGACGTAGACAGTGATAAGAATCCATTGACTTGGAAAAGGTTTTTCAATTATTTATTTTACGTGGGGTCAAAGTTTATTTCACTGTCTTTTTATTTCTAATTTAAAGTTGTGTATGAAGTACCCACAAATAGCGTTTTGTGTTAGATCGTGATGAGTCACCTGTATTTCAGTTATACCGTCTTTAAAGCAATGCTCTATTCTATATAACAATGAACGTGCGAAGATTCGTACGTCAAAAACACTTCCTGTATTAAAACTTGCTATTAGAATTATAAGTCTCTTCTCATGCTGCCCAAAATAATGAGAGGTATTATCTGTTTGATTAAAATTAAACACTATGAAAAATTGCTTCCGTGATATGACGCTGCAGCTTTCAACTTCTCCTGCGACAAAGCGTGTTCGGGTTCCTTTTCAAATTAATTGAAGGGAAATACTCTCAACCTAATGTTTTTCGAATTAGCCATAAAAGAGTTGAATCTAAAGCTGATCATGACATTATCTTAAGTTTATAAAACAATTTAATTATCTCATTCTATCTTTCGTCGACCGCGCAAGTTGTGCCAAGTTCTTGCTGGAGTGTTGCATACAACGCACCGTCTATCCGCTTAACACGACTTTAATTGGACAAAATTGTAATTCGCAATAAAGTCGCAAAACGATTTTAGAAACTTGCTGGAATTTTGAAGACCTTAAATTAATAACGCTCTGTTATTGATGCGATCAGAAAATGGCAAAAACATCGAGAGGATTTGTCGAACACATCGTATTTCGTTCCTTCAATTTAATTTATAGTAATTATCTGGCTACATCTGCAGCTACGCTTGATTCAGGAAAAAGTTCTAAAACAGGTATTTAAGCTGTTTAATTAGGAAGACTTTATTACTTTTTTTATTATGGAATATATTACTGAATAATATTACAATATATGGCGCATGTTCACTAAACGGCGTAAAAACTTCTCTTCGGCGTGTCACAATCATTTTTGCATATATATGTTATTCCTAACCCCCACCTTGCTCCGTCATCCGAAGATTACGTCACCACTGATACACAATCACGTCGAAGAGATTGCCAAAGTATAGCTATTGCCAATCGCCCGAAGTGGCATTTTCGCCAACGATAACGAACTCACTAACGCCAGCGATCTCTCTCATATCGAGATCGTTACGACGAGAAAACGAGAAAAATGGCTTGCTCAATTTCGGATGATCGTCTGCGCGTCTTGGGTGACAGTTAGTATAGTTTGGAGGGCCTTATTACGTTACTGTGTCGTAATTTTTTGATGAGGTAGTCAGTTGGGGTTAGGAATAACATATGCAAAAATAGCTTTGCCACACCGACTAAGAAGTACTTGCGTTGTGTTGTGAAAATGGCCACAATACACAAATGCTGAATTAGATCTAGAATATGGAGAAATCACTAATTGTGTTAGTAATTGTGTTATTTGTTTCGTAGTTTTTTGACAAGATCGTTTTTAAAACGTGTTATTTCCAATCGATGTTCTTGCAGGGATACAATTTGACTGCGATTCGGTAATCAATCAAAGTATTTCCACATTTTACTGACTTGACGAACATCGGGATTTGGTGTTGGAAAATGAGCCCAAACAATCCATTCACCTGAAACATAAGACAAAAAATATATATTCCACTATATTGTGAGTGATAAAAATACTGATACACAGCCATAAATATATAGTTATTTGTACTGAATTATTTGTGACAATTTATTTAAGATTGAGTTGAAACATAAAAATTTGCTCACCTGTTAAAACTGCAAAAAGCTGTGATAAAGTAGTTTTTATAATCGCTCAGTTGAAGAAGTTCTCTACTGAGAAGCGCATCATCTTTACAGCATTCAAATTCGTTTGATTCAATTCAATCAGAAAAAAAAAATAATAATAATTAGCGTCAAATTGCACACAGAACAAAATATCACAGATACCGTGTCATTTTGCCTTGACTTCGTTCAGCACACACTAGATACAACTTACGTAATTCAAATGCTTCAAAATACTTGGGATGAAAATCTCTACACCTATTAAACATATCTAGGCTTGTCCATGGGACATATTTTTTGTCCCATCCCATAGTAATTTATGCCTGTCCCTCCCCATTCCAAAGGATTCCAATTGGAATACAATTCAATAAAAATTGTTAAATTTAGGTTTAGCGTCTAATAAATAGGACTAATGTACGATAAGACATGCAAAATAACAAAAAACGCTTAATTTGTGAACTTTAGATTCATAACTATTATGCATGTGTCCATCAGCCTCTTCAAAAAGTATATTGTTATTGCTGAATATATATTTTGTTCTTTATAACTAACAAGAGAGCTATGCTCAAATATATGAACTAAAAGTCCATAACGAAATATTTTACCAACATTTCCCCCAAAACCATGTGGTATTTCGTGTCCCATAGGAAATACAAATATGTGCTGTCCCATCCCATCCCATGAAACGATTCCCATTCCCACGGACAAGCTTGAAAATATCCCTTTCTACTTTAAATCGTATGCTAAAATGTTACCTATTGCTGCAGCGGCTTCATTAAATCCTCCATCGGCACTTAAAGTTTGAGAATTGATGAGTCCAAGATCTATATAAACAATGCACAATGATGATTGATATGAACATTACAATTCAAACAACTGAGCTTATATTTCTCAGATCTTACCATCTTTTTTGTTTATGGTGTAAACTCCTTTGCGCTGTTTTATGTTTCGTTCTGGAAAAACACCAGGCGGAGAACTGGAATAGAAAAGATAAATATTAGTATTTATCTTTCTTTGATACATAAACCTGAAGAAATTGTCGTTTGTGTATAAATCACAACTTTAAATTTAATATCTTGCAACTACGTAAGACAGTTTTAAACATAATATCAAAAATTCTTTTAATCGTTAAACTTTTGACGATAATTATAGGGATAGTAGATTGTGGCATTGATGAACATAATAATAATGCAAGACAATATGTACTTTTTATGGTATTCCGTTACCACCATTTTCCAACCTTCCTTCGTTTTTGTAAAGTTTTGTAATTTTGAACATAGTACATCTTCAGACATTACTGGATCGTTTGTACGAAGACCTTGGTACCATGTTCCTGGAAACTGAAATTAGATTGATACATATTTAATGCTATTTATTATATATAATTTGTTTACCTGCAATCGTAGCAGTAGTTAGCCGTAGTAACAAAAATTTTATAATATGAAATTCTGTGAGCCATACGGGTGATTATACGTTCGGCTCTATATTAGCTTGCTATCGGTTTGCGGAGTCGTGAGGTCATGTTCGCGTGAATTACGACTGCCTTGACGGGATTTAGAAACCTCGATGACGATGACGGCTTACGAGTCTGTAAGTTACATCTTGTCTTCAACCTTTTGATTTTCTTGTTTTAGCTTTTCAAACCAAGCATACTTGAGCAACGATTCAACAAATAAAGTAATTTCTATGCACGGTGAGGGACAAAAGCTCTCAAAATAGGCGGAGAGAGAAAAATAACGACGATTTTGAAAACCACTGCTCTAGAGTTTGGATGAACCCCGATTGGACGTGTCACTTGGTAATAGAAAAACAGTGTTTCCCTTATTTTAGAAAAGGTTCGTCTAGAGCAGTGGTTCTTAAACTTTTGGAGCTGCGCCCCCTTTGAAAATCTTTCAAACTTCGCGCCCCCCTTTTTGTTCTGAAAAAAAAAAATGCCAACTGTTTTTGTAATGGGCTTTGATTTGAGATGGCGCTGAAAACGTTTCAATGTATTTTTTGCCCAAACGTTTACATAACACACATAAAACTTCAATCAACTGTTTATTCCATCGCTATTCAGCTATGCAAAAAAACATGTGTTGAAAATACACAACGATCACAGATTTCTTGGCTTGCCTAACGTCTTGAAGAATAACTAACAATACCTCCTGACGTGCTTACAATCTTGTAAGCACCAGGTTGAAAATACTGTTTATAAAGTGGTGCAAATGAATGTATGTACATTTTCAGCAAAGAGAAAAGAATTTCAATTTTTAACAGTTATTATGCATGTGAACGCAGGGATGGCCAATTCGAATTTAATATTCTAATATCGCGAACTTCGAATATCGTTTTTCGCGTTCACAAGAATACCCAATATCGCCCAGGACATTCTAGCGCCGCCGCCAACGTTTTGATTTAAAACATTTTACAATTAGTTTTCATTGTAATCGAAGACAGACTTATGTGCGAGGCAATAAATTACAGTCGACATGAAAGAATTCCAATTAGCTCCGACAAGAAGTGCTTATATCACGTCGAGGATGTTTTTAATTGAAAATGTTTTACAATTATTATCTTATATTTCAACTCAGTTGAGATGGTTTGAGCGCCACGGCAATAAATCTAAAAGCAAATTGTGTCAATTAATTGTTTTCATTCTTAGTTTCGATAGTGACCGACATAATTGGGAAATTTCTGCATTTCTTGCAATTTACAGCGTATGTTACAGCGTTCGTTATGAGTTGTGACAATCCTTGTGTGGAAACACAACTGAAAACTGACAATTACCACTCAAAATAAAATAATAAAACGAGCTAATGTTTACATTACAGCCATGCTCGAATATTAATCTGAACGATCGCACTGATTAATCGCCACTGTTGATTATTGCTTATTGGCCTTTGTTACGGCATAAACAAGGAAATCAAAGCTTGGGAAAACATCCATAACGCATAGAATTTCAAATGGGCATCTTGTGACCTTTCGACCCCCCCCCTCTTGAGATCTTCTCCCGCCCACCTTGGGAAGCGCGCCCCCCCCAGTTTAAAAACCACTGGTCTAGAGATTCTAGACCAAGGTCGTCCAACCCGTGGCCCGCCGAAGTTTCTGAATGGCCCGCGCGGTTTTATTCGAATCACAATGCCTTTCACAAATATGGGCCATTATTGAAACCTCTAATGAGAAAATTATTCCTTGTCATTAAAACACTCGAGAAGTACCACCCAGCTCTCGAAAGCTTATTTCTTATTTATGTCCCTTTGTGAGCGTTATTGCTGGAGAGAGATGTTTGAAGTTTTTTTATCGTCTGCCTTGTATTTCAATCTGTTTTTCTTTTTTTTTCTGTGATGCTAGATGACGCAGTTTTTAAGACCTTAATATTTGACAGCAGTTATTTGTACGAGCAAGTTTTTTTGCGGACGAACCAAGTCAAATCACCCGCAAGATCACTAATTTCTGATAGTCATATGAAAAATTAGGTATGCATGGTTGCATCGTCCATCGCACCAAATATTGACAAACTTACTGGATAAAAGCGGTGTCATACTTGGCATTAAAATATCTATGTGTGGTAAAAACTTGACCTAACTGTATCTTCGTATTTTCATTGTTTTCATAATTTTGGTGCGATGGTTTTGTTTGTTTTTTCATTAATAATCAGTAGTCGGTGTAGTAAAAGCTAGAACATAACAACCATGTCAAGTGGCCCGCGCAATCATTCGTAAACTAAATGTGGCCCTTTGGCCAAAAAGGCTGGACAACCCTGTTCTAGACCAATCGAAAAGCGTTTAATAGAAAACGAAATTTAACGAGTTACAAGTGTTTATTGGACGTAACACGACTTGTGCGGCTGCCATGAAATTGTGTTCTACATGGCGTTACTCACTACATTTAAATGACTCTTGCATACTCTGCGGACATGCAACTTATATCCCCATATTCGTCCAGTCATATGTAAATTAGATTAAGTTCTTAGTGGTAATCCGTTTGCTCAAACTTTGCGAATATACTGCATCTCTACGCATATATATAAAAACAGCAACACACAAATATATATTACCTTATCAACATCTATATCTTCTACGGCTGGTGAAGGAATTTTGCATTGCTCAGTCTTTACCAGGGTTGCCAGATATACTATGCCAATGGCAATATGAATTCCGTTTGTTCGGTTCATTTTTTTATTCTTTCGCCTTATAATAAATATTCTTTCTTCCACTTTGAATTTTCTTCGCATTAGGCAGAAATGCATTTGCTACACCGTTATATCAATATATTTTGTCTCCCGTACTCTCAGTTGGAAACCTTACAACACAAAGCAACGGTGGAATAGTCTGGTACGTGACAAGTTTTGTTTTGGCCCGGATGGCAAAACCTTCAATTGAAATATTGCAAGTATAACTGCTTTCTTCACTCACACTAAAATTGGGTGAGATAGTAATTGAGTTTAGCACTGCAATATAGTGCATTAGAATGTTTTCAGGACGATAATACACAATTTTGCAAGTAAACGGGTAATGCCCCCGATGAAGTTAGTTGTCAAACGTTCCTCACGGTTCAGGCTTACTCAAAATCAGATAATATTATTGAACACAAAATGTACATACACATTCTAAAGGTGAAGGAATTTTGCATGGCTTAGCCTTTACCGGGGTTGCCAGATATACTATGCCGAATGCAATATAAATTATTATTGTCAGGTTCCTTTTCTCATGGATGTTTCCCCTAGCATCGATTTCTTTTTTATATCCATAACAATTTCAAATCAGCATTAGGTTAACAATGATGCAACAATTAGAATTTATGGCGTCGCACAGTCACTTCTTTTGCTCAGACAGTTATTTGAGCATGGTTATAAAAATTCCCTTTTTTTGATAGTTTTGCGTGTTAATCGTCAGTTTTTAGATGTGTTTCTAAAAATAGTTGTAAATCAAATAACTTAATTGTCATTATTTTCCGGGGATCTTCATTCTAGTTACAATAATCAAAAATGGATACCGCAAACGATGCGATAGACTAGCCCAGTGCGCCGCAACCTGTGCGACGCGAGACGATGCCAGGTGTGCCGCACAGGAATTGCAACTATTCTCTTCTTTTTACAAATTATTTTTTTTATCTTTTGTTTTGCGTTAGTCCACCACTCTACTCTATTAACGTAAAGTGAACCTGCTTTTACTTTAATGTTAGCTTGAGCGACACCAATCCAAATTCCTAACCCCCCCCCCCTGTGCATTTGTGACGTAACAAGGAGTAGGCCTATATGACAAGCATGTATATTGTAAAGCCTATTGTCGAGGCTAAAACATAGCACGTGTCGAATATAAATAAAGTGTGAGTTTGCAGAATCTGTGCCCAGTGGTCTTTGATTAAAAATGTTAATAATGTCTTGGTTATATGTTAAGTTCTACACCCAAGCTATTATAGAATAAGGGTTCAACTGAATACGCTTACACTTCTTTATTACATCAGCATAACACACAACATAAGATGTTTACAGCAACAGAACATACTAGCGAGTGACGCAACTGCGACACGTTAGCACAAGACAGATAGCACAATCAATTATTAGGGACGTTACTCGACAAGGCATTATTAGCCATCATCAACATCCCTCTTCGTTTAAGGTAAATTTCATAAATTATTTTCAAATTCAGAATAGGAAATATTCACCTTTAACTATTACGCAATTCATGACCACCACAATTAAGACACATAAATGAGCAATAATATTTAACACTCAAAATCAAGTTATAGTCACTACTGAGTCACATAGTCTTTCATCCAAATAGGAGGTTTACGATTTCGACGAGGTCTGGTTGGAACATCATTCGAAATCAGAGGTCGAGAATTGTCATTGACAACCGGAAGGTTGTTCGGCTTATAGTCAGACAAGAATGGAATACTTGGTTCATATTTTTCGATATTACAACTTTCATCAGGACGGATATGAACACGATTTCGTCTGTATGTAACACCATTCTTCGATTTGACAATGTAAGATCGTGTAGCAATTCGTTTCACAACAGTTCCTCTATTCCATCCCTTCCGTTCTGGATGTTGAAAATATAGAGCTTCGCCCAACTCAAGTTCTCGCATTGGTCTTGTAGATTTGTCATAACTCTTCTTACGCTGTGCTTTCGACGCAGGCGTTTCGAGTCATAATTTTCGTTTGGTTTCGTAATTGTAGGTATAATCGATCTGGTTGATCGACAAAATAGCATCTTTGACGGACTGCTGTTCAAATCTTGACGCGGCGTATTTCTTATTTCTAGAAGAGCTAGAAATTGATCTTCATTCGTGTTTGCAGTCCTTTTCAGCATATTCTTGAAAATTTTCACGGACGATTCAGCTTTTCCATTCGCTTGTTGATGTCCAGGTGAAGAGGTAACATGCTGAATTCTCCAATCTCTCATGAATTTCTCGAATTCCGACGAGTTGAGATTTCTCCCACAATCTGAGATTAACATCTTTGGAATACCATGTCGAGCAAAATGGCGTTTCAGACATATGATGATTTGATTCGTAGTTGTCGTCGTCATCACATCAACTTCGAAGAAACTTGAAAAATAATCAACCGTGATTAGATAATTTTTCCCTTTATACTCACATAAATCAATTCCAACTTTTTCCCAAGGAACACTTCCTTCGTTGTGTTGCAATAATGGTTCTTTCTGATTATTTGGTTTCGTCTGCTGACAAGAAAAACAATTGTTAGCAATTTGCTCAATCTCTTTGGACATACCAATCCAAAAACAGTTTCACGAGCACGGCGCATCATACTTGCATAACCTAAATGAGAAAAATGAAGTTGTTGCTTTATTTCGTTACGCATAGATTTTGGGATCCATATCGTTCACCCTTCAAAATAATATCATCTTGATAACTCAATGTATCTCTTATTGAAAAATATGGTTTTACACAGTCAGGTAAGTCATACTTATGCTCGGGCCATCCATGTTTTATATATCTCAGCAACTTCATCGATTCATCATCTTTCATCATAGCTTGCTTTACATCTTCAATTCTTTCATCTGGAATTTGCTCTAAAGCGTCTACTTTCAAAATATGTGGAAAATGTTTGGAATTTTCGATAAAATTTCTGCTGAGGGTATCAGCAATTAATAAGGATTTTCCAGGCATATATTTGAATTGGATATTATATCTGTTCAATCGCATCATAAGAGTTTGTAAACGTCTGGGCGCTTGACTTAATGGTTTGCTCAAAATTGTTTCAAGAGGTTTATGATCGTTGTGAATTATAACTTTGCGACCATAGGTATATTGATTAAATCGTTCAAGTCCAAATACAACAGATAAAGTTTCTTTTTCAATCTGAGCCCAATTTCTTTCAGATTTTGACAAACCACGGGATGCATATTCGATAGGCTTCTCATTCTGCATTAAAACAGCACCAAGACCATCTTTGCTGCTATCAACTTGTAGAACTAGGTCAAGGTTAGGGTCGTAATAAGCTAATACGGGCGATTTCGTAATTTTACGTTTGACCAATTGAAAAGCTTTCTCACACTTTTCGTCCCATAGCCATTTAACATTCTTTCTAGTGAGATTTCGAATTGGCTCTAGATCACTGGCAAGATTAGGCAAAAATCTGGATAAATATTGAATCATACCACAAAATCGTTTCACATCACTGACATCTTTTAACGATGACATTTTCACTATGGCCTCTGTCTTAGCAGGATCTGGCTCTATCCCACTTGTTGTAATCTTATGGCCCATAAAAGTTATTTCTTCTTTCATAATTCTTGCTTTGGTATCATTTAATTTAATGTTTTTAGTTCGGCACCTTATTTGGAGATTTCTTGTGTTCTCTCTCAAATCCGCTTCCGCTTCAGATTTCGTGTCTCCACATCCAATTACTATGATGTCATCTGCAATCGTTATAACACCTTTCAATCTGAACAATGCTTCATTTAAACGTTTCTGAAATATTTCGCTGCTCACATTCAAACCAAATGGGAGTCTAGCCCATCTGTAACGAGAAAAAGGTGTGATCATTGTCGTTAACTTACTCGATTCTTCATCTAATATTACGTGCCAATATGCTTCTTTTACATCAAACTTGGTAAACACTTTTGCATTGCGTAGCTTATGCAATACATCATCAAGAACAGGTAATCTGTAGTGTTCTCGTTTCAACGCGGCATTTAAAGGTTGAGGGTCAATACATATTCGAAGCTTTTTGTTAGGTTTCTCAGTCACAGCCATTTGACTAACCCAATCGGTAGGTTCATCCACCGGTATTAAGATTCCCCTTTTCACCAGGTTATCTAATTCTGATTTAACTCTATCTTGGAGAGCTATTGGGATTTTTCTACAAGGTAAAACTCTAGGTTGAAAATCAGGATCAACTTTTAATTTCGCTATTCCCAAGTTTCCCAAAGTTTGCGGTAGGTCAACATTTGCAATAAATTTATCGCTGTTTATTGTAATCAAACCCATTTCTTGTATTGTCATTAACCCCAAAAGACAGTTGAAATTATTCTTGACAACAGTAAATCTTACCTCTGCGACTTCATCATTTCGAGGATTTTTTACCTTTAAAATTGCCTCACCAAGTGGTTTCATTTTCGTTTTATTCCACATCACAAGATTGTCAGTAGTTGGTCTAATTTGGTCTTTCCGCACATATTTCTCGCATATTGTGTTGACATCTGCAGCACTATCAATTTGAAATCTGACTTCATAATTGTTGACTTCCATCAGAGCAGTAATTCTTGAACTGTTGACGTTATTTATATTCTGGACACGCTGATGACCTTCTTCAAGCGTTTCTTCATTTTGGTCATGTTTCTTCATTTGTCGAACATAGCTTGCGTTTCTACACTTCACTCGGAAATGATTTCTACCATTGCACGAATGACAAGTTTTTCCGTAGGCAGGACAAAAGGATATCCCGAAGTTGTGTCTGCGTCCACAAAATTTGCATTCTTGGTATGCATTTGGAATACGCTTGTTTTTCGAAGCTCTGTTCGTATTTCGGTATTGTCTATTTTTAGTCGACAAAATTCGTTGCTCGCTTTCTGAAGTTGCACGGATCTCCGTCGCTTGCTTTTCTGACATTTCATATGTTTGGCAAATCTTTATGGCTTTTGACATATTGAGATCAGTCTCCCGCAGCAGAATTTCTTGTAATTTACCGCTTACTGAAAATACGATTTTATCTCTGATCATTCGGTCTTTGTTTTCGAAATTACAGGAATCGGCTTTACTACGGAGTTCAACGAGAAATGTATCAAAATTGTCTTTGTACTGTATATTGAAAAAGCGAAAAGTCTCCATCACCTCATTCTTCCGAGGATTACAGTGTTCAGCCATTTTCTGTAGTAGAACTTTAGGGTCATTTTCGTCCTCTGTATCACTGTATACAAAGTGTTCGGCAGCTTCAATCATTTGAGCACCTGCGCAATATAAGATTATTGCCTTCTGTTCTTCCTTTGACTTGCTAGTAGAACCGCTGGCTAGCATGAAAATATCAATCTGTCTCTTCCATTTCTTAAATGTTTCTGATAAATTTTCATCATGCAGATCAAGAGTCGACGGTAAGCGAATTTCAGACACCGCTGCCACCATGTTAATAATGTCTTGGTTATATGTTAAGTTCTACACCCAAGCTATTATAGAATAAGGGTTCAACTGAATACGCTTACACTTCTTTATTACACCAGCATAACACACAACATAAGATGTTTACAGCAACAGAACATACTAGCGAGTGACGCAACTGCGACACGTTAGCACAAGACAGATAGCACAATCAATTATTAGGGACGTTACTCGACAAGGCATTATTAGCCATCATCAACAAAAAAAGTCAAGGAACGCTAAAGTTTAGCAAAATGGATAAATTTTTAAAAAGAACAGCTGATACTGAGCAACATTTGTCACGCTAATAACCGAATTGCGTAAGTCATTTTTAGCAGTTTTGAGAAAAACGTAAAAAACTTCCTAACGATGTTGTTATGCCATTGAGTGTCAATAATTTGCCATGGTTCAATTTTTTGATCGTAGCCGGATTTAAGTTAATTTGTATGACGCAGTTAAGTGACGTCATAATGGCGCCATGTGACTTAGGCAGAAATGTGTCTATGACTTGGGGACATACGCAATTTTGCAACTTTACTATATGCACCAGTCCTGAAAACTAAACATTCCAAAAACGAATGTAATTCTCAGTATCTACAATGTCTAATCCCCAAAATAGCTAATCAGTCTCAATTACATTATTTTTTTATGTTTAAAAATATATAATTCATCAATATAACACGTTCTGCATACCCAAATAAGACTAAGATTAAATATAAAGAATAAACAGCCATGCATCCAATATAAAAGCCAACCAAGGTGAATTGGACTCGGACGGTGAATATCACAAGTGCACGCCTTCCTATACTGTAGTATAAATTCAAATTAATACGCACTAAGCTAGAATCCGAGATGCAAAAACTCGAAAATACGTCGCCGAGGTTATTTTGCCTTTGTGACATCACAATAGTCCTGGCGGTAACAATGATAATTCATTATGACGAAACAATTGCACAAATGTGCATGTCATACTAAATCTCAATTTTTATGGGTTTCGGAATTCTTAAAATAAAATCTGAGTTAACAGACAGGTGCGCAGCATTACATAAATACCTATTTTATGAAAAAAACTCAAAATCGCCAAAAATGACGTTGTGTTACGTTCTAGCCCTAGTGTTGCAATCAACGCACCGCACCGTCTATCCGCTTAAAACGACTCTAATTGGACAAAATTGTAATTCGCAATACAGTCGCAAAACGATTTTAGAAACTTGGTGGAATTTTGAAGACCTTAAATTAATAACGCTCTGTTATTGATGCGATCAGAAAATGGCAAAAACATCGAGAGGAATTGTCGAACACATCGTATTTCGTTCCTTCAATGTACTTTATAGTAATTATCTGGCCATATCTGCAGCTACGCTTCATTCGGGAAAAAGTTTTCAAACATGTATTTAATTAAGCTGTTTAATTAGGAAGACTTTATTACTGTTTTATTATGGAATATATTACTGAATAATATTACAATATATGGCGCATGTTCACTAAACGGCGTAAATACCTCTCTTCGCCGTGTCACAATCATTTTTGCATATGTTATTCCTAACCCCCACCTTGCTCCGTCATCCGATTACGTCACTACGAACTCACAATCACGTCGAAGAGCTTGCCAAAGTATAGCTACAATCGCCCGAAGTGGCATTTTCGCCAACGATAACGAACTCACTAACGCCAGCGATCTCTCTCATATCGAGATCGTCACGACGAGAAAACGAGAGAAATGGCTTGCTCAATTTCGGGTGATCGTCTGCGCGTCTTGGATGACAGTTAGTCTAGTTTGGAGGGCCTTATTACGTTACTGTGTCGTCATAGGGACGTAATTTTTTGATCACGTGGTCAGTTGGGGTTAGGAATAACATATGCAAAAATGGCTTTGCCACACCGACTAAGAGGTACTTGCGTTGTGTTGTGAAAATGGCCACAATACACAAATGCTGAATTAGCTCTAGAATATGGAGAAATCAATATTGAGTAGCATTATTTGTTCGTAGTTTTTGGCAAGATCGTTTTTAAAACGTGTTATTTCCAATTGATTTTCTTGCAGGGATACAATTTGACTGCGATTCGGTAATCAATCAGAGTATTCCACATTTTACTGACTTGACGAACATCGGGATTTGGTGTTGGAAAATGAGCCCAAACAATCCATTCACCTGAAACATGAGACGAAAAAATATATATTCCACTATATTGTGAGTGAAAAAATACTGATACACAGCCATAAATATATAGCATTTCTTGAGTTGAAACATAAAAATTTGCTCACCTGTTAAACTGCAAAAAGCTGTGATAAAGTAGTTTTTATAATCGCTCAGTTCAAGAAGTTCTCTACTGAGAAGCGCATCATCTTTACAGCAATCAAATTCGTTTCATTCAATTCAATCAGAAAAAAAAGAAAACAAAAAATAATTAGCGTCAAATTGCACACAAAACAAAATATCACAGATACCGTCATTTTGCCTTGACTTCGTTCAGCACACACTAGATACAACTTACGTAATTCAAATGCTTCAAAATACTTGGGATGAAAATCTCTAAACCTATTAAACATATCTAGGCTTGTCCATGGGACATATTTTTCTGTCCCATCCCATAGCAATTTATGCCTGTCCCATCCCATTCCAAAGAATTCCGGTTGGAATACAACAATTGAAATTGTTAAATTTAGGTTTAGCGTCTACTAAATAGGACTAATGTACGATGAGACATGCAAAATAACAAAAATAGCTGAATTTGTTAACTTTAGATTTATAAGTATTATACATGTGTCCATCAGCCCCTTCAAAAAGTATATTGTCAATGCTGAATATATATTTTGCTTTTTATAATGCTCAAATATATGGCCTAACAGTCCATAATGGAATATTTTACCATCATTTTCCCCAAAACCATGTGGTATGTCGTGTCCCATGGGAAATACAAATATGTGCTGTCCCATCCCATCCATGGAACGATTCCCATTCCCACGGACAAGCCTAAAAATATCTCTTTCTACTTTAAATCGTATGCTAAAATGTTACCTATTGCTGCAGCGGCTTCATTAAATCCTCCATCGGAACTTAAAGTTTGAGAAGTGATTGTTCCAAGATCTATATAAACAATACACGATGATGTTTGATATGGACATTACCCTAATCAAACCACAAACTACACCTAATAAACTACCTATATTTATCTAATCTTACCATCTTTTTTGTCTATAGTGTAAACTCCTTTGCGCTGTCTTATGTGTCGTGATGGAAAAACACGAGGCGGAGAACTAGAATTGAAAATATTGATATTGTTATTTCTCTTTTTTGATACATGAACCTGAAAATTTTTTTCATGTTTCTTGTGTGCAATTTTGAATTGAAAATTAATTTCTTGGACTACGTGAGACAGTTTTGAACATTATATCAAAAATGTCTAGAATCGTTGAACTTTTTTTATGATATTGATGAACATAATGAAAATGCAAAATAATAGATATATATATATATATATTTATACTTCTTATGGTATTCCGTTATCACCATTTTCCAACCTTCTTTCGTCTTGGTGAAGTTTTGTAATTTCGAACATAGGACATCTTCAGACATTACTGGATCGTTTGTATGAAGACCTTGGTACCACGTTTTTGGAAACTGAAATTAGGATGGTGACCAATTATTTTTTTCAATGTCGTTCGTCACCAGTGATTCAACTTTTTGCCTTCTTTATTGGGCTTTTGACCTTATGGTAAATTCGCGAGTGTACACTCATGTTCATTACTACTTCATATTATAAAAACAGTCATATATATATTACCTTATCAACATCTATATCTTCTATTGGTGTGGGAATTTGGCATTGCTCAGCTATTACCAGGGTTGCCAGATATACTATGCCAAAAGCAATATGAATTCCATTTGTTCGGTTCATTTTCTTATTCTTTCGCCTTACAATATATATTCTTCCTTCTAGTTTGAATTCTCTTCGCATGCATCTGCACTTTAAGCCTAAATGCTTTTGCTACAACGTTATATCAATATATTTTGTCTCTCGTACTCTCTGTTGGAAAACATTACGTGGGTAAACACAAAGCAATGATGGAATAGTCTGGTGCGTGACAAGTTTTGTTTTGGCTGGAAGGGCAAAATCTTCAAATGAAATATTCCGAGTACAACCGCTCAGATACAATAGATAGAATATAGGGTGACCGTACATTTGAACCCACGTACATTTGAACCCATGCGTATATCCGCGGGTTCAATCTATATGCGGGTGCTAAAACCCATGGGTTAGGGTGAGTATGGGTTCAAATATCCGTAAAACAAAAAAAATTCATAAGTGCGATAGTATGCAGGTGCAATTGTCATGGGTTCAAATGTACGTTGGTTCAAATGTAATGGAACCAGATTATAGATACAACCTAGCATTAGAATATTTTCAGCAAGCTAGTACAAAAAATTGCAAGTATGCGGGTAAAGCAACTAATAAAAGTTTGTTGTCAAACGTCCCTCACGGTTCAGGCTTACTCAAAATTAGATGATATTATTGGACACAAAATGTACATATGGACCGTTTTGTTATTATGTTGTTATGTTCATTTCCCCGCTGTTTAGAAAATTAAATTCTGGACCAATTACTTCAAGATTGCCAAGGTTTGAAGATTGTATTTTTCGCAAGAAAGGCATTACTTTTTCCATTTCAGAAATGTTTGTGGGCTCTATGAGATTCGTTTTCAGAGTGCGATGACGTCATCAAAATTAAAAATTGCGCATCTTGTGGCGGTTCCGTGTTCACGATCAAGTGGTAAGGGGAGTCGTCAACACTGCGGTACCGATAGTCTACAGCAGTGGTTTCCAAACCTCGGACCAAATACGGCCCGCGTAACAATTTAATATGATCCACCGAACTCAAGTGAAATAGTTTAACGTAGTAGTATATATTTACGGTTTAACCATTTGTTTTTATTTTTTGCGGTCTAGATACCGTCAATTGTTACGTCATTAACACAGTTTAAGCACGTGTATATTCGTAACACTTCAATTATACCTGTTTCTTAATTATACGTACCGTTGTTAGGATTGCATACGGCCCGTGAATATCCTTCCACTTCTAATTTTGGCCCCGGTCATTCAACTTTGGGAGCCCCTGCCTACAGTGACTTATTGTATACCCGTACTACTTTGTTTCAGCTTTCGTGTCCATATATTTGAGCATTGCTCCCTTGTTTACTCATGCCACAAATATTGACGTACCTCCTCACAATACATGGCAACACATATTTTTTATAATGTTCTCTATTGATGCTTCCATCCTTTCGTTTCTGTGAAATTTTGTTATTTTGAACGTCAAATTTCTTGAGATATTACTGTAACGTTGGTGTGTCAGTACCGTATTTCAAGAAACTATAACTGGTTTTTGTCTAGTGTTTATTATTATTTACATGAAATGTTATGTTGATGCTGGCGTGATTGTCGCTGTCGAAAAAATCGCTTTTGAGTCAAGTTCTGATCCAATCGATATCAAGTTTTCAGATAGAAGGCAGTTGGGGCCACTAGAAGGTTAGACATTTAGATAATATGAGTGAGAGTAGAACTTCAAAAAGGATTGTATTGGAATACCAATGGATAACTGAAATTGCTTGGATGTAAACGGATTATAGATTACTCTGCAGCAGTGTTTGGCCGGAATAGAAGCAAGGCAAACGACCACGTCAGGTCGTTGATGAGGTAAGTAAAGAAGTAGACATAACATTTTTAATATTATCCAACTAGTCGACAAGAAACTACATCAGGCATCTAACCGCTATGTATAAAACGAGGCTTGAGTTTGGTCATTATCCTTTCGACAACTAGACCAAAACAACCCTAACATGTCTAAATGAGATGACATATTGAAGGAAACCCCAATGTTTTGACGGCAGACGTAAACATACAATTCCAGTGTCGCCCACGCTCGTAATCAATATAGGAATCCATGATGTGACGAGACGTCAACCAGTACTCTACTCGCTATTTAAGGCCAATTGCGACAACGTACGAAACGTAAATAAACCTTACCACCGAGAAACGGCGTTGTATAACGCGACATAGCGGTATAATTTTCCGACTTCGACCATACCCATTTTATCCCTATTTTAGGAAATCTTGAAAATAATCTCTAGCCCATAGTAGCAGCCATGTGATCGACGATTAAAGTAAAGATACAAAAAACTGGTAACCTAGCCCTAACATCAGCGGAGAGTCCTTATGTTAATCCAACCTATCATAGAACCACGTCGGTCGAGATTTAAAATAACATCCACCATAGGTAGCACGCTTTCCAACCACCCTACGTCTCCCCTAATGTCGGAGGCCGTTATGCACAAATAAATAAACCAGAACATGATTCCCAGGGCGTGGCTTACCATTCTGCTTTCTCGATTACTTCACAAATTTTCTAATCCCCAGGTTGTCTGGGCAAAAAGCACGCAAAGACCACCACTGATTCCGAGAAATCTTAGCTTATTTACCTGACATGTGCAAGTTTAGCCACACTACGTGAGTAAGAATAGAAACCCATTACAATTTATTGTCTGTACGACAGATGTCGCCCGTGATCAGTAAAGCACGCAAAAAGTGAGGTAGTTTGTTCCATGAATGCAACTTGCGGCAAATCATAAGACAAGACAATAATTTTACATCTTACATAATCACACAGACAAACGATCAGGAAAAAGAGTAATATCACTTTGTTATGGTAGCTACAATGAGAGTGATATAATGAAAGGGATATTGATATATTTATGAATTTCATTTTTTTTACCTAACCAAATTAAGTCTAAGTTAATCTAGTTGTAAACTAATAAAATATAAAGAAAAATTTTATGCACCAAGAATGCGACTTATACTACCTTGAAAACTCGGATTTTATTTTTCTGACCCGTCTCATTTGAGTATTCTATGATATCTAAAATACTGAATTCTGAAAATGAATAGTTTCGACTTCATCACGCGTCATTTTTCAAACCAGTGTGTGCTGTTTAGAAAATGTTACATCAATCTTTTTTGCCGTTGGGGGGAGTTAATGCTATTACATGTTATTCAAAGTATTGTTGTAGTCGACTCATAAATCTTAAATTTCGCCACGAAAATCCAAGAAATTAAAAAATACTTTTGCAGTGAAGCAAACATGATTCGGACTATGACACTCTTTATAAGTAAAGACTCAAGAGTTTTAAAAACAAGACAATTTGGAATAAAAATGACACGGTGCATGACGTACAACTAATTTTTGGATAATTCCTATATTATTAACAAGCAATTTATTCAATTTACTTTATTACCAGGAGCGAAACCTAATTCTACGATGTGCGTTGTTTCATCCATTTGCACTCTTCCATCTATGGTAAACTCTTCTGGCCGCAACATACTATTTATAGACCAAACTTTTGTTCACAAATGATCACCACTGCTTTTGATCATGGGTAGCTCACACATAATTTTTATACTTATCTTTGTTTCTTGCCTGTTCGAAGACATAATTGAAAAATTATATGTGACTCATAAGTTTTATTATTCATCAAATCCTTGCGTTTGGGGTAATTTAGGAGAAAGTGTCCACGGACACACGTCAAAATAATTATGAATATTTCAAGAAATGACAAATATCACTGTTGGATTTTTTGTCAACAAATTCATTTTTGTCATATTCTATATAACTTTTGCCGCCCTGTTTTTTTGATTTAAATAAATGTGTTAAAATTTATGACGAACTCGTTGGAAATCACCTAATACAATAACCACGAAAATTTAAAAAATGAGTAGATCCCTTGGACACTAAATTGATGTAAATATCTCGCCTTTGATAGATAATAACCTCATTTTCAGTAATTTTGATGACGTCACACAATGACGTTAAACATGTTGTTTGCCTAAATAATTTCTGTATTTTTTAAACAAACATGGAAGATGGCTGTAAAGTTTTGATAAAGCTTTTATTTATTGGTTAAACTAACATTCAATATGTCAGAAGAATATTGAAAAGAAAACCCATTTCATTCCAAACCTTTTCTACTGTTTTATTCTTGATTTGAACGAATTTATGGTCATCATTTCCAGAGAAATATCGAAGTAGAAAAAAGTCCATAAATTGGAAATTTCTAAAATACGTTGCCTGCTGAAAGGTCATTCGTGCAACATTTATGAAAAGTGAACTTCAACTAAAGGGATGAAATATAACAATATTTATTAATTTTCAAATACGTCATTTCCGGAATAAACATCCGGTAAACTTTCAGGACATTCTTTTCCTCTCAGACTAACAATGACGTATTCATTGATTTTTAAATATTGGAACATTTGCCTGCTGCAAGAACAAAAATCGCTTCAAATGCATGCTGAGTTTTTTCAGTTCATTTTTCAAAAATATGACAGTGCTAAATGGATTTTTCTTTTTGGCGTTATAATATAACACACATGATCGTGGATTAAACTTTTTGTAATTTTTTGTATTAATTTCTTACGCGTATCAAGTTCATTTATCTTCTAAATACCTATTCATGTTGAAATATGTGCTTTTCGTAGATCGCGATTGAGATAAACTCGATTTCTATATACTAAAAGATGAGATTTAAATGTATTAACAGATTTTGATCTTTTGTCTTCAAAAATATGTTGCCCTTGGCGCTTCTATTTTTACGCTAAATGCAGTATATCGGCACATTGAGGTTCAGATTGCATAAATTTACGCACCACAAATATTTTTTTCAAAATTATTTGGGGATTTTGAAACGCCGTAGTGTGTTCGGTATGGGTTCAGGGTTATCTTAGACTATGAAAACATACCAAATCAATATGGCTCTAATATCTATGTTTTTTTACAAACTGATAGTCACACTCTATCACATATTATCAACGTTATCAAGTAGTTCGAATAAGTGGCATTTTATCTTTCTTCAAAATTTTGAAATAAAAAAATAATTTTTCTGATTTACAAGTTTTGAAATTATGACTACATTCATTCATTATCACAATTACAAATTGTTACCCGATATTTCTAGGTATTAATTAGAGCGGCGTTAAAACTAGGATACACAACTGGAAGGAGTGCGTCATAAAAGGTTATATTTCAGGTCAAGCACTGTTTGAACTTGTGAGCAACAATGACTCCCCGGTCACAACTTTTATAATTATTATTTCTACCATCTAGTCTACAGTGTAACAGTCAGTTTCGTGTTCATAAGCCCTTTTATTGACTTTTCTCGGGGACGAAATTTACGTGACTTTGCATACACGCACAGTGTTTGTGAACGACACCAGGAAATCAACTTTCTAAAATCTCGTAACTGCATATCATACCATTGCTATACCATGAGTCTAAACTGCATTGAATTACAGCAAAAGAATTTGCAAAATTTTACTATAATTTTTTATATTCGTCTTTTCATAAATTGCATAAATAATGAAATAACAAATAATTGTACGTCACAATTGTGAAACATAGCATAGTATTGCAAATGCTTTAAATAAATATATTTTTACATTATAAATATAAGTTGAATATGAAATTGGGAAATAAGAATACCACAGTGTAAATAGGTATTGAATCCCTGAACTGCAATACCAGATATAAATGCAGGAATAAATAGCTAATAAAATATTATTTAGGAGATGGGCAAGTGGTTCTGTCTCTCTCTTGAAGAGAAAAGAAATTGACTCCGATTTTCTCTAAGATTTTTGCGATTTCCTGAATCTTTCTGCAGGGAAGTTTCTTGATTCTTTTTCTCAATTGTATGTCGATAATAGGACGACCTGAAAAATAGGAAGAAAATGAGTCATCTTCTAACAGTACAATAAAACCTATTAAATAATAAAAGTTAAAAACATTATTTACCTTCAACACAAGTATGGATGATCATATAGTTACGATAGTCTGTTGCAATGTGTCCATTGATATTAATTTCACCTGAAAATATTTAATGAAAGAATTAATCTCTTTGGCTTTGGATATTCACGCATAGATACGTCTTTAAGAATGATCTAAATCAACTTACGATCCGACACACAATTTTCCCAGCACATCGTGTTGAGCAATATTTGTTGAATTGTTCCCATTTTCGGTCTTGTTCTAAATTTATAAAAAATATTAAATATAAACGAAATGTACTTTTTTCTGATATTTTAACAATACAACATTGATAAATTTTATTCAATACTCACTCTTGTATTATTTCTTGAACGTAGAATTGTTTATAACGTCTGTTGAGACCAATTATTCTCATATCATAGCAATCAAATTGAGAGTAACGAGAGTCTTGGGTATAATATGCTTGCCACCATTCTCCACGGAGCTGTGATAAAAATATTTGATAAACTAAACATTTGCCGCAATCAAATTCAATTCTGTCAATTGTCAAGTCTATACTTAAAATGATTAAGATGGCGCACAACCTGAGCATAGTATGTGTACCAGGTGAGGGTTGTTCAGGTTGTGCGTCATCATGGTACGAATACTTTCGGAGGGTCAAAATTGTACCTTCCTAGCATATAAGCGATCAAAATTTGTATAGTTACACTAAGATTTATTTGGAGCAAAGCTTTGAAAAAAATTTTCTTACCCGACTATAATCCACGTCTTTCTGTAAAATCTGACCATTGCACGTGTGAGCTGATGCTTCGTTATAACAAACAACAACAAGAACAGCAAAAATCAAAAAAATCTTCATCTTAGTTTTCAGTGTGCGGTTAGTATATTAACCAACTATTAAGTTTTATCTCACTCCTCTCGGTAGTAGTTTCAAATAACTTGTGAATGTCCTCAACGAACTGCCGACACTTATATACTCCTTGCGGCCTAAAATGACGCATAGTCATCATATGATTTTACTCATTCAAAACTGAATCTGTTAAAATTATAAATAGAATCAAGTCACTAAATATATTCTGTCTGTCAATTTCGATTCTAAAATTTTCTCAGGAACGAAAATGTACAATTTGTATTCGAAATTGATCTACGGATGATCAATAATGTCTTATAAACTGCACTTGATATTTGTGAACAGAGGTAATGTATGAAACAAGTTAGGTTTTAACCTACTTACAACCAAAAGTTTTAACGTGTATGGAGAATTACATTTATTACAGAATTAGATTTATAAAACCAATTCTTGACTTTTCCTATTTTCGTATGCATTCAACGAATCAAAAAATAAACCAGTTGAAAAAGTCTCCATTGCAGAATAAAAAATAGTTTTTTTTCCAGAGAATGATGATCACGAAGTATTTAACATTTTGCTTTATTATAAAAACGTATGCTCTATAGTTGACTAAAATGCAATATTCAAATCAGGTATTTACATCACACTCACAAAATCTATTCTAAAAAAGCTGAGCTATCCGTAAAAGTAAAATAATTAGGTTTTGAATTTAATATATACATTTTCATGCTTTTGTTTTGATGTAAGGCACGGGTAGGAAAATTACGGCCCGCGGGCCGGATCCGGCTCACCAAAGTGTTTCGTCCGGCACACTTGTGTATGCTGAAATTACGACTATAATTTGATGAGCGCTCCTGAAGTATGTGCACCAAGATGGCGTACAACCTGAACCCTAACCTGGTACACATACTATATTCAGGTTGTGCGCCATCTTGGTGCACATACTTCTAGAGATCCGTTTTATGGACATCAATTTCCGTTGAAAATATCGATGATAATCATGTCATAACGACCCCGATTGTTACATTTGTGCTTCTTGTTGTTGTATAAACGTTAGCCTAGTTGTTGTAAATAAAATGTTCGTAGTTTTTCATATAGAGTTTTGAGCTTGCGGCCCAATAACCAAGTCTAATATCTATAACTGGCCCACTCAGAAAAGTAATTGCCCAACCCTGGTATAAGGGAAGCCTAAATTATTCCAAAAACTGACCATATTTGGAAGAAAGAAAAGTGCACTATTCGTCGAAATAATCGAAATTGGAAAAGATCATATTCATAAGTAAGCAAAGCTATATGCACTACAAACGCGTGAATGTCACTATAATAATTATATACAAATTTAGCCAAACGCAGATCATAATTAGAAATTTAATAGGTGTGCATAAATATTACGCTATTGAGAATTTCCACTCTGAGTCAACCTCTGTTTTAACATCCGTAAACTTCGATAATATGGAACGAATACCACGTCTCATTAATAATTATTTGAGCAAGGAGAAAAGTTAAGTTACACATGTCATAATAAACGTATCATAAAACTTAATAATGAGACATATTTTGGACACAAACTGACTGTTTAACTACTTTGTTTTAGTTCGTTTACAATAAGTTTCAGTGGCAATTATTTAGGGTGCAAAGTATATTTGTTATTATGAGTTTTATTATCACCTTTAACAACTTATATTGCCTGCAATTCTGTGAAATTCTTTGCTAATACTTATTTAAAGTATAGCCAATTGTACTATATAGGTAAAATATGTCCTAAACTACCTGATGAAGAAGTGACGATCGAATTTGTGTAATCAGTTTTATCGATAGAAGCTGAATTTCAAGATTTGGATTTAAAGCAAACAATATTTTTATGTTTTTCGTTCATTAGTTGAGATGCCCGATTTGAAAATTTTCTAAATAAAACGACATCGATCAAGGTGTACTGCTACGACGCCCTCGGTATTTTACACATTCACAGCCATTGCCTTAAAAAGGCGAACCTTCTCTGTATTGAAAACATGTGGGCGGTTTTATCATCATGATTGTATATAAATTCATCAACAAAAACACTCTGTGGAGAAAATTTAACAGGAGTGGCCTTATTTCTTCGATGCTGAAAACTGCCACTGCGAGAATAAGCCTCTCCTATGTAGACTGCTTAACAGATAAACAATAACAATATCGCACGATAACCACTCCTCTGACACTTTTTTTTTGGTCAGTTTACGATTTATGATTGAATAAGAATTGGACATATAAGGTTGGATTAAATTTATATACCGACTTTGTGGAATTTATTTCCTACTTCATTCCAGTAAATGATTTACTGTTTGATTTATGATTATACTCTTTGCATCGTCGTTTCTTACGGTTTCCGCATATCCGATCTCATTTTTATTGATGCAAATTACTACAACCCTTGGGGCTTATTGTTGGTGAGTAAAATCAGTCTTTTAATGGCATCACAGTAGACAGCTCATAGTGTTGACGTATTTACTAATATTCCATAATATTTCTGTTTGCGCGTAACAGAAATTGGTCACTTTTGAATATCATTTTCAAAAATAAGGAATTCGAAATCATAAATGGAGAAATTGTCATATAGCCTACGTATTCGAATCTGTATGTTTCGAGCGATTATAATTTTTTTAACAGAAAACGAGACAATTATTTATTCGATATGGGATATTTTCAATGAAAATTATATGCAAAAATTAAAATATGATTTTTCAATGTCGTTTTTAACATATGAGGAATTGCCACATCGTGATTTAATTTTTGTTCAAACTTAGAACAGGATATAATTGTGTTTAAAAAGTAATTTTTGTCGATTCATGGATATTAAATCGACAAATATAAGGACGAGATTAGCAATATTGATTGCGTTGTAGTGTTTCAGTTTTCTTGAAATGCTAATGCTTAAATGGCAAATATACCATTAATAAGATAAATTAAAACTTATATGAAATATCCTATTTTGGTAGCTTCAGTTTCACACCAAAATAAAAAGATTCAAGCAAAAATAGCAATATTTAGAAATAGTATAAACGTCATTACCATGCATTTTTGTGTATTTCTAAAGTGTTGAGCTTAATACGGTATATTTGATTCCATTCGGTGTACATTTAGTTTTCTTGAAGTAAAGACAACGCCACGATTTCAAAAGTTGCTGGTGGCAAAAAAGCGCAGCTTTTTGACTTTGAGGTAATTTCTAGAGAAATAAATGTTATGAAAAATGATTGTCTCATATTAATCATTTAATTTTGCAGCCATAGAAGTACTACAAGTCATTCAGTATTTGAGCGTACTCTGGGGTTTATTATTTTTATAAATTAGATCGATTGAAAACAGGGTTCTAAAAAAAGATCTAAGTTTAGACGTACGTGAGATCTCTCTATCTTTCCTCTTATTTTCTTCCACTTCTGCTCCGCAAGAGTGGGGTTCGGTGAAGAAAGAGCGGTGGGCGAGAGAGTGACCGGAGGTGGTTAGAATAGAAGTGGGAAGGAAAGAGTGTTGGGTGGGCGAGTGACGGGAGGAGGTAGGAAAGGAAGTGGGAAAGAGGGAGTGTTGGGTGGGCGAGTGACGGGAGGAGGTAATAATGGAGGGGAAGATTGGAGTGGTGGAAGAATAGAGGAATGCCCTTGTTTTTTTGGCAACCAGATCTTTAATGTCTGGTAAAATAACAAAGAGCTCAAAGGTGGTGGTTTTCAATTTTGCTTGTAATATAGCCTACTGATAATAAGACAGCTATGGTCAAATATATGGGCACGGAGAGCAAAACGAAATATTTTATCAATTCCCTTAAAATCGTGCGTGATAACTTGCCAGTACCTGTAGGCCTATCGGGGTACCGGTAACGGTACAAAAACTATCCCAGCTTATCCAGTAGGAATGTTACAACCTGCATGGTACCGTTACGCCGTGTTGGAGTACCGCTCATATAAACAACTGCTGATTGCCCGCGGTAGCTTGTCTTTACATCAAATCTAGGTATGATTCAGACGTAATACAGGACTATAATCTATCTCGTTATTGAATTTTTCTTACAGCGCGAATATTTTCTACATTGCGGAGCTTTTAAAAAAACTTTCAACTCAAACGTGTTACGAATTAATGGTCTCTTCTAATGACACCTATCAAATCTCTATTGCCATACGTGTTTTTTTAGGTAAGTTAAAACTTACCAAATTTTATGAAGCTTGTTCAATTAGAACTTTGGTAATTTTTATCTTGAACGAATCACTGTCGAGCTAATATTTTTCACGCCAACGCTGAATTTGCGACAATCCGCAGGCGGCCTAGATAACCGTTGCCAGAATCACCTTCTGCAAAACGAGCGATATTGTGACGCAATGATAGGCTAATACACATCAGCCTATCCAATAATATGGTAATTACAGTGGTTCCCAAACTTTTAATTTATTACCACAGCTTATGGCGACCCACTTAACTTTAATTTAATTTTCTTTTGTTTTTTAGGACATAACACAGAACACAGCAATGGCTAATCATCGCAAAACAACCGTGTTTCCTCGAAAATAAGACCTCGCCTGAAAATAAGATAATAATTTGAATTTTGAAAATGATTTTGATTAAACCCTACCCTTAAAATAAATTTAAAATGTGTGAGAGAGGAAAGTTTCATTGGCCTGAGGTAAGGTGAAGATCACACCACTATTCAATATTGCGTGATATCACAATTATGATATTTGTCACTTGACTTTTGTATAGGAAATACAAATAGGAAAATGGATGTCGGTTTTTATATAATGTTAGGTAAAAAATCTTGTGATTTTCTACAATGTAATTTTATTTTTGATAAATGAACACAAAAGACCTCTTCCAAAAGAAAAACCATAGCGTTATTCTTCAAAAGAAAATAAATCTAAATCCTGTCTAAATTTCGGGGGAACACGGTAAGAAGTGCTGTACAGTGTACAAAACTGCTATGCGTAAAAAAGCCACATGGTCATTCTTTGAGTAGCAAATTTTTGTTGCTTTGAGAAGATCATCAAAAGGAAACTTACACAGATTAGAATTTAAATTCAATTTAATTTCTTTTGTTTTTTTGAAGATTCACGTATTCGAGTCGCCACCGATCCTAATAACCAGTATAATTAAACAAAGCTTTCTACATCTTTTCACGACCCACTAAGATTTCTTTTGCGACCCACCAGTGGGTCGCGACCCATAGTTTGGAAACCGCTGGGTTAATACATATTTCTCGCAAGTTAGCCTATCAATAACACAGCGTTCCTCGTAACAAAACGAGCAAATAGATGCGGTTTTTGTTTATTCTGAACCTTTTCCCACAATAACGACCCCTAAGAATGAAAAAAAATTTGCCCCAGGGGTTAAGAACTGCTGATATAGATTATAGATAGACTGATGGACACATTTTTTATGATTTTAATTTCTACAAATACATCAAATAGATCATTCATTCAAGTCGATTTTGGGATTCAATTGGAAGCGACTGTCTAATTCAACTAGTGAAATACGCGAGAACGCAGTTTTGCGGTAAATAAATATTAAATTAGATATCCACTAATCTGACCAACGAGTTTTTTCTCTTTGAAAATATTTACAAATAAGAGTCTTTTTTTTTCTATAAAACGTTTGTGTTTTCTTTTCTTTTGTCAAGTTGAGAATGGGTGTAAAATAATTCGTACCAGTGCCAAAGCGAGATTTGAATTATTCCTTGCTGAATTATTCTACCACAAAAATCCTATCACAAGCGACATAAACTCATAATCACAAAACCCCAATTACTTTAGAAACTGCTAAGATAGTTTTAAAGATGACGTTACAGAAAATTTGATTCAAAATCAAATTCGAATCACTAAAATTGCAATAAAAGATTCTACTTCACTGCGAATAGCTTATGTGTATATGGAATGACACGGTATTAGGCATTTTTTTGAAATATACCAAAGACTGGACTATATTACGATTCTTCCCAAAAAATTGAAATCAAAATGGTTCTCGTGAAATCTATCCCCCGAAGGCATATACTTCACATGTACAAATCCCTTATACGCAACTTCATGTTTTTTTGTGCGGCATTAATTCAAGTAAAACTGGACAGAGTTTTTTTGATCAGATAAAAAGAGTGTAAATGGTTAGTTCAAAATTGGCATCACTCGTACAAAATTATCATGAATCGATGTTACAATAACCTTTGCCAGACGATCAATTTCTGAACTCGACAGAGATAAATAGTTGTGTGTGGTACGACATTTTCTATAAATCATTACTATAGATTTCCTATTCGAAAACTTTGTCTAACGCGTTTTATACCACAGAATTATTTTTCTTGAAACGCAGATTTGGAATATAGATATCGGAATATAGCGTCTGATGATATTTGCTAAAAACTCTGCAACAACAGTAACCTTATACGCGGCGCTGCAGATGTATTGCTAAATCTATGAGTGACATGAGTGAGAGATTTAAAATTCCCGACTTTCAATTATGAATTGAAATATTCCACAATTATTTGTTTTTTTCAAATATATTTATTATTTTAAGAGGTATATGACAATTGTGTAGCATAGTATAGTTTAAATAAAACATCATCAGTTTAAATAAGCGTTAGTTCAATAAAATAATATATGTGAAACACAACGACGAAAATATGTAATATCATATCTTTAGAGTCACAGTGGAAATTGTCCCCGATAAATTGTAAAGATTCAGCACAAAGAGATAACATATAGACTCTAAGGAAATAAACGTCCAATTTATCGTTTTGGGGTGGGGCACACGCTTCTGTCTCTTTCTTGAAGAGAGAAAAAATTGACTCCAATCTTTTCCAAAAGTTGCGAGACTTCCCGAACCTTTTCCGGTGGTAGTTGATTCATTTCTTTTCTGACTTCAACATCAATAACTGGGTGACCTGATAAATAGTAAATGATTTCGTTAGTTTATAACGAATCAACAAAATAAATCATTTACTAAATAATAAAAATCATTTCTTACCTTTTACACAAGTATGGATGATCATATATGTGTCATAGTCTGTTGCGATATGTCCATTGACATGAATTTCACCTGGAATATAAAAACGAAATAAATTATCATTGCTTGTCAAGGCGGGTTGAATTCATTAATGATGTACTTATCACTTTATGATAAAAAAATTAAATGTAACTTACGTTCTGACACGCAGTTTTCCCAGCACATTGTACTGAACAATATTTGTTGAATTGTTCCCATTTTCGGTCTCGACCTAGCATTATAAAAATATAAATTTTACTTCACGTGTTTTTTTTTACTGAAATATATTAATAATTATATAGTTTGCTGGACACTCACTCTTGAATAGTTTCTTGCACGTAGAATAGTTTATGAAGTTTGCTGACACCAAATATTCTCATATCAAAGCACTCAAATTGAGAGTAATGAGAGTCACGGGTATGATATGCTTGCCACCATTCTCCACGGAGCTGTAATTTTGAAAAGATAATATCAGAAAATGATTTAAAACTGTGCCGCTGGCAGAATTAATTTTTAATGAGAGCAAGACAAATATTGCGAAATATGTACGGCATATTCATAAATATCTAGTTATGAACTATTCAAAATCATTAATCAACAGAAAACGATTATTAAAATAAAAATAAAACAACTTATACTAAGATGAAACCGTGCAAGGAAATTATTTTAAAACCTGTACATATAAGCGGAAGCTGTTTTAGCCTTTAATCATACAAAGCGCTATCAAATGTCGGTTTTGAAACAAAAATTTTAATGATACATCTAAATATATAAATTCTAACCTCAAAAGGTTAATCGAATTTCGAACGTTGAAAATATTGCTAATTTTGCGTCCATAATACTTTTTTTTCGAACAAATTTAAAAATAAAAACTCTAAAATAAATTTCACTTACCCGACTATAATCAACATCTTCCTGTAAAATAACATCGTTGCATGTGTGGGCCAAAGTTTCGTCGATGCAAACAACAATAAGTGCAAAGAAAGCAGAAAGTATAAAAGTCTTCATCGTAGCTTGAATCTATATTCAATAATAACCAACTCAATAATTTTTTTTTATACTGTGTTCAGGTACGCTTGCAGAATAGCTTGTGGATATTTGACAAGCGCTCGCGGCTTATATACTCTTGCTGGACTGAATGACGCATAGTCACCATATGGTTTTTACGTATCTTGAACCGAATCCTATGAAGTTTATAAATAGTAAACAAACCACCAAGTATTTTCTGTCTAGCGAGTTCGGTTCAATTAATTTTTATATCTCGAAAGAAAGAAGCTGGAACGTGAATCAGGCATCCGAAACTAACTTTATTTTTAAAATTAGTAATGTATTACTGAATATATCTAATTATTTTGAATCGATCTGCGTAGAAAAAGTAATAAGCACGAACTCAATGCATGGAGAAAAGTTGCTCAGTTGTGCGCGTAAGTTTTTTTTACTATAAACTGATATTTTATGTTGCGTATGTTTGTTTTTTTGTGGTTGCATTTGGGCTAACTTAAAATTTGGCAGATAATTTAGTATTCGTTTTTCACCAAAGATCAAGCTTTGTGAAACCATTTGCCTCATTTCCACAAAAGTTATTTCAAGGAATATCAATAAACTAGAATTTAATTCTGAATTGTTGTTATTTCACATTCAAAAATTTCATTTACGAAATAAAGAAGTGTTTTAGTTTCAATTCAATTTATTACATATTAAATATAGAAGTGCTAAATAAAATTTGAGCGCTTTGAATAATGTAAAAAAATTCACGTCCAAATTATTTTAAAAATAACTAGTTAATGTATATAGGAGTGAAGATGTTGCTATGCAGACGCGGGGCGTCATTATTTTTGTTTATAAACATTTTCACAAGGTGTTTCAATGTGGAGAAAATTTGAAGGAGTTCCCAAATTTTATACTATTGAGAAACTTCACTGTGAAAATGCTTCTCCCTCAATAAGCCCTATTCGGCAATGATGTTATAGGATTACCACACCTATATTTTATCGCGATTTATATGGTAACGAAATAAGTTATATAAACGCAAGCATTACAAACCTAATTTTTTCCAGTCAAAATTCATTGAATATGTGATATGCGACCAACTCAATAACTTGAAAAACGGATATTGTATAATGAATATACACTGATGTAATTTCTACTGCCATCGGGCCATTGCGTTACAAAAGAGCAGCATCAATCAAATTTGTTGTTCATTTTTCTATTCGTGATAAAATCAAAACAAATTTTGGATATTAATTTCATTAAACCAAACGCTAAACCTGATATTATAATTTTCTTTTCTGAAATTGGTATTCGATGGAGTAAATACAATCTCATATTTCGTCTCAGATGATTTGATTTGTTTTCTTTACCGTCAATATCTTTTTATGAGATCTCATTGCAATTTGATACTTTAAGAGTTTAAATTATTGGGCATATTGCGGTTGAACTAGTTTTCGATTTTGATTTATTTCTGCAAAAAAACTTTCAAATACAGAAAAAAATGTACTAGAACATATGCGGCTTTTGGAATATTCAATTTTATTTACGACCATATGACTGATGTCCGTAATGACAATACAAAGCCGCACCCACTAACGAAATTTAACTATTTTACTTGAGGGCAAAATGTGGAGATGTTACATTTAAAACTGCGGTTATAAATTTGGAGTCGAAATTGATCATCGAGAAAGCTGATTGGTCTGCAATTGGAAAGCAACATCGAGTTGCTTTTTTATTTTTAATAAATGGCTCGTTAAAATCATAGTCTTTTAGGACGGGTGTCCAAAATATAGCCTTTTTCTATGTATTTAAAAATGTTTGTCCAAATTACTAATCTTTCCCTATAGTCTACATAGCTCGTAGTCAAAACGTACATGCCTCTATGCATTGTTTTACACATGTGAACAGGAATTGGTTATTTGTAACATCTCTCGAACATTATAATTATTAGTTCGAGCTAAAAATTCGTACGGTTTCCGCATGTTATGCCTGCAATCAACCGATGTTTCGATATTGCAGGCGTCATTTTTTATGATGCAAATCATCAAAACCCCTACGGCCAAAGGCATAAGCACTAACCTGTGTTTCCAGTAGCTTAAAAATAAACAGCTCATAACATTTGACGCATATATGAATCTATGTAAAAATTTCGTCCAATTGACCGATACGAAAATTGGTCAGTTGTACAGCATTTGAAAACAGGTATAGAGAATTTGACCATAAACGTATTCTAATTTGTGATTTCCCTTCGACTATTGTATTGTTTACGGTAAACAAAGAAATTAATATTTCATATGTGTCATCTTTTTCATAAAAAGTATCGATGATGACCAAGTTCCAAAACCATTTCTCAATTATCTCAGGGCTGATAAGAATTTACCCAGTAGGTCTAACTAAAGAGCCACAAAAACTACATTAGAAATGTATGATCATACTTGATATCAAATTTTTCTGTGACTAAACAATACTTCATATTAATCACATTTCAAACATATTTTACATGAGTATTAAGTAAGTTCAACTTTAATTCAATTGATTCATACTCGGGCCGCCTGGATTAGCAGTTTGCTTACTGAAATGTTTTAGTTTCGATTTTAAATGACAAAAAATTAAATATGAGTGAATTCTTGGAAGTTGCGCAAAAATAGACGTAAAGCCGAATGGTTTCCGTAAGTCAAATTCGTGAAAGGAAACTAAAAACAGTTCTCAGAAAAGAGTTGAAATTACATGAATGAAAATTCCATAGCTTGCAGTAAGAATTATATAATAGCTAATAAAAACTTTTGAAACATAAATGGAATAACTTTGAACTGCTTTAACTGTCTCTCAATCTCGTTTGAAATCTTGTTAACGCATCCAATCCAAACGCATGAAATAAAGATTCCAATTTAGCGATAAATCAATGTTGTTCTGGAAGTCAAGTTGGGATTTTGATGTTGTATTGACAACATTTATGTGACCATCAACGAGACTTATTTTGAGTTATTGCTGCAACAAGTTAATAGATGTTTGATTTTTTATCAATATACGTGAAATAATCATTTTCTTGAATTTTTGTTGCTATTGATAGGGCTTCAAGCAAGATTCTCGGTTAATCTGGCATTGGAAATTATAATCCAGTTTCATTGTTTTATTTATGTTCTAAATTCTGGACTTTTCGTGGGAACTTGGGACGAAATTCTATTTGAACAAAATAGTAATTTTCACATATCATTACCGGCATTAAAAATTATAATCCTGTTTTATTTATGTTCTAAATTCTGGACTTTCCGCAGAGTCATAATTCCACTTAAACAAATATAAAACATTCCAGAAATAATAATTCTTATGAATAAAGTTGAAAATAGCAATAGATTGGAAATATTAATTATTAATGTTTACATTCATTTTTAGAAAATCAGGCAATCAGAAAATCAGTTTTTTTTTCAGTTTTTATTTAGGGGATTCCCAAATTTAGGGGTAGATATTCTATTATTAGTGAGAAAACTATTTGTAACTTATAAAAAATGTGGTATGTTTTGACTGATCATCTTGACCGGCATCCGACTAAATAAAGCATTAAAACTTTAAATATGTCAAATGCCTTTACGATGTATCAGAATTCATTGTAAAGAAATGGGTGTTCAAACTGTTTTATTTGAAATCTTTGTATTATTGGACTTCATTGTTGTTTGAAATTTTGATAATGATTTTCTGGGTTGGGTACTACCTTTTTTAGGGTCGTATTTTTGAATTCGTGACAAAAGTAATAGTTGGGGGGGGGGGGGGGCGGATTTAATTTAGGAAATCAAAATGTAATAAAAGTTCAACTGAAGTTTTGAACTTCAGATAGGAAATGTCGTTGGTATTTTTAACCAAACTTTTCACATGCTATTTAGCAATACCATTGTGAGAAATTTTGTAGAAATTTATAGCTGTAAACTTTTAAATATGAAAACAGATAATATATACCAAGTTTTGTTTAGATTTGATGATAACACAAGCGTTTCGAAAGAGCCAAGAAAGCGGGAAAAAACTTAATTAAATGAAAATTAGCTTACTAAAGAGATCATTTCTTGGAAATTGATATAAATAGGTATATCCCGATTGCAAAAAAGGATATTCTAATTCCGAGGAAACACATTGTTTGTTTATGTTTTAGAAAGTTCATATTATTTCAAATTTGGGAATTTCCATCGCGAAACAGCGACAATTTTGTTCAAAAATTTGGAGTTTGAATGATACAATGCTTTTTTCTCATAACGAGAACCATAATTGTAGAACAAGAAAATTGGAAAACACCGTAGACAAGAATATAATTAACGCCTTTCAAAATAAATAGCGTGGAAGTCTCAATTGCCGACAATGTGGTCTTTTCAGACCGCTGGAAATCGTATAATTGTCATTATGTAGGGCGTGGGCTATAAAAATATTTATTGAAATACCCAAAACTGATGTTGTAATATTTGTCTGGAAAGATAATAGCCTGTTTTTGGTATAATTATTTTATATTCAAGTGTGACTTTCTCAAATCGTCGTTAAGAATTTATGTAAATTTTAATTGGATAGTTTTTACAGATACTTTATACATCCTTCTAAATTGTAGATGTCGTTTTTCATGGTATGATATATTTTTTAGTTCAAGCATATTCAATCGATACTTCAAAATGAATCATTTTAGACAGAAAAATGTATGTCACAAACGTGTTTATGACGTATTTGATCGTTTAAATCATTGTTTTGAACGGACATTGATGTTCGAAAAATTTCATCACAGGTACATTCAAGATCGCAGATTTTTGCTTTGTAATACGCTTCTTTCTCCTTTGATTAGGTATTGATCCGTTGGAGTATCGAAAGGGCAGACATGTATTACAAATATGGCGATACCAACAATATACAATTGCTTCATCGGAGTATTGAGAAAAGTTCGTCTCAAAAGTAGGTTGAAATTCTATTTGGTTAGACATTATCAATCATTTGAACGGAACATATTATGGACCATAGACTTTCATTTGTTAAAAATACATCTGAACCTAAGAAGGGAAATTCAAAAAGCTGTATGAACTCCCAAACACGATCTTGCATACTAAAATACTTGAAAGCTGTATTCACTCCAATATTTCATA